TCCCCCGTGGGGGTAGGGGTCAAATTACTTTTTTGTTATGCTAATCAGTAACTTTGCGCCCAAAGTGCTATGCAGTAAGCGGATACTGCCAAAAACGCTCCTCGAAGAAAGATGGTTGAAAACTGCAGCTTTCAGATGGTACCAAACATGCTTGGTTTGGTGTTTTTTACTCGACGAAACGAGCTTTTGCACGACAAGGTATTGTGAAAACTTCTTTGCCTCTTGTTTTTTCGTATTTTTGAGCATTTTTGGCTTCAAAAGGCTTTAGCGTGGACAATTATTCAATCGTAAATTTGGATGTTCTGGGAAGAAGAATACCTGAAGAAGAAACCTATGTTTTTAGTTTGTTTAAAATCGGCATTTTTTTTCTGTTTGGCAGGCGGAGAGAATGCGCACGAAGACAAATTGAAGCATCTTATCGTGGATTTCAAAGTCCTGCTGATCCGTTAAAGATTTCATTAAATTAACTCCAACTTTAGCATGCCTTTTAGGAAGAAAAAAGTGTACGCAAGATTTAATGTGGGAACTATGATGAGACAGCTGAAAGAGGTTCGAGAAAGAACTGCCCTCGAACAAGAAAAGGTTTTGGCCGCAACAAGAGATCTTCAGGCAAAGCAAGCCAAAGTACGAAGAATTCAGCAAAAGGTTATCAACGTTTTACGTTTTTTAATAGAGCTGTTAATAGTCATTCGAAAACCGATTCGTTCTACCACAAACCGGATCTCCTTAAACCCTTAATTCACTGGTGCAATTAAACTGCTATTTTTCACACTCAGAAAATCAGAAATTTTCACAGAGCCAAAGTTTTGCATTGAATATTTATTTTCACTATTATAGTTAATCACATGATTTTGAGTGTAATTTGGAATGCATAAGCACTAGTAAATTTTTCAAAGGCTAGCAAAACTGCACGAGCCCGAAGGGGCAACTGCAATTTGTAGTCAGTAATTTAGTTTGTAATTGCATGAGAAGAATCTGTATGTGCAGCATAAAATATTTTTGCCTCAGAATAGTTTTTTCACCATTAAATTTGAACAATTTGATAATGAAACAAAGGGGAAATATTGATAATAATCTGCTGCTGTTCTATACCATGTATACTCTTCATACCATGTATAATCTTCAAGCTTTAAGTTTTAATTTTTAATTTTTTTTGTTTTGTTTTAACTAGGTGGATGATGTAGCTGACAAGGAAAATCGACTACGGGCAACTATTTGTGAGCATCCTGCAGCCATTCAAAATAGGCAGCTGTCAGCAACAAGTGATGAACAGGGAAATGTCCGGATATCTAAAAGGACCATGAGAAAAAGACAGACTGAAACCTTGGAACAGGCACTCAAAATTCATGGTGGGAAAGCGAACAACCACCTTCCAGCTGCTGTAGGACTAGTAGAGACACTGTGTACTAAATTCAGTCAGAAACAATTAGTCACAACTGTTTCATGAAAGAGAAAATTGTGTGAAACTGTTTTCCCTCAAATCTATAACACTAAGGGAAAAGACTTTGAAAAGTCACAAGAAAATGTGTTGCGTAGCATTGCAACATATTTTTGTAAGAGAGTGATGGGTAAAGCTAAGTACAGGTCTGTGTATCAATCCGTCTCTATGAAAAAGGGAGTTAAGAAAGGGTCTAAACGTTACAGATTGAAAGTAATGGGTTGTAAAATTCCATCCCTGCTCCCATACAACAAACTGATGGAGCATGTAAAAACCATCGACCTTGGCAAAATAGGTAATGTAGGAGAAGTGTTTTGTGCAGATCTTAAAGAGGAAGAAAAAGTGAATGGCTGTTTCAGATACTTAACAGATTTCCTGCCATCACTTGCCTCTTTTTACTTAACTTTAGAGCAACAAACAGAGGAGAGGTTGTTGTGGTTTAACACACCTAACACATTTCAGGTTGTTCTTGGGGGAGATGGTGCCCCTTTTGGGAAAGATGATACAGCCACTGCTTGGAATGTTAGTTTTCTCAATAGGGGACAACATATCTTAAGCAGTAATGAGAACTTCCTCATTTTTGGAGCTAACTGCTCTGAAAGTTCTGTTCCCGTACAAAGGTATGTGAAGCACCTCTTACAAGAGATGACCACTATCGAAAACAAAAGCTACAGTATTAATGGGAAAGACATCAAATTTAAGTTTGCAGAGTTTCCTAATGATCTCAAAATGCTGGCATTCCTTGCTGGAGAACTATCTTTAAGTGCCAGATATTTCTCAACCTTTGGCAATGTGAGCACTGCTGACTGCAGTCATGTAAAAGGGACTTTTGGAGCTGGTCCTGGCAATAAATGGAAGCCATGGGCCTACGACAAAAGGGTGGCTGTTGCAAGGGAGGTTGAAAAGGTAAAGAAGCAGGTCAGTAAACAGAAAGTTTCAGAGAAAACAAAGCGAAAAAAAGTAACTGACTTCATTGCCTCGAAAGGCAGTAGACAAGAATTTGAACCATTGGTTGGAAAGTTTATTGATAGAACACATGTCGAACCATTACATCCAAAAAACAATTCTTGTCAGCAATTATTTACCCTGATCCTATATGAAAGCATTGGAAAGTCAGCACTTGCATCAAGCATCTCAGACTTTGATGCTGTGCCTTGTACATCCCCATTTTATAAATTGGTCAACTGCCTTCAAAAAAAGGTCAAAATGGGTCGTCTTGCTAAGAAAGTGATTAGGTGGTTTAATGAAAACAAAGATCTTGCCCGGTTTCAATACAGATTCACTGGTCAAGATTCTCGTTTGTTCCTACAGAATTTCATGTTTACAATTGATTCTATCAAGCAAGCACATGATTCAGAGAAGCAAACCTTTTCTCTCCATGTATTTGCCTACATGTCACTGCAATTGAGGCAAATTGTCTCCCTGTTTTGTAGAGTTGTCAATGTTTCTCAGGAAAACATTGCAGAGCTTAAACAGTGCTGTACCAATTTCTTCAGATGCAGCAGCTTATTTAGCACAGTGACCCCAACAACCTGGACTGTGGGACATATCATTCCTGCCCATGCATCTGATGTTTTTCAGAAATACAACTTGGGCTTAAAAGCAGTGTCTATGGAGGGCCGAGAAGCCAAGCATATGGCAATTCGAAGGTATAGCCAGAATACCAATCATCAAGCAAGATGGATGCAGATTTTTCAGCACGAATTTGTTCACCTTATCTGGCTCAGAGAAAGGGGCTATGGGGGAGAAGATATTTCTAGATCTAAGCAAACCTATATACCACTAAGGGTAACAAATGGACAAGCCTGTTTTTGTGGCTTTGACAAAGGGCCTGAAGAAGACAAGTGTTGTTATTGTTCACATAACTACAGAGCCCAAATTGAGAAGAGTGTTCAACTAGGGAAGATCACTGTAGACAAGAATCTCTGTTCTGTATAGTAGCTGCAAAAACTAGGATTAGCTTACTGTAAGTCCTCAGAAGTCAGCAATCAACAGAGCATTTTAACAACCTACAACTACAACATTTCTCATTCCAGCCTATAACTTTATTGTACAACTTTATTGCACTGTTCAAAATAATTTAAACTGAACTTTTAGATTATGCTGGTTAAAATTTAGTCTTGTTACAAAGTTTATTGACATGTTCATGTATTAGCATTTAAACAGTTATGTTTAATTTCAAAAACATAAATGGGCAACAGTAAGCAACTCATTTTTAACAACAGCCTACAATTGCATAATTTGTATTCAAAATAACTTTGTATTGATTTTTAGACAATACTTTTTACTCTTGTTACAAAGTTTGTTGACATGTTGTTAAATATCAATATTGAATAAGTTGAATTCAATTTTAAGCTATTTACTCATTAAAACACTGTTACCAAAAACCAACTAGAATCATGCAGTCTTTCATTGTCAGGTATGGAAAATAAGCAATAATGATACTGTAACTTAGCTATGGAGTGGGAAGCCAGACTTGTTCCATAATCCATAATGGAATGTTATCAAGAGTTGACCAGCTTTGATCTTGTAAAGGAAGACAAAGTCTTTCTCCAAGTTTACTATAACTTTAGCTCTTCCATTTTGCACTCTCCTCGTGAAGTATGACCTGACTGTCCCTTCTGGCATTCCTGACAACACAGAGAATAATACAACAACAGCTTCCATCCTTGTGAATGATATCGCATAGCACTTATTATTTTCAGCGAGGGAAATGTTATCAACAACATCTTGCAACCGAGAGCGTACAACTCCACTTCGAAATGCCAAAAAAATTTCTTTTGGTAAGTTTCGAAGTATTTCGCATTGATAAGGGCGCCTGATGCTGACTTTTCCTCCCAAACGGAATTTGATCTTGTCCAGCCACAGTTTGGTTTCGTCATAAAGGATTGTTCCACAGTTTACAGGAGCATTCAATAAAATCTTTAACGGATCAGTAGGACTTTGAAATACGCGGTAAGATGCTTCAATTTGTCTTCGCACGCATTTCTTAAACATTTCCATATTTACATCAGGTAAATCAAGCGAGTCAAATGCCTGAAGACACAATTCAATCTTCTCACTGATAACGTCTTCTTCGGATTCTCCATTAACTGATTCTTCTTCATCAATTTCTTCCGATTCTTGAGATTCATCCCTATCAGCTAAAACTGCTTCTCGAACTGCATCTGTCGAAAGATCATTACTCTGGCCTTTAGCCGCCATGTTGAAATATGTTTCACTTTGTTGAGCAACCGCTGACATTGCGCATCGCCGACCCCTGCCACATTTTGAGTCTCCTGTGCCCACCGTGTTTTTTTTCTCTTTCTGAACTTGGACGTGGTTTCTAAGAATTCAACTCCAGAAGAGCTCGTCTGCGTTTGACTGAGAAAGTGAGTTGGAATAATTGCGATTAAGATGAAAGAACGCGAATTGATTTTTGTAAAGCGTCGTTTTCGCCGCTGTCGCCGTCCTCGGATACGGCTGCGAAAACGTCCCTTTAGTAAGTGACTTCGCGCTGTTGCAAACTTATTATTCCATCTCGTTCAATGTTGGCGACTTTTTCTGGAGTTGAATTCCAAAAGACTCTATCTAAGCTCAGAATACGAAAGGTAGAATCCTTGTCTGGTTTTCACGTCCTCTACAGAACATGAAAATAGACAATTTCACGTCCTAGTTGTACAACGACTGCAAAGAAGAAATATGCAAAAAGCGTGGAGCACGTGCAAAGTTGCTGTTACGCTAATCTAAATTAACCAATGGCATTTTTGCCGTTCTCGTTCCCGTCGCTTTAGCTCCCTAGGGTCTCTGAAAAGTGACTTAACACTGACTGGTAATGCGGGTTATAAGATATACTTGAAGATTGCTCCAGTTAATCAAATCCAGTTTCAGCTAAATGCTTTTCACAAGAATTTCGAAGAGCTCTTTCATCAACATCATCTCGTTCATCTATCTCAAGCCGAGTGTACTTTTCTCTGTAAATGAGCAACCCTAAGACACTAGCACCCAGACTGCAAACGGTCACCCAGTTCATCCATCTTACATCAGAGTGCGGCAGCATGAAGGGGATGTAGAAAAACAATCCGATTATATTTGTCATGGTCATGTTAAGGCTACTAGCGAGTCCCTCTCCTACTGGATATGCACACTCCATTGTAAGTTCAATAAATAGTGGAATGGCACTGTTGAAAAACAAACCTCCAAAGATGATGGAGCTGAATAGTAGTGGTTTGGTGGATGGTAGAATTCCAGCACAGGACAAACTGAAGATCAGCAAGGATAATGTTGAGAGAGCCAAGAGAAGTGTTAACATCTGTTTTGTTTTGTTTTTTAAACGGTCTGCATACCTTAAAGAGATAAGGACAAAACGTTCATGTCCCTAGCCTGCAAAAATAACCGTCCCTCTTCGCTCCTCTTCGTTAGGGACGTTTCGCCAGAGGGGAAGTCCACGCATTACCGACAGAAATACCGTACTGATGACGTAAGTCAATGTTTGCATAATAAATCCGGTAGTCAAGGGGCTCCAAATGTTTATTTGGTCAATTTTATGTTTCTCCTGGTCGATTATGGTAAAGTTTTGTTTTCTTCGGCGAACGAGCTCCAGCAAAACTCAAATGCCTCTGCCAAAGAAGAATATATTCCACGAAAATGGACGGTATTGTAGTAGATCCATCGCGTTGACCCATGTGACCGTTTGCCTTTTGTCTGTCGTTCGTAAACAATAGCTAAAACAATATAACTACTGTGTGACCAATCAGAACTCCTAGGCAGATTCCGGATAGATTTTACGTCATCAGTATGGAATTTCTGTCGCTGAGGCGCAGACGTCCCTTCCGGCGAAACATCCCAAGTGGCAAGGACCGAGGAAAGACGGCTGTTTTCGCAAGCTATCATGTTTCATTTGAATCGTGGTACCATAGGATAGCCTGCGTCGCAGTCACTTTAAACCCTATGTATAGGGCTATACTATAATAATGGCGTACACGATGGGTGGACCGGCAGCAACGCAGGCTAACTATAGGATTTCATCCACAGACTCAAAAATGTTGCCACAACCACCTTACAAGACAGCTTTATTTGATCTGGGAGTAAAAAGGGTCAACTCAAATTAAAGGGGCTGTATCACGGCTGGCTAGTTTAGTTTGTTTATAATGCCAGGTGCGCATCCTTATTCGCTATGGAACAGTTTCGTGTAGAAGAATATGCCGGCTTCCAAGCATCAAACGTTACATACAACAAACACGACCTTTGACAAACTGTTAATTAGGCTAACAAAAAGAACAAAAACAAATTATTGTAAGACCCGTTTCAATCTTTCTTCAAGTTTGTCTATCCTTGCTTCCTTTTGTATTTGCTGTGTTATCAATACTTTCTTGCAAAGGTTTGCATGAGTGGTTTATATTTTCATGTTTCATTCAATTTGGTAGCTCAGGGGCCAATTTTTGAATTCTGGTAAATTTCGTGATATGGATGAAATGCGTGAAAAGCCAAAGGCAATTTAGCCTGCGATCGCGAAATCAGATGTATTTCCGCTCGTCGCTTCTTTCCACCCGAAAAGTAAGTTTTCGGGTGGAGAGAAGCGACGAACAGAAATACGACTACGTTCGCAGGGTAAAGGAAATTCTGTCTAGAAGCCATTTTCTCACCCCATAGCAAACTAGCTTTGACCCTGTTCCAGAGTCTGGAACATTTATTCATTAAGGTTTGCATCAAACTATTATTTTTCAAAAAAATTTTCTCTTGATCCCGCACAAAACATGAATCAAAGTCATTGTTCGACATTAAAAATATATCTACCGACAACACAAACGGGAATCGCGGAGCAAGGTAGCCTGCAATCAAGCCGTCCCTATATGTTAGGAGCAGTTCGAGAGTGGGCGAGGAACCGGTGAGCATAATAGCACCACTTGGGGACTTGGGGTCATGCTTCCCCGAGAAAAATAGAAATTTGGGTGTCCTAAAATGGCAGGCTTGAAATGCACATTCAACTACTACTGAATTGTGGTTCAACAAGGTGAATAACCGGCGTACCTTGCCAGCAAAATTCCAGAGACAAAACCCGATGATGTAGCACCACAGCCAAGCCATCCAGCGGTAGTAGGATCCACATCAAACTTGGCCAAAAAGACATCTAACACGGACAACCAGCTAAAGTAAACACCAAAGTCTAAAGCAGCTAGTGTACTCAGCAACAAGAACTTGCCATTCCTCATGACTTGTCTAAATGAAGCTGCTGTGCTCTGTGTGTGAGGTCTAGAGGCAGTGAGGCTCGGAGGGAGGGGTGGTCTTGCTGGAAAGTACAGCAAGATGCAGATAAACGTCGCTATACACAAACCTACTTGAAAAAATGAGTACTGTGTTATTCGGTGGCTCATTATTTCCACTAAGTTTTGCATTTTTTCCGAATTTGATGAATTGCTGATGATAGATTCTGGAACGTTGTTATGAACCATTGCAGGACCAACAACAAATGCTACAGAAATTCCAAAGGATCCTGCCAAAGCCGAAATAGCAGTAGCTGTGGTGCGTTCACTGGGCGGAAACCATGTTGCAGAGACTAGAGGAGGGGCACTAAGAGCCACAGTTCCACCAGCCATGATAATGAACTGACCCACATTTATAAAGATGGTCCGCATCTTGTTATCACTTGCTGGAATAAGTTGGAGACATTTGCCAAAGACTGACAAAAAGGCAATTAAAAGCACAGATCTTCTTAATCCTAAAGAGAAAAAAAGATAAGGATGGTATCGGCAGCTTGGTCAATACAATATTAACTTTTGGGGAACATTTCGGGGCCATGAATTAGTCAACATTCTTCGGACTTAAGAAAAAAAATGTGTGGGACCCGCCATGTGGCAGCGGTAGCGCGTGGTGTTGGTATAGTGATCGTTGTAGTCGTTCGCTTCAAACGAACTGGAAGAAATTTGCAAAAGCAAAGTACCTCAAACCTAAGGTCGCTGCTTTCATTAATACCCTGTTAATTTACTACACTTTTTTGAAAAATAACTCTTACAGTGTTTTAAGTGTTTCAAGATTAAACTGCTGTTATCGTAGGGGTAATTTGGCAGCAAAAAAGCACACTCAAGCCCGAAGCAAAGCTTTGGATCGATTTAGGGCACTGAAAGGACAAGGTAGTTAAACTGATCATTTTATACATCATCGCCCACGCTTCAAAGCACACGGTGCAAACACGAGCATTCGTGGGCATGCTCACGATGTCAACCGCTGGCTTAATACACTAGCACTACAGAAATCCTTGTAGATTTAACAAAAACCGTAAAACAACAACAACAAGTGAAGCAAACGGCCATTTCCGAGTTGCCTGAAGCCTCTGTTTAAATCGAGGGTAAGGCGAGGCCATTATGAAGACACTAGTCCTCTTTAGCTTGTTTGTTTTGTTTTCCCAGAGTTGGTAATGTGACAATACTCTTGAGAACTGTTTCTTTCAAATTTTGTCTTCAGTAGCCTGCGAAAACAGCCGTTTCTCCTCGCTCTTTCGCAGGCTGTCTTCAGTCGCGTACTTAATTTTTTAAAAGACAAAGGAGCAAATGTCGCTGAGATCTTCATTGAGAAAACATAACATACAAGCTGTAAAAGAGGTCTATTGTCTTTTGTCGTGAGAGGTTTTGGAACTTAGAATCGAATGGACAGGAAAGGGAATTACAAATACTAACCTTTTGTGTCCATTAACCACGCAAAAGCGGCTGAAGTTAGAACCAGGCTTATTGGAGCCCACGAAGTCAGCAACAGGAGATCGAAGTCTGTCCAATCAAAAGCGATTTTACACGGTTCCTGAATCGGTGCCCATGTGTTCCATGCCATGTTATAAATCAATGTCTCAGCCGCGAATACGAACAAAACATACCATCTTCGCTTGTAAATCTTGATTTCTATCTTGGATTTTGAAGCGGTTAGTCCTTCCTTGTGGCCCTGATCGCGTTCGAAAAGAGGTGAACTCTCGCTAGCATCCATACCCGAGACCATTAGCTGGATCAACGTTCACTGTCGATATGCTGGATGGTTTTGAAGCCACCCGGTGTTGTAATCATCCCTTGAACATATAGCATTTATCTACTGGGTCATTGAAGGACCTGCATCTGCAAGAGAAAAGCATGTGACAGTTCTGTGATCGACACTAACGCTTGTCTATTGTCGCTCGCTCGTGTTGATTAGTAACTATTCAGACGCCGTTAATACATAAGGTCGTTATCGTCACTCGGGATAGTACTCCTATTTTGCACCAAGAAAAGTTGTTCAGAATCAGCTGAGATGTAGATACCGTATTTCCTCGAATAATAGCCGGGGGCGATTATTTCTTTTTTTGCACAAAAAAGGGGACGATTATTCGATTATTCAAATATTGCTCACTGGAAGTCATGCCCTAAATATTTGTTTTATTTTCCCATTAAATCAAAAAATAATCACGTCAAATAAACTGAACATGGGCTTTTTAAGTGTTTCAAATTTAGCTCCTTGATTAGTTTTCAGAGCTTGAATCGTTACTGATCAGCTTTGCTGAATCTCGTTGCACTTCAACTTGACAACCTGACAGGGAGGGAAAAAAAGGAAGAGAAGATGGCGAGAGGGGCGGGGAAGGGGCGATTATTTTACGTCTTTCCGCAAAAGGGGGGCGATTATTAGAGCGAGGCGATTAATCGAAAACCTGCTTCATTGTTTGGCTAAACAGATTCTTGTATTTTTGGGCATTAAAGAGGCAAATTTCTGCTGGGAGGTTCTCAGCCTGCGTAGCAAGCTTTTCCGTTTTCCCCCCGTTCTTTTACTTGCCACATTGTTCGGGCGGTCCATAAATCCGAACAGATGAAAAATTGTTAGGGGATAAAGATATGCCTTTATCTACCGTTTGAATACTAAAATACGTTTAACAATGCTATGTTTAAGTGGTTTTGAACTATATTCTCGTTGGGTGCCCCTGACTCCATAAGGCGAGCCTGTGAAATTAGGAAGTTTCATGTCGCAGGGGAGCAACGACGGCAAGGAAATGTACAAAATAGTGTGATGCACGTGCAAATTTGTTGTTTTGTCAATAAAAACCTTTTACTTTTTTGCCGTTTTCCTTCTGTCGCCGTCGTCGTTGGAATTGTTGTCATCCAGAAATAGTGCTACCATGGTGACGTGACGTCATACTTCTCTCCTCTATTGCTCACCGAAAGGATGTACTCTTATAAGTTATTATGACAAAGCTTTTATAACTAGCAGACAACTCTTCTTCTTCTTCTTCTGCTAAAGAAAAGCTCTAAAATACCCAAATCGTGGTTTTAGCCACAAACCTCAATGGGAACAATACGAATTTACACTTAACTCAAAGCAAGCCGTGACACAACTACAATTACATATTTTATACTACTACAGGAGAAATTTCTTCAATTGATTGGCTTAGAGCAGGGGCATTTCAGTTTAATTTGAAATACCTACGAGTGAAAATTACAAACCTTTTGCGGGTAGTAGTATAAACAAATAATAGCATGATTTGTACTTGATATTTGGCATAAATACCACTCGTGATATTTCAAAATTGTCTCAAATTTCACTCGCCTAACGGCTCGTGAACTTACGTATAACAATTTCGAAATGTAAAAAAGTAGAAAATACATGTGTGGACTTCTCTAAACTTTGAAACGACCTTTGACTATGTATGAGTCGAACGGGGAAGCTGCAAAATATTAAGTTACCTATCTATTAAGAAACTATGAAACACGCCTTACTAATGGGTTGGCAAACAGATTTCAGCTCCAGGGTTTTACAGAATATTAATTAAATCGACTGAATATTTTCTTTGAATTTTATTGAACCACTCACAGCCTGCAGTGGCAATTAAAAGCAAATAGCAACCTCCACGAACTTAATCTGCATTTTATTAAATAATATTTACCGGTACCCATTGAAGAAGAACCGTGTCTTTGAGGGGGAAGAGTTCTAGCCAATCCAAGGTGGGAACGATGTTTTTCAGTTGTGAATAGAAAAAATCAGAAGCTGCAAACAACTTGGTTCACTGGGGAGCACGAGTGCACGAGCTTTCCACCAGTTTTCACGGGTTCTATTGTCTGTAGCTGGCGCTCCTCGCGTCGGTCATTCAATGGGATAGCTTAAAAGAAAGAAATACTGAAAAGAGGTCGTGGACTAGAATATAGCGTCGTAAATCTTAGTTTTACAGACGAGGATCGTTGAAGGGTCTACATAATAAGAACACAATCGCAAAAGAGAAAAACAGAGCAAGAGGTAAGTTGTACTTTGATAGGCGACCTAATTCTCTGTCTTTGCTTGTTCAAACCGGCCACAAATGACCACTGATTTTGGTTATATTTTTATTGTGTGTGCCGCAAAGAATTAATTGTAATTCCTGATTTACTTATATTCAAACCGGCTTTTACTATTTTGTCGACAGCAATCCTGTTCAGTTTCTTCGACAAAATAGGTACTAGGTAAACTTCTTGATAATAAAAATAATAATGCTTCATTTATAAAGCGCCATTTCTAGTGATGTCCACTGGCGCTTTACAATAAATGTTTAAAATATTACATACCGTAAAATTCCGAAAACAAGCCTCTCCATGTATAAGCCCCTCCATGTATAAGCCCCTCCAAATATAAGCTCCGCAAACGGGTAACCCAAAAAATCCTCCGTTAAATCGCCCCTCCAGATATAAGCGCCCCGGGGGTTTGTACTTGGAAAATTACCCTCAGATACAAAGTAAAACAAAGCAAAAACGATAAATTTACTTCCAACTATAAGGCTAGCCCAATCGATTTAGAAACGCAAATTTCCCTCCGTAAATAAGCCCTTCCGAATATAAGACCCCCCCCCCCAAAAAAAAAATAAGCCCCTCAAAAAGGGCCTATGGTATATTGTTCATAAGAGTATTTCATTGTAAAATTACATTATACTTGTTGGCTTCACACTAGAAGCGAAGTTAGTTTCAAGTAAGCACTTGATTCAAGTACACTTGGAAATCTTACGTCGCTCTGTAGAAAACATGGCTCCATAGTTATTGACAAAGTACCGTAAAATTCCGAAAATAGACCCCGGGGCCTCTTTTGAGGGGCTTATTTTTGGAGGGGACATATACGGAGGGAACTTTGCGTTTCAAAATCGGCTAGGCTTATACTTGGAGGGAATTCTGCGTCTCAAAATCGACTGGGCTAGCTTATAGTTGAAAGGAAATTTATGTCAGTAACTTGCAGAAAATGTTTCCTCAAACTCGCCTTGAGGACATACACCTTTCTAAAACGTAGCCATGCAAGTACTGTGTCTATATGGACCAAGGAAATAAAAGCCAAGTGTGAAGAGGAACCACGCAAACTGCAATTAACTGTGACACTTTCTGACTAAAAACACTTGGCACACACGTAATAGTTCCTTGGCAAATACAAAAATTTATGTTACTGCACCTTTTTTGCTTTGTTTTACTTTGCATTTGAGGGCACTTTCCAAGTATTAGCCCCCGGGGGCTTATACTCGGAGGGGCGGTTTAACGGAGGGTTTTTTAGCGTTACGAGTTTGAGGGGCTTAAATTTGGAGGGGCTTATACACGGAGGGGCTCAGTTTTCGGAATTTTACGGTCTATTACTCGAAAAAAAAGCTATCAATCCCTCCGTTCATTAGAATCTTGGAACCGCTGCAGGTGCCCATCGTGCACATGGCTTCCATTTCTTGTTGGTCGTGTGTTATCAAGTGTGGTGTAGCCCATACTTGGTGGAGAACGTCGGCTTCTTTGAACTACGAACATTTCCATGGTTACCAAATAAAGTGGAAGTAGGCACATTTTACCTCTTCACAATCAAAGTAGGTTCCAAGTACACTTTCATTATACTTGAAGCTCTAGTGTGAAGCCGGTGAACAATTGAATGAAACGAATTAAAACGAATTAAATCAGCATAACAAAACTAATTGATAAAAAAGAACACTTTCCATTTAAACGACTAAAATATAAAAGAACTAATTCAATAAGGATAAGTCCTTAATTTTTTCTAAAAGTCGCTCAAACTGTCGCAAGATCTAATACTTTTAGAATCGATTATGAAACATTTTCTCGAGAACGAGGCTAGCCATTCATAAACAAAACTTTTGAAATCTCCTGAGACAAAATGGCCACCTCGTGACAAAGGTCTATTGCCAGTTAAATGACAACTTGAAGGTCAAGTTAAAATTTTATATTCACCACAAATTTCTGATTCTTTGTCTTTCAAATTATTACAAGCATCTATCTCCAGCCTTGTGTACTTTTCTCTGAAAAATGATAACCCCAACACACAAACACCCAGTCCAGTAGCAGTAACCCAGTTCATCCACCTTACATCAGAGTGCGGCAGCATGAAAGCGGTGTAGTAAAGCAACATGGAAACACAATTCATGGTCACCAAAAGACTGCCAGCAATACCCTCACCGAATGGATACACACATTCCATTGCAAGTTCAAAATACAGAGGTCTGGTACCATTGTTGGCCATACGACCAAAGATTATTGAACTGTAGAGAAGTGGTTTGGAGAATGGCAGAATTCCAGCACAGGACAAACTAAAGGTAAGTTGGGACATTGTTGAAAGAACCAAAAGAAGCATTAACATCTGTTTTGTCCTACGTTTCACATAGTCCACACACCTGCAAGAGAAGAAGACAACACATTAATTACTGAGCAACTTCCCGTAAAGAGACCTCGCCAAAGTGACCGACTAAGTAGAGGTGGTTACGTCGGTTACGAGAGAATACATGGAAAATCGATTAATTGAAGCGCGATCTCATATAATAACTTAGACGTTCGGCGTATCTTGTTCTTATTCGAGGAGCAGATATATTATACCCTTTCATTACATGACTACCGATAGTACGCGCGCTCTGATTGGCTGCTAATCGGGCATTATTTTCTTGTAATGACTGGACATTACTGGCTTGTTGTTCAAAGCATACACAATCTGTGTTTAACTTGTTAGTGGACATCCTTATGGACGTTCATGTTATGGTCAATTGACAGCTGCAAAAAAGGGTATCCGCTGACCAGGGTCACTTGACTGTATCGCGCGGGCTGAAGTGTACAACTTATTGAGGTGACGTTGATGCAATACCTGCAAAACTCACTAGAAAAATCATTATGCTTACTGCTCCCTTATAAAATTTGTTTGATATCTTCTTCATAACTCTACAGAAACATTTTATGTAATGACTTCATCACAGAATTAACCTAAAACGCAGGGGCGTAGCTAGGGGGGGTCCTGGGGTGTCCGTGACCCCCCTTTGGTAGGCCTTCTTTTGAGCAAACAACCTACAATATTCAGGTGGCGAAACCGCCATGACAATATCTTGGCCGTAAAAGCCATTGTTGAAAAGCCCACTTTTTTAAAATTTGTTTGTTTGTAAAGTATTTACGTCAACGGCTCTTGTCTTTAGTTAATATGGGCCTTCATGCAGCGGGTAATACGACTGAGCCCGCTGATACACGAGGGAGAGCAGCGGTATAAACCTGGTGAGTAGCCTCTGTGACCCCCCTTTTGAAAAATCCTGGCTACGCCCCTGAAAACGGCAATATCCTAGTGACATAGCCTCTTTAAAGAGAAGTCACGAATTTCGCATAGACGTTACCTTGCCAGCATGATCCCAGAAACACCACCTGCCAAAGTAGCTCCACAGCCGAGCCATCCTGCAGTGGTTGGGTCCACTTCAAATTTGGCCAGGACGACGTCTAACATGGACAACCAGCCAAGGTAAACACCATAGCTCAAAGCGGCTACAGAAGCTAGCAACCAGAACTGCCCATTCCTCGCGACTTGTCTGAATGAATCTCTTATATTCTGTGTGTGAGGTCTTGAAGAGGTGAGGCTAGGAGGGAGGGGTGGGCTGGATGGAAAGTACACCAGGACGCAGAGGAACGCTGCTATAGAGATACATAATTCCAAAAATATGTACTGTGTTACTTGGTAAGACATTGGCTTTGCCAAACTGTGCATTGTCTCTGATGCTGAAGAATTGCTGATTGTATATTGCGGAGCACCATTGTTAACCATAGCGGGACCAACAGCAAATGCTATAGCAGTTCCGTAATATCCTATTAATGTCGAAGTAGCAGTAGCTGTGGTACGTTCACTCGGAGGGAACCATGTTGACGAGATTAAAGGGGGAGCAGTAATGGACACTGGCCCACCAGCCAAGGCGATAAACTGACCTACATTTATAAAGATGGTCCGCATCTTGTTATCACTTAATGGAATAACTTGAATACCTTTTCCCAGGACTGGTAGAAAGGCAATTAGGAGAACAGATATTCTCAGACCTAGAAAGGAAAACAAGGCTGAATATGGTAGTATGCTTAAAACAATTTTAGCTAGGAAAATTATTACGCGGCTTAGACAAAAAGCGTACAAAAACGAAGTTAAACGCTAAAAGGTTCTTAAAATTCATCCAAAAACTATTAAAACTGTAAAAAACATCAGCTATTATCAAGATGAAAGAAATCCTAAGAAAAAATTTAAAATTACACTATTTAGACAATTATTATCATAATAATAATAATATGATAATGCTCCTGCTCTACCAAATTTCAACAGGAGCACTGTCGATAATACCTTTTTGTTGGCCCAACTTTTAACAGTTTCAATCGTTGTCCATCCTTTCATTCTGGATAAATGTTATTTTTGGAACTCAATTGATGCGAGAACACGTTTTGTCTCTTTAAAAAGGCATCAAATAGCGTTACGAGGCCCCTTCTCTCTACAGCAACGGGTAGATTTAATGTGTATCAGCTACGCACTACCAGTATGTATCCGCATGTTACTACTTATTCGTGTGTTACTCGTATGTAGCCGTTATGTTACCTGTATGTTACTCGTACGTATTCGTGTGGTCCGTATGTATCCGCATGTTACCCGTATATGTTACCCGTATGTGCCCGCATGGTGTTTTAGTCAAGATATTTGACTAGCCAAGAAAAACCTGTGAATCATCTTTTCAAATTTGTCACTTTATGGGATAGACCTTTCGGGGCAATCTTTGCAAATAGTATGGCATATATTGAAAGAAAACTCGTCTTAAGCACACACTTGGGAAAGAAAGAATGCTAGCCAGGAAAATTGTTAGCTCGGCCCTTTTAAATCCATTTATAGAGGCCCTAAAAGAGAAAAGCACCCTACTGCCTGGAAAAGACCTATGGAGCAGTAGATTGAGAAGCTTGGCAAAAAAAACTTGAAATGACATTGTCCGATCTGCTTTTTAAAGTGGTTGAAATTGTGAAATTCGACTTGAGCTTTCTCTTGATCGGGCAAATTAACCCTTGGCAACATTGACATGTGCTCTGGATAGTGGGCACGTTCCTTTACACTTTGTATTTGTTTTAACATTTTGTGACGTAACAGACCGGTTGTTGGCAAGCCTTAACTTCTGCCATTTCAGGATTTGTTAAGGTTTACTTATGTTTTACTAATCGTATAATTTGAATGACGTGTCCGAGCTTGGCTTGATACCGAGGGTATTTCTTCTAAAACAAACAACCAAAAACTGAACAACTTTTTTTTTTCATTTTCTATAATTGTCTTTTTACATAGTAATCGATAATAAGTTTTAAACGTCATCGAGAGCCGGCCCTTTTAGCGTGCCCTTAAAGTTCATGCTCGTCTAAGCTAGTTTTTTTCTCGTGATCGTAAAGTGCACCCTATCAAGAGAAATTTAGCTGCTAAGCCTATTCTATCTTGACCCTATTAAATGTCCTCAGTAGCACGCGCATAATTTTTAGCTCCCAAGTTGTAACTTCTGTGTGTGTGTGTGTGTGGGGGGGGCGGAATGGAGGCATGAGAAATAAGGAACTTTATACCTCTAGCCTAAAATCATGCCCTTTCTTAGAAAACGCCTGATCGCAAGGTATTTCTCCCCACTCTCCTTCGACCCTGGAATTTACTCCAGGGCAAATCTCATTAACAACTATTTTACACTGTTTTGTTCACTCGAAACTACGGGTTATCTTTCATTTGACAGACGTAGCACTACCTTAACTTATGACTACTTGGGGTTTTCGTCAGGCTTAAAAGTGAAAAATTTGTCTTGAACTGGAGCTAAACCAATGTAAGGCCTTTCCTATTGAAACATAGGTACCCCAAGCTCACCTGTGAGAATTGCTGTTGCGCAACAGCAATTAAAACACAGAAAGGAAAACAACGGGAGAGCTAAAATTCGCTGTACAAGAAACGCGCTGGAACGGCCAAATATGGTAAATACACACATTATGAATTTAACAAGGAGGCAAGGTAAAGTGTTATGTATTTTTATTGCTTTTTTCGTGCCCTAAATAGCGATCGCTAAAATCCCCATAAAAGAACTTATAATATTTCTGTTGCGCAATCACGATTCTTACTCGTGAGCTTGTGGTTGAACACATGGGCACTCACGTCTGGCGAAACAGAACATTTCCGGCAAAAAATTGAGAGACTATGTTTCGTACAGGCCACGCTTGTATAAATCAGTCAATTATTAACATTCGGTAAAAGTGAGAGCAAAAATGCCCACTGAGACTAAGAACTCGACGGATCTGAGAGAAAAAGCGGACTGCAATGAATACTGAAATGTTTCTTTTTTATAATAAGTGGCTTTATATTAGCAATAAAAGGACGGTTGTCTTTGGTTGTGAACAAAACCAAGGATTTTCACTTTGAACTGAAAAGGGTAAACTTTTACCCTGTAAGTTTGTCTGTAACTCTTAAGTGAACGAATGGTGTTAGGAAGGCCGCGAGCCAAGCGGACAACGCAGTTGTAAAATTTAGAGGTTGACAAAACAAAACCGCGCGACTTCAAAGGACTTTGGGAACGTCAAGAAAAAGTCGAAAAAAGGAAGGCTAAATTTCTTCAGTTTAAATCAGAATTGATGGTTAAATAGTAAATAACTGAGACTGAAAACTAAAACCAGTTCAGACCCTCTCTGTTAGAGTCTGCGCCCAGAATAATGTTAGTAACCAACCTTTTGTGTGAATAAGCCAAGTTAACGGAGCTAAAGTTACAAAAAAGCTGATTGGAGCCCAGGAAGCCAGCATAAGGAGGTTGACGTCTGTCCAACCGAAAGCGATTTTAGACGGTTCCTGAATCGGCGCCCATGTGTTCCACGCTATGTTATAAATCATTGCCTGAGCCGTGAATACAAACAAGACGTACCATCTGCGCTTGTAAATCTTGATTTCTACCTTGGAGTTTGATGCAGGTGATCCGGCTTTACTGTGGCCATGGTCGAGTCTTAGGAGAGGCGAATTTTCGGTCCACACCATTATTTTCCGCTACTCGACGTGCAAGATACAGTCGACACGATATTCACCGTTAACTGTTTGAACAGTTAAAAGTCAGTTTAAATTAAATCGATGGGCCTTGCGTAATAGCGGCAGAGTGGCAATCAGCCGACATCATGAGAACCTTCAACTTAGGAACTTTGAAGAGTCTTGTCCTATCCGTTTATGCATGCGAGTTTCCTACTGTGGAACTGGTAAATCTGGTTAACTTCTGGGTTAAACTAGTAAAATTGGGTTGAATTGACCTTTTGTTGGTCAAGAAACTACACTCTCAAAAACGCAGTTTTCAGTCATTGCGTGCAGATTACATTCACTTAAATAAATTGACGTTCATTTTCCTCTTTAAATATTATTGAGCTGTTTTTTGCATGAAAAAGTAAATTCGTATAACAAAACAGAAGTTGAGTGAGGACTCTGATTATTCATGTACCTATGAAAGCGAGAGGGATTGGGGAGATTTCCAATCCCCGTCGCTGACCAAAAAATTTGCGGCGTCTGGGTGCGAGAATGGCTTTCTCCCCCTCCCCTCCCTTTCTTTATTGCACCTGCAACGCAGGCTACACGGTCGGCTACACGATAAAGTAGAAACCAGGGGCGGGTTACCCCTAGGCCTGGTTCTAACATAGAAACCACTTTCCGCTCAAAAACTCGTTAGATTGACTTGTGGCAAGTCTAAGCCTTTTCGTGCCATTGAATTTTTATCTTTGTGGTTAAATGCTAAATTAATTTGTAAAGGCGAAAACCTAAGTATTTTCACGGTAATGAAACTGTTAACTGTTTAACTGAACGTATATTTTCTGGTAAGTGACTAGAAAAAGTTGAAAGAGACTCAGTGCTGATTGACATTTATTGCCCGATTGTACTTTTTATAAGCGGAACGAGACAATAGCTGCTTGGGCCAGTACGTTTTTGTAGGAAAAGTTGCTCAAAAGCATTGAGGCCTCTTTTCAGAAAACAAATCAAAACAAATTCCCTTGCACAGTAGCGCAAAATTCTCAACAAAGTATGAGAGGTTTAAACGTGGTTTCCTCTTTTTCCCCAGTTCACGTTTCTAATTCACGTGCAAGCCTGTTTAGCCCGCTTTGCTGGGCTGGCTCGGCTCATGCCTTCTTACCGCTTAAAATTGTCGTTGTGTTTATAAGCAAAGTGGGCTGGTCCGCTTGCTAAGATTTCCGCTCGAACAACAGTTACATATTGCGGTCCCCCCCCCACCGCCACTCCATAATACAAACTTGTTTTGTAAATCCCATGTATGCAAAAGACTACCACGTTATTTTATCCAATCAGAAGTCAGTATTCTCGCAACTTGCCACAACCTGATTTGGGTCGTTCGCAGTTGCACGTTTTTGCTGCACGTGTTTACCGTAGCTTAAACGGACCGGCTTTCTTCAAATATAAAACAAGCCAAAAGTAATCAGTGATAACAAAAAACAGATTGCGCCCTAAATTGACAATTGGACTTAACTAAATATCTGAAGCGAAGACAGGATATTTTTTGTCAGAGCGCTCTGGAAGAACGTTGGACACTGTCCTTACGTTGCCGAGTCACAGGTGTCCTAAACTTCCAAACAACACCTCCTCCCCCCGCCCGCCCACCTCGCTTCTTCGCCAAGAGAACTTGTTGGCAGGCTGGCCATCGTCCGAGCATTTTTCAGAGGCTAGCTTGCCGTTTTGAAGCGCAGTTTTCAGTTGGATTTCAGAAACTTTTAAATAAAAAAGTAAAAAATGCATTTTACTGTCAAAACCATCTTTGTATTACATGTATGCCTTGATTCTCTTTATAAATAATATTTCTTTCAAGAATCTATTTATAAATGACATAAACTTCAAGTTACCAAAAGACAAAATAAAGAATTAACATTTAGTTTTTTCCTCAATGACACAACAGTGACCGTTAATGATTCTGATAAAATTGATTCTAAATTTCGATAAAATTGCTTAACAGTAAAAATTAGTTCTAATAAAATACCTGAACGTTTTCCTCAGTAAATTCTGGATACAAAAACGCTCAGAAATTTGTTTTAAAATTAAATTACTCTTTTTTCCCTTTAACAAACGATTCTTCCATGTCAAAAATCTCAGAGTTATGAATCATGAAATCACCAGTCCTAAACTTCAGACAAAGAAATTGCTGGTTAACTAGCAGGGTAAAGTAAAGGCTTAGATTCACCAGTATTTCCCAGATCTCTGTTAACGTTGCTCACATTACTACGAGCATCTATCTCAAGCCTTGTGTACTTTTCTCTGTAAATCAATAACCCTAACACACAAACACCCAGACCGGTAACAGTTACCCAGTTCATCCACCTTACATCAGAGTGTGGCAGCATGAAAGCGATGTAGAAGAGCATCAGGACCACATTTCCCATGGTCACTAAAAGACTTCCAGCAATACCCTCCCCGAATGGATACACACATTCCATTGCCAGTTCAAAAAACAGTGGCAATGTACCATTGTAGACCAAACCACCAAATATGATAGAAGTGAAGAGAATTGGTTTTTTGGATGGAAGAATTCCAGCACAGGACAAACTGAAGATCAATTGGGATATTGTTGACAGAACTAAAAGAAACATTAGCATCTGTTTGGTTCTGTGTTTGATGATGTCTGCACACCTGCAAGAGAAAAAAAGCTTACTTATTATAAGCTCTATCCATATTAAAGCATCAAGCCTTAACATGGTGCAAAGGTTTGCATGCTTTGGTGATCTTGTTGGGACCACTAGTTGGGATCTCATCAGTCCTTGGTGGTTCAACTGTGCTTGGCATGAGATTTTGGGTGAAAGGCCAGGCGAATTACAACACTTGGCCCATTGGGCAATCGGTTAATGTCCCATGCCTGTAAAAAAGGTCTGACTTATTACTGAAACCAGACACACTCTTCAAGAAAGCAGTGGGAAGAATCAAGAGGCTAGCCAGAATGGGTGTTGGGTTCAAGCAAGATAGCTTGTGCAAGGGATAGGGCTAGTTAGGCATGGAGGTCTTATGTGCAACAAAGTGTGCATAGGTGAGGTTAGCTTAGGTTAAGTGAGTTTATGCAACAAAAACATTTTTCTAAATATGAAGCTTGCAACAACATGAGACATGTCAACACTACATGAACCACCATGTTAACTCTCAACCTTAAAAGACACATGATTGTATACTGTATTTGATTTATTACCTTGCCAGCAAGATCCCAGAAACAACACCTGCTAATGTAGCACCACAGCCAAGCCATCCGGCAGTGGTAGGGTCCACGTTAAACTTGTCCAGGAAGACATCTAACATGGACAACCAGCCAAAGTAAACACCAAAAACCAAACCAGCTAGCATTATTAACAACCAGAACTGGCCATCTCTCATGACTTGTCTAAACGAAGCTCTTGTGCTCTGTGTGCTCTGTGTAGAGGAGGAGAGGCATGGAGGGAGGGGTGGCCTCGCGGGAAAGTAGAGTAAGACACAGACGAACACCGCTGCACACAAACCTACTTCAAAAAATGTATACTGTGTTATCTGGTGGTTCATTACTTTGGCCAAATTTTCTTTTGTTTCTGAGGCTGACAAATTACTGACAGTAGACGGAACCATAGCAGGACCAACAGCAAATGCCATTGCAATTCCAAAGTATCCTGCTAATGTTCCGATGGCAGTAGCTGTGGTACGTTCACTAGGTGGAAACCATGTTGCAGAGACTAGCGGAGGGGCTCCAATAGCCACAGGTCCACCAGCCATAGTAATAAACTGACCCGCATTTATTAAGATAGATCGCACCTTGTTATCCCTTACTGGAATAGCTTGAAGACATTTGCCCAGAACTGATAGAAAGGCAATTAAGAGCACAGATATTCTCAGACCTAAAAAAAGAAATAGAAAGGTAGTATGTTTCAAAAAATTGGTTGGTACAGGGCTAAAGCTTTGTAAGATGAAACATTTTCCCTAAACCATTTATTTTTTTCCCCAAGTAATCTTTCACTGAATATCATAATAACAGAATAAATAATATTGTTGTATGGTGGAAATTTTAAAAATAATGCAACTTTTTTATGTTTAACAAACATGTTTCGACGGTACATCCTTCATTGTCAGCGTGATGGTTATGAAAGATGACAGCGATAAAATGTGCCTGTCACAATTTATATGTTACCATGCATTGGAAAAAAATATGATGCATAACTTGTATAACTGTACATTTGAGCATGTCCAAAAAAAAGGAATAGCAACAACAATTTGTAACAATTTGTGCTCTACAAACTATATATAAATCATCATCATCATCATTATTATTAGTGGTATTAATATTACTATTATTATTATCATAATCATTATCATAATTATTGTTATTATTATCATTATTAGACTGCTCTGCATTAAGAATACTGTCTTCTTCCCCAGAGTCACTCATTTCTTTGTGACAAAACTACTGTTTGACAAACTCACTTGAATTCAGGCCAATTTACATACTTTTAATTTTTAGAATTCAGCCCACAACAATAGACTTCAATTTGATGCTCCTCAAATTTATCAGGTCAGCAGAACCTCACAGTGAAGTCTTTTAGTTAAATATTGAAATTGGTCTATTTATTTTACAATATACTATCTCCAGAGAATTAGCTAGATTAGTCTTTTTTTATTAACTAGGAAACCTCATCAAGTGGAAAATATGCATGTTATTCACCCTCAGGAGTATGTGATATATTTACCTGGTACCTGGCCTCAGTTGTTCAAGACAAACGATGGATAGTATTATCCACCAGATAAATCTCTATCCAGTGGATAGTCCAATTATGGTAGTTTCCCCTAAAGTTATCCTCGATAGTGATTTATCTGGTGGATAGCGCTATCCATTGTTTGAACAACTGGCATGGGGCCAGGTGAACATAATCTCATACCCCCGCACTATCTAAAAGCAACCAATTTCAGTTAGAAAATTATTCAAGGTTTATTTCCTGCCAGTGAAAATTGGCCTACCTTTATAAAAGGAATTATTTTGAGTGTAAGATGTTTTTCTAAAACAGGGTGCAAATTTATAAATACCCAAACTAAGGCTACCAGAAAAACCCCCACCACCCACCTTAGGTTAGCTTCTGTCGCAGCTTGTTGTTTTCGTTGTACACGTCTCACAACGGTACTACAAAATGGTACGATCACGAGTAACCAGTCGTCTGTTGCCAAATTTATACTAACGGCAAAGTTTTGCGGTCTCGGGAGGGCATTAGCAGCAAGAGCAGAGGAAATTTATTCTGGTCAAACTGAACTATTAGCAAACGTTGGATGATAGCTTGGGGCTTTGTTAAGGGAGAACGAAGTTCACGTGAAATATCTTAGCAGTCTGTTGTCACTAACGTGAGTTAAAAGCACCAACCTTTTGTGTCCATTAACCAAGTAAACGGAGCTGAAGTTAAAATAAGGCTGATTGCAGCCCAAGAAGTCAGCAACAGGAGGTCGAAGTCAGTCCAACCAAAAGCGATTTTACACGGTTCCTGAATCGGCGCCCATGTGTTCCACGCCATGTTATAAATCAATGCCTCAGCCGTGAATACGAACAAGACATACCATCTTCGCTTGTAAATCTTGAATTGGGCAAAAGTTGTTGGTGCAAGAGATCCGTTATTGTGGTATTTATCGCCCACGAGAGGAGAACGTTCCCTAGACTCCATTTCCTTGGTGGATTCAGCTGGGATTCTCTTACATGAACTATAAACAATGCGATGACAGCAATAATTTTTTATTATTATATGAATCAGGTGACATGAATTAACATGAATTATAAATCATCGACAAAGTGCGTGATTGTACTCTTCAAAAGTAGCATATATAAGCACTAAGACATGGAATCCGGCCATTTTAAATTACGCAATATGAAACTACATGCGTTTTTAAACGATTTAAAAACTCGCACACTGAGCTTGGGCCACCGGGGCCACCGGTGGTCCGACACAATAAAAACGCGCACGCCATCTTGGGTAACCGTGCTAGTTATGCGCATGCGTTGAGTCCTGTGGAAAGAGTGTCCTGTGTCCGTCCTGGGTCACTTCTTGTGGGACACAGGTCTCATGAATGTTCCCAATACATGTGTATGACAATTAAAAGGGAAAAAAATAAATTTGGTTACTTAAATTCGCATGTAACGCTTATCTCGAGCCCAAAAAATTGCCCGGCATGATCAACAAATGACAATTTTGTGCTGCAAGGCTGGGCTGAAAACTGCAAATTATGTTAGCAGTGTTTTTTTTTCGGAAAATATTTCAAAATTATGCTTGTGATGACGAATTATGCCAAAAATGATGGTCGCATAATCTATAAAAGCCTCCGTAGCAGTGGTTACCGTTTCCTGGAAACGATTGCCTTGCAGGCTACATGTCGGTAATGCTTACAGAATCCTACAAATCTTGTAAAAGCAACTAAGCACAAAGCCAATCAGTCAACTGATGAGGTTCGCTTGGGGAACCGAAACCATGGTCTTGCCTGATCACAAAGTGGCAACAGTGATAACAAAACAGTCCAAACACTGTTAAGCTTATTAAAAACCTATAATCAAGGAAGGAAATACGCGCTCCAGTCAAAAGACCCACATTTTCTTTTGAAAAACACCAAGCTGGAATCTACTGAGTAACAATGCATTCTCTATAGTTGATGCAGCTTCATTTTAAGCTGCACTTCATTCTTAATCACTTTGGATCTGTAAATCACTATCCGTGATAATTTAACATCCTGCAAAGAAAACTAACGAGCTGGGCCCAGCGTGATACAGCATTGCATATTCACGGACTAAAAACATTCACATAGTTATTCAGGTCCAGAAGGCACTTTGGAGAAAATTAAAGCCCTTACTCGGCCGTAATAAAAAGCTTTAAAGAATATGCTCTTGCATCAGAGGGTAAATCCTGCCGACCAGAAACAAAAACCACAGTAAATCGACATGTGTGCCATGACCTCTCAATGTGAAATAGGCGGCTTAACCAGAACCTTCTGGAGCATAATCTACCCACAGAAGGGAAAAAAGCGATTTTGGAACAAGCAGCATTTTAGCATAAGGTAAAAGTCGTGTAGGCCTATCACCGCCTTTCATTGCTATGGAAGTTGGAGGTCGGAAATCAGAAGTCGGAAGTTGGAAGTCGGAAGTCGGAAATCAGAAGTCGGAAGTTGGAAGTTGGAAGTTGGAAGTCGGAAGTCGGAAGACCCTCCTCGGCTTTCGTAGGCTATCGATTAGCCTGAGTATCAGGCGTTTCTGGGGAAAAGGGGAAAGATGGAAGCGAAAAAGGGAGAGAGCTCTTCTCCCCCTCCCCCCTCCCCCATCTAAAATCTCCTCTTCCCTAGCCCCTTAGAAAGGCCTGATACTCAGGCTAGTTATCGATAGAAGTTTTGATCGGTCTTGCTGAATATATCTTCACGAGACATCTACGGAAAGCTTTAGTTAAACCTCTCTTGAAATGGATGCTTGAGAGTTTGCAGGAGGTGAGTACCACTTAGTAAATGTTTTTAACACTTTCTTTTTACTAAACTCGATAGCTAAGTCAATTTATGATTACGAGACCACCACACAGTTTCGCCTCTTTAATTGACTTTTTGTGGCCGGTTAAAAATAGCTTTCAAAATTACTGGCTACAGCTCTTTTTCGAACCTTTATTTGGTAGACAAAAGATAAACTTCTCTGTGAGGTCATTTCATTATGAAACCTTCAGGAAGGACAGTTGAGATTTTTTACTCTTATTTATTTTGCTTAAAGAAGCACTTACTTTTGTTTATTTTTCCATTTTTTTATGAAACGAAAATCCGTATTATTTACATACTGTTCCGGGGCAAATCAGTTTGTCTTGAGGAGCATGCGCAGCAAAGGAATTCAACAGTGCTCTGTAGGCAACAATTTTGATGACATCAATACGAAAAAACAAAATGCTGAAAGTAAAATTAAATGTTTTGATCCACAATGAATGTGAGTCTTCATAGACATGTAGGGTCATTGGCTGACTCGATGACGTCATAAACGGAACACAAAGGGACATTCAAGCATGCTCATCAGATAAGTTATCTTTGCCTCTCCCTGTTCTTTAACTCCAGTGGCTATCACTCTATACCTTGTCACGGAAGAAAAACATTTTTATTCCAGAACGTATACGTAATATACATTTATATGCAGGAAAGTAAACATCACCGTCTCTGTCAAACACGCACTTCCAGACGCTTATAAATAAAAAGGGTAATTGTTTGTTTGCTGAAAAAGGGCAAAACACAACAAACCCGAACAAAAGGTTTGTGTACGTATAATAATAAACAATCCACCACTGGTCTATTATGTTTATCTATCAAAATTGCATGGTTGATTGCCCTTTTAAGCTGCGGGTATGTAAAGCTCAAAGAATTTTAAGAATATCACAAAAACAATCTGACTGAGAGCACGGTTGAGTCAGTACTAAAAATTATCTGTTAGCTGATTTATGAACAGACGTTCACCTTTGGTAGGTTTTTGTTGACGCATAGCTTTTTAAACATGAGTGCAAGTGAGCAGTTTATACAGGCGATCCAAACTGGAGACTTGATGTACATCGAAAAGCATCTTAACAGACCCGTAAGTGTAGGATCCCGTTTGTTTGGTAGCTATACAGTTCAATAATGTGTGGTCTGGCTTCATGCCGTCTTTGTCTACTTGTTTAAGAAACTAAATATTAATAGTAGTTTTGTCATTAAAGAGAGCAAATGTTTTGATAACCCATGACTGGTTCCTCCATGAGGACTAAACTAGAAGTACTGATTACAGATTTGGGCGCGTTTTCGTTGCAGTGTCATGGTCATAAGTGCGGTTCATGCAAGGCTTTTTATGAAAGACGACTTACTCAAGAATAACGGATATAATGAAAAAATAACGAAATTATCATTTTTTTTGTTATTTTAAGTTCTCACCATGTTTAAAGCTCCATTTATTCATATTTCATATTAATGTTCATTAAACTACCATACTCAGAATGTAGGGGGTCCTTAGAATGATTACGTGATTACGTTTGAAGAAAATATCAAGGTGATCTTGTTCCAACCAGAAAATCTGTCATTAGTGCTCGTTCCCTCGAGATCAGTTTCCGAAAAAAAAAAAATGTAGGTTCACAACTATCGGCGCGTTTGTGATAACTTACAACTGTAGCATGCCTGTTACTTCTTAGTCTCCTTCGCAGCCGTTATTAGGGTCGTCACTCGTCACGCAACGCTCCTCCCCACTACCGTTGCGTGACGAGTGACGACCCTAATAACGGCTGCGAAGGAGACTAGTTACTTCTGTGACAGAAGTTGATGGGTGGGCAGAGTTGATTTCCTGTCGACTTTTTTGCCCTTTTTTCTATATCTAATTCTTTCCTTTACAGATCAAGACTGTTTCCGTCTTCCTCAAAAAGGTCATTTTCAAACCCTTTGGATCTTTTGAAAGGTCCTCTCAGCCAATTTTAAAAGGGATGCGCTCGTATTACCTACTCGGGTTTCAGAGCTTTACTTTAGAAAGCATTTGTGCCTCTCTCTACAGATGGTCCTGTGCATGAAGTTAGGTGCAATGAGTTGAATTAAATGAGGAGTAAAGAGTAAACCTCTTACACCTAATCCTTCCGTAGTTTAAAAGAGAAAACCCGAGCACGAATACATATGGTCTTAAACAGGTAAAATTCCCGAATGAAGTGAAAATAATGTTACGGACCGTGCAATAATTATCATGAGGGAGGGGTGGGGGGGCTGAAAAAACCAGATGGGGGGAATTAAGTAAAAATAATGTCAAGACGAGTGGAGGGGGCTGAAATTGAAATTACTCTTATAACAGGGGGGCCCTAAGTTTCATTATATGTCAAGTACCTTTGCATTAAATTGCAACAAGATTCTACATGCATTGTAAAACAGGAAATGTACTATACTTTCATTGATGCTCAATGTTCTTAGAAAATGTGAAGTTTATATCAAAAAAATGTCATCACATTTTAGACATGTTACCAGATTTTCCTTGCAAAATAATTGATTTGTGTCATAAAATTTCTATAATCCTAGTATCCATTACAAGGCCAAATTCAACTAAAAACATGACTTGTCCCTAAAAAACCATTTGTACTTAGATACTGTCCTTTAAGACAGTTGTAAGTTCATTCACCCTCAGGTGCAGAAGTCCCAGACAATCTCCTGACCTCCCTGAGCGAAGCAGTTTGCTCTGCAAAGGTCGCAAGCAAGCAGGGTTTCACAATCAACTGTTTCCAGTTGGGGAAAACCAGATATGTCGGGCTCAAAGTCCTCTTCAAGGGTAACTCCTTCCTTCTCTGCTCTCTCATTTTTCTTGCTTCAGATGTTGTGGACTTGGTGCCAATTTGATATGACGCCTTATATTCAGCCGTCACTCTGTCCAAGTCCTCAACAAGATGTAACACATCCTTTTCACAGTGCCAGATTTGATATAATGTCGTTTGACTTTCTCATTGTTGAAATTGTGAAGGAAATTTAGGCCAGTCTTAAGTTTGCCACTCTCCGTAAATAGGCTGTCATCATGGCTAGTTATGTTATACCTGTGATGGCATGAAGCTTATCCAAGGCGCGATTTGCCTCCCTCTTGCATGGCCTTATGTTGCGGTCATCATGGGGCTTTGGCTTGTACTCTTCTCGGAGAGACCTTCCAGCACAAGCAGGGTTGTCCGACAACAAATAGAGAAGACGGTTTTCAAGCTTTTCAACCTCTATTACATTATATTTCGGGATGTGTGGGATGATCGAATGGAGTCAAAAGGGGGTCCAGCAAAACCCAAAAAATCCCTGGATTAAAAATTATCAAAGAGATCATTTTGGCCCTTAAAAGGGGGCTGAACATTAATTCTCCGTTTGTTTGCGAACGCAGGGGAGGGCACTACCGATTCTTTTTAATACCCCACTCAAACATACCCAAATAAATTTCCCAAATTTTGAAATCATTTTCAGCACCGATCATTCTTGATGATTATTGCACAGTCCCTCACCAGGCACTGACTGCGTGGTGTTTTTTGCTCTGATTGGACGGCAACGTTCCTGACCACACCGAATGAATCGCCCATTTTATTACCTTTACATAAAATAGATACTTGCGCGTTACAAATTGAAATGTTATTGTTATTTTTATCATGCTAATCTACACAACAGACATTACTAGGGGCACTCAGGCGGGTTTTGGCTCGCTTCGCGCCGGCGCCCCCAAATCTGCGCCTAAGTACTCGCAATATCACCTCTTTTAGCAGGCTAAATGAATGCATTAGAAGTCAGAAGAGTAAAAGAAAGGAGCTCCTTATTCCATTTTTTACCGATCTAGTAAACGAGTCAGTCAGCTTTATCCCTCCGGGTATTGAACTTGTATTTTCGGGGTTTTTTTTGTGTGTGTTTTTGTAGGGAACCGAGATAAACTGCGAAGTAAAACATGGACGAAACGCTCTCCATTATGCAGCTGATGCCGGGAAGGTTCCAATTTGTAGGTTTCTGTTACAAAGGATGGCCATCATTGACGTAAGTTTCATGCTATTTTAGTAATTACAGTCTGAAGGTCACTGCTAGCAGAGGCCTCTTTTCGCCGAACTCCTGGGAAAAAAGGCCTCTCCTCCGCCCCCCGCCCCCAGCTGGGAAAGTCTGAAAGGGCGGAGGTCACCTATCTGGAGGTGAAAATTACAGTTCGAAGAACTTGAACGACTAAGATGTTTTGAGTCCTAAAATTAAAGACATCTTGATTGTTCAAGTCCTTCTGGCTGTAGCAGCCACAGCCAGGAAAACCGGAATCACGATGTCCCTCCATCGTCGAACGCGATAAAATAAAAAAAATAAGGAGTTGTGGTTTGTTTTCAGACAGGTTCGCTAGGTGACAAACTTGAAGGGCTCAAAGCATGGATCGTTCCGGCTGTCAATGACATTTGAATTACTGAGTTACAAAAGAACAACGGAATACTTTGAATAAATCGGTGATAACATAACACTAGAGCAGAAGGAATGTCTGGAAATGTCAGACTTGCAGTAACTTTGTCCGTTTGAAAAACTAAGTACAGACGCGAATTAAATGCCAAAAACAATACCAAGAAACTAAGCAAGGTTTTTGCAAAAACCTTCCAGCAAGTCTGCGCAAAAGCGGGCGAACAACCTAATCACACGCACTAAAAAAACTGCAAAGACGGAGACTTCAGGAACTCTTTCACACTAAACCTAGAATGAAAATTGCCATTTTTGTCCTTCGTACAGTATCAAGATAACGATGGTATGACTCCCCTGATGGCAGCTGTTGATAAGGATCACCTTGGAACTGTAGATTTTCTACTAAAAGAAGTAAGTACTTAAGCTGAATTCCCTTTATAGTTTGAATAAAGTCAGTTAAGTCCGAACGTTCCTGGCCTTCATCTCCTTTATTCGCACTTCTCTGCTTCCTACCGTATTCACGGCAAAACAGCAAAACAGCAGGTAATAGGGGCCTTAAGAAACGAGAATGTTGACGTCCCTGACGTCAAAAATGGCAACTGGGAGTTGATATTCTCCCTCTTTCAGTGCTCTGTCTCGATAAATTCGTACAGCGGGAGTTAAAACAAAGGCATTCAGATTCGTTGTGTGAGACAGAAGCTCCGCGCGCGAGACATCGAACAATCGAGATCTCGAACTCCGGGTTGTTCCGCCGACACCACTGAAAAGAGCGCCTTAAAATTTGTAACACTTTCCAATTTGAAAGTTTGATGTCTCAAGCCAGTGAAGATATATAATGCCTCAAAGTTTGCAGACGTTTGTACGGGGTTGGGGGCAAATTAAGTTTGTGCCCTCCACCAAAAAAAAAACGTCCGTAAAATTTCCGTCGCCACTTTGAGGAGCTAAAACTTCGTTAGTTTTCACCAAATCCCTTTCAAACTTGGCAATTTTACTAACTTTAAGACGCTATTTCCAGTGGTGTCAAAGGATTTTCCCTATTAACTTGTCAAAGTCAAAAGTTGTAAAAAACCTTGGAAAGGTCTATTCGTATCATTTAGTTACACAACTTGCCCTTGCTATAAAAAGTCCTTGTTTTCAGTTGGGCGTAGAGGTTCCAAGACCTTCAATAAATGTATTGATGTTCTGGATCAATTTAGGTTTTTGGGAAAATGCCTACCTACTCCTCCCTTAAGCCAACATTAACACTTACTTCTCGTTTAGGGCACAATGTTGGCTTTGAGGAGGAGTAGGTGGGCAGTTTCCAGAAACCTAAATTAATCCTATGTTCTCTCTTTTTTACATTTGTTGCCACTAGGGAGCTGATCCATATGTCGAAGATGAGTCAGGAAAAACTGTTTTTGACATTGCAGAGGAAAAGGATTTAACCAAGATTCAGGCGCTCTTAGACAAATACAAAAAGAAGTAATCAACCGATCGCTTCTGATTGATTCGATTGTTACGTTAAATAGACGGGTTTCACATTTATGCGGAGAAATAATGAATCTGCATTTTAAAGGCCAAGGTAGATAGCACTGAAGAAGTACGAAGTGTTTTTTAGTATTCTTTTATCTTTGTTTAAATGCCCAGAGACCATGCACGACTTCTTGTTCTACACATAATTGTGAAACTAGGGGGCTGTTTACATGGAGGGAGGAAGATTCTAAGAAAAGGCGGATCATGTAAGCGCCATATGTTTTCCGTATTCAGTTTAGATGCAAAACGTTGTCGTTCCGCCTTCTAGGATATCACGGATCTTCCTGTTGCTATGATCTTCCTCCCTCCACGTAAACTGCCTCAAGGTTACAAGTCGTTTTGAGCTCAGTATCAGTGTTTTAGATATTTGTTTTTTGTCTGTCAGTACATTTAATATTCCTACTAGGATTTCAAACTTCCAGTCAAGCAAGTTGCCCGCGTCAAAATTCCATAAAAAAACTGAAAATTTCCGCAGTCCACATGGTTTCAACTAAAAGAACTTTCGTGTTCAACGGTTGATTTGAATGGCCACTCTACAGAATTTTTATCTCAGAATCTAAATTGACATAAACCAAGATTGGTTAGAATTTTGTCATTGTTTATTTGAAAAAGACAACTCTCCAAGGAGACGTAATTTTTTTTATTCTATTCTTTGCTCGTTAATTACCGCTGGGAAAACTTCAATTTTTTTAAACTTTTTGTTTTTTCTGTACCAGGGGCAAAAAATGTTGAGTGAGTAAGTTTTTTGACTAACTTAGCAGAGTTAATAACCAGTTTTGTATTTGTTGTCATATTTTTTGTACAGATTGAAATACAAACTGAGCGTGTTAAATAGTTTGTCTGTTTCTTATTTAATTTACAAAGTACTTAGTCGAGAATTATCGTGGTTTTGTTTAGTTCTGTTCAATTCCTTAGTGCGTGGACGAAATCTTTTATGTCGGCAATCATCACTAATTTAATTTCTGTCCTTGAGCGAAATAGCTTTCATCATGTCCAATTAAGACAACAGATGTCCAATATTCACCGTTCACAGTGTTTATTGATCATTTTCCCGCCCAAAAACGCTTCGTCGTACGTTTTCCACGCTTGAACCATACCAAGTTTTAGCAGCGTTTTGTATCAAGACCTGTTCCAACCAGAGGGATGGTTAAGCACTCCTGAGAACAAGAATCTATCTACTGACAATCCCCTGAGGCATGAATATTTCAATCACGTTTTTTGTTGGGTTCCAGGCCATGCCGTCCAGCCTGTAGAACCCTTTGCTGTAGCAGACACATTGGCAATAAAGCGTCCAGCTTTGATGTCCATTACATTTCGAAGAACCTTTTTTCTGTAGTCTAGCCATGTTTCCGCCGCCAAATAATCACGGTACACTTCTTCCTCTGTAAGGCACCTACAAAAACAGGATCGAAGGATGCGTTCGAAATGTAGAAATCTAAAAAGATTCTATATATTTTTATGTTTTGAGGCTAGCTGAAATGATAGACAGTGATAGGCTCCTGCAGATGTTCATTTAACTGGCAAACAAAATTGTGCTTGTTTCTAGCCAGGATAAAAAAGGGCACGACCACATATCTAACTTTGTTATATACAGGCAGTTCTGTAGCCTTCCACGCAGGCGTTTTTAGGGGAGTGAGTCGTATTTCCTCCCTCACCACAAACGCTTTTTGCGGGAAGGGAAGAAATACGACTCCCCTAAAAACGCTTACGTGGGGGGCTAGCAACTCCGTTATTAGCCTGCGAAAACAGCCGCTTTCTGTCGATCCCCGAGACGGCGGCTGTATTTGAAGGCTACTTCATTATCGTAATTTTTAGAAGAAGTGCAAGACATCTGAGGGGCTTTGAGAAAGATGGGCCTGGTTACTAGGCTCTGACCTGTGTCGAGGAGAGAAGTTCTCCTGAAACACCTCCATGTGTCCCTTGGGAATTAACTCAATTACTCTCCTTTTAGGCACTTTCAACACTCTCACTCCCGCGCTGACTAAAATGTTCCCCTGTCCTGATGGAGCGTCCATTCCAAGGGTTTTTAGATCCTAGAAAATGAAAAATGTTTTTTTAATGAAAAAAAAGTAATAATGATAAAGAATAGCAGTTTCGTCTCTGGTAGGCTACACAAAAATTATATTAATGTCAGCACTGTAGCACACTCCACCAACTATCATGTGTACGGTGGATCTGGCGCTTGAAGGAGTGCTTTCGCACTCGTCTCGGCAGTGAATAGTCTCCCTCGCAGCCGTTTTTTGGATGTCACGCAACGCTTGGGGGAGCGTTGCGTGACATCCAAAAAACGGCTGCGAGGGAGACTAGGCAGTGAACAGCGGGGTCGATGACCGCAAGTGAGACCCCTCGCCTGGGGCTATGCCGTGCTGATGAGTCCTTATGAGGACGAAACAACTGTCCGTGGTTGCCACTGCCCGGGTGATATGGCTTTGCGCATGCGTAATGTACTGGCCATACCTAACCTCCTCCGTTAACCTCGGAGTTGCAATTGGTAGTGTGTGCTTCGGTGCTGATATTGGTACAATGTATTGTACGCAAAAACTGTGTCAACAATCGGCACCTCTTCCTAAATAGATGGAAATTTGAGTAAAGCAGGTTTTTTGACTACTTACCCAGGAATCATTAGGCTGTAAAGACCCCACGTTAACATAGCATGTATTGTTTCCGTTTTTACCAGGCACTGCTGTTGCTGGTCGAGGAAGCGATCGATTATGGAATGAGCTGGTCGTAACACCAGATTTGAGGACAGCTTTTAAGTCAACGCGACGCAACATGTCAATTTTACCCTGAAAACAGATTATAAAGGATAAATTACACTTAAAATGGGAGCAGTCTGTCGATTTCTTCAGATTTGGTAAGGGGAGTGCACGCACGCGCGAGTGTCAAGCGGTGAGGCCGCAAGATGCGAGAAACGAGGGCGACAGCGGGGTCTGCAGTTACGCGCGTCTCGCGCGTCTCGTTCGACAGACTTAGAAAATAGAGAGACTGCTCATAGTCTAACTTATACTTCTCCATAAATTACACATGCCATACTAAGGGGCTGCAAGGGCTAAATCGAATGGAATCAAACAGTGGCGTGGCCAGCATGTCTGCATAGCTGCGTTTTCAGTTCTGGAATACCGCCAGACTGGCCATCGAGCGCCATTGGCACTTTCTCCTCGGAGAATCCAAGGACATAGTACAAAGACTCTGAGATGCTCTAACCGCCCATACATATACAGTATGTATCCTGGCTTGTTTAAGTATCCTTCTCCTACCAAGGCCACCTGCATACAGGAACACCCACTTTGTAAATTGCTTGGCGCGACGAAAAAAAAGAGTAAAAACTGTAAAATCTAATTTCGTTTGATCTGAGTAGCACGATTTAAATATCACAGTCGTCTATTGAAAAACTTACCTTTATTACAAAGTAAATGGACTCCGAGGCTGTTGAATCGATATCGACAAGCTTTCCATAAGAATACTAGAAAACATATTGACAAAAAAACTGAAGCAGTTAACCCTTTAACTCCAGAAAGTGATTAGCATGTAACTTCTTCCAACGATATATTGTCCAGCTAACATGTTATATCATGAAAATAGGCAAATATATCAGCCAGATGACTTTACCTTCGTATAACCCTAAATTTCATAAGTAAAGTTCTCTTAACTTACTGTCAAAGGAAACGTAAAGGAGCCACAAAGGAGAATTTCTAATGAGATCTTTTTAGTTTACGTATCGCATTACGTACAGCTCTACTAATGGGATTTCTTCTAGCGCCGTATACCTTTCATCACAATAGGTTCAGCTTAAGCCTTATCGGAAGGCCCTTCCCTATTTTTCCCCTCAGTTTCTGAAAAAGGTCTTCTGAGATCTGAGCCTTCAGTACAGTCGTTTTCTTGGACAGCGTTTGCACTGGAATCGCGCCTCAACCCTTTCGCACTCTTCCCAATCCTTCTTTGCTTTCAAAATCAAAATCAGCTGAACTGCCAGCACCTTGAGCAGGATCAGGGCCCACTTTCATGCTTCCTTTCCTTGTCTTTCGACCATGCATCTTAGGCAAATTTTTCAACATTCTGGCCTGGATAGATCTTGACGCAAGGACACAGCAGCCATTTTCACATTAAAAAATACCAAATACAACAAGACAACAAACAAACCAACAAAAATCATTTTGCACCTCTACCCTCACAGAAGAAAACTTTTAAGTTCAGACGAGTTAGAACAAAGCTTTTAATTTTCTGAGGGAATAACATAGCCACCAAGTGGAAAGGGTTTATAGAAATGATAAAAAGGATAAAAAACCTGAGCTATAACGTCCTCACCTCTCTGATATGTGAACGATGAGTTAAAGATCGTAATAAATCCTCTCCCCAGCCGTAGAACAAGGAATGGCCCCTGCAATCGATTTTTGGAGAAAACAAAACAGTGCTTTATGTTTCACAACCTCGAACATCATTAGGCTGATTTAGCAACAGAACGGGAAGGTCAGTTGACGACGGCGGGCGCAAATCAAACAACTGTCTTGACCAATGGCTCCTGCGATCAGGTGATTTTTTTTTTTTTTGACAAAAAAAAAAATCGATTTTTTAGAAAAAATTGAGCACCGGAAGTCTTTATGTTCCGCAACCGTCGTCAAACATGATGTTATTAAATCAATACATGAATTTGAAGAGGATGTAAACAGAACTCTATGAGTGCACGAGCATGCATGAGGTTTCTGTTTTTTGGTAACTAGTTGTGACTATCCAAAATGCTAGATTGTTGATCACAAACTAGACGCTTTGTTATCCCTTTCACTAAATTAATCAGCAGGTTGCCTCACAAAATTTGCCCAAGCACGGCCCCCCCCGGCTTCTTAAGGAGACTTCCTCTTTTACCCAGGGCTATTCAGTTAGAGCAGTTTATTCTTACAGGGTATGCACAGCAGTAAGGGTTTTAGGGAACATTTCGAGAATAAACAACTCTGTAAATTATGGACCAAGTTGAGTTATTTCCATTGATTTAGAAATCGGTGGAAAAAAACGATCGCTTCTCCTCACCAGTCCTTCGCGTTTCCCGCTCGCCTCTGTGCAAAAATCAGAAAAATCGAAGCGCCTTTGCCTAGTCCCTGTACGGCGTTTCCCACAACGTCTAGGTCAATGCATTTCGGTGACGTATCCGAGCTCTTTTAAACACACTAACGATGTCGACTCTTTTCTGTCCACAACGACAGCTTATATCATTCGGATTTACGAGACAAACCTAATACCTAACGAAATCTCAAACTAGAGCAACGAAACCTGAAGCTCGTGTTTAGAGAAACACATTCCAAAATCCACATGTCAGTAACGTGATCTTACGCGTTAGCAACAAACAGTCACACTTTTCCTACATTCAGAACACGAGTGGCTGACGTGTAGTACAGCAAATGTATCGGTCACTACCCAGGGTAGGGTTTACTTACTTCATGACCTGTACTTTTTCATCGTATTCTCGCTGAAACACATCTGGACAATATTGCAAGATGGTCTCCCTGTTAACCACCAGAACCTCTACACGTTCTCGACAGATAATCGTAGCTGTTCTTATTGCTTCTTCTGAAATGAGTGCTATTTCCTGCGAAAACAAGTTTTGTTCTCTTTTAGTGAAACGAAAAGTTTGTAAAATAGCTGTTCAACTATCCTTGTTAACAAGCAATATCCAATGTTTGAAATAAAGATTTCTTTGAAAATTATGACTTTTAAATTAACTCTTCTTATTAAATTCGAGAGTCTTAAGTTATAGGAAAGATTGTTGCTACAAACAAAACGGTTATCAGTCGTTATTGCCAAGTTTTCAATATTGACCTAATAAAAGGAAGAAAAAGGGGATTCTCTTAAAGACTTCAAGAGTAAGCATTCATGGAAAACAGGCACCTTGTTTTTTAAGTATTACGTAACATTATTATTCTTATTATGAAAATTGTTATTAGCTTAATTAATTGAATTTTTTGAATATTTCCCTTTAGCTTGATGATTCTTTAATTTTACTGTGGTAAAATATATAGTTGAGGTTGTTGTTGATGTGTACACCCACTTTTTTGGGAATGTATTAGTGCCAGTGACCAATTTATCGCTTTCGTAATCAGTGACGTTACAGAATATCATATTACCCCAAAGGCCTCGTTCTTCTCCAGGACGTCAACAGTGTTTGTGACGTAAACACCGGTCTTGTAATCCTTTCGCGTTATGGTCACGGAGACTGAGCCTGAGACTATGAAGTAGAAGCAAAATCCCGGATGTCCCTGCCGCACGATCAACCTTCTGCGTTCATAACTGAGGAAATAATTGAAAGAGAAGAATGACTTTATAAAAAGAGAGGACTAGAGAGGAAAACAAAGCAGAAATCCAGAGGAAGTTTATGTTATTGCGCTGTTATATATTATTCTATCTGTAGTAAAAACAAGGTTCTAATGAAACCCTGAATTGCCAATAAAATGTAACCATTTTTTCAAATTTTTGTTGGCTCATCTTTCGCTTTTAATCATTTTTCTTGGTTATCTAAAATTCTAAGTTTGGCAACATTAGTAAAGCTATTCTCACCATGCATAAGACATGGTCTGACACAAGTTTCGTTGTGCCTCGCGGGAAAATTTTCCAAAGCTCTTCATTCCTCGCAGCAAAGTCGCAAGCTTCTTCATTTCAGCTTCAGTTCTTTCTTCGGGCTTCTTGGCACAAGTCAAACGAGCCCACAGGGGAAAATGAAGCTTTAAATAAAATAAACAGGTTACTTATAATTGGGTGCTGCCGCTGCTGAGACTCAGGGGATTTAAACAGTTTTTTCGAGTGATACCCTTTCACGAGAGTAATTTTAGCTGAATTATAGACCTAGGCACAATGTTATCCTGGTCGAGTTATTTGAGGGAAATAACTTTTTGGCTTCCGCAGCATGATATAAAAAGAGAAGCATTGATAGAAATCAGGTGCATCTATCTAGACACTAGCAAGGACATTTAATAGCCATGGCCTAGAGAAGTCATAGATTGCAACAAAATTGATGTTTACCTCACCCTACTAAGCGTCTAAGCTAAGTATGAATTTTGATACTCAGTAATTTAAAACTGGCCTATCCGAAGCCTTCGCTAAAAGTGAATATAACTGTACCAAATTTTGGACTGGTCATGTGACACATGTCCTGCGCTGTGACGCAATGTCAGAGCATCTCGTGCAGTGGAAAAGAAAACGTGAACCTTGTAACATACAGAATGTTACGAGTATTGGTTTGATTCCTCAGCGAGGATTGATGAGTCTCCCCAAGTACTGTTCAGCCATGTTTGCTGCCAGGTTTCTTGTCATTCCAAATATTTGCAAAAGACAATCGGCGGCAAAATTGTTGAAACACTGTCGTCAAATGGAGTACTTTGGAAAATAAAACAATACGCACCCCCCCCCCCACCTTCCAAACAAGGTTGGGGTAGCTCATATAGCGGCACAACTTTGCATGGAGGGGTGGGGAAGGGAAAGCTAATTTTTTCTCGTTTAAAGTCGACAAAACTTCAGAAAAGCCCTTAAGGGCAGAGTGTTTCGACTAATTGTGTCAACGATTGCAGACAAGGGTGACTCATGAAACGATATTGCGATTCGCATTTGGTACAAAGTAACAAAACCTTACCGTATTATCTCTGGAGAACAGGTGCTTGTTGAACGTAATCGGCATAGCTTGTATTAGTGTTGTGTTATTTTCGTTTTCTGGTAACATATCCCTCATGTAATACAGATCGTACTGTCTCGATTTATCCTGATCTGCGTATTTTCTAATGCTTAGGCAGAGGGAGCTGAATATACGGATTAGAAACACGGCACGGCGAAACCTGGTGGCAGCCTACATAAACAATAAAATCAATCAAGCAACCAATCAACCAAATCCCTCTTAAGGCCCCGTGCAAACGGACGTACTCAACATTGTTGGCCAACAACTCCCAACATTGTTGGACATGTTGCATGTTGTCGGGAGTTGTTCTGCAAAGTTTGAAACTGGTCAAAAGTTTGAGCCAACATCTCCTAACATTTCTTTTGTTCCGTGATCGCCGAAGCGTAGCGCAACAATGTTGGATCAGTTTACACAGCTCTTTCAACATTGTCAGAGCCATACACGCGTATTCCACATGGTTTCCTTCAAGTTACAATTTTTATCGGATGTATCCTCCCCAAGATGCATTCAGTTTCAGGTCCCAAAATTGTTGGGGTTGTTGCATCTGTTTACAGGTGTAGCTTTATGCGATTAAACGATGCCTTTTTTCTTTGCCCCCCAAAAGCTCTTTTTTCTATGCTCTACTCTAAACTGGAACTGATGAAACCCTTACTATTTGAGGCGAATATGATCCCTTCTGAAGCTTGACTTAAATCTTCAGGAAAACTGCCCTTCATATCTATTTATCATTTTATCTCCAGTCATGAGAAGGTAAAGTGTACAAGCGGTAAGAACTGAACCAACTTGGCAATCGCAGAAGGGAATACATGCAAAGGAAACGGGGGGGGGGGTAGGGGGATGAAAAGGAAACAAAAACATGACTTCACTTCTACCGTTATAAGTGACACCGCGATAAATATGCAAAATTAATTCCTCCCTTCTTGCACCTTGTCTTAGCCTAGGGGAAGAAAAAATGATACATTACCAGCTGTCTTTTTTCTTCTTGTTCTTCCTCGTCAATCGAGGTCACTATTCCGACAAAACTTTTTCGCCTAAGTTTGCACTCCTTCTCATCTCGAGAACCCTTCCTTCTCAAGCGCTTGCTCGCTTCTTCCACGGACAGAGAACGCCGGATACTTTTTAGACTAAAATAACTTGACTGTCTGCTTAGGGTCGGAACAGAAGTTCTGGTTGGCGAAGATGCCTTTGCTATGCCCTGTTTTGAGTTTTTCCCGTCCGCGGTAATTTCAGTCTTGCTACTCACGCGAACCAAGTTCGGACGGCTAGTTTTGGGGCGAGTTAAAGCTTCTGGCTTCGGTTGCTTTTTAGTGGAACTTGACAGGGGTCTTGTAAACAGCAAGCCACTCGTGCTCGACGACATTGTCGAATCCTGTTTACTCGGTTTAGCATCAACATCGTTACGATTCTCATTCAACAGAAGACAATGCGACGTGTATCTTCGAAGCAAACGCGCCCTGTTGGGTTTAGTTTTCTTTGTTTCCTCAGAATTTTCGTTTTCCTTTCTACCCTCCTCATTGAATGGACTAGTAGCACATTGCATGATAGCATCTCTATTCCGGCTAGCAACACTTGTCTCCGTGTTTAAGTCCTCCTGTCAATGCTTTGTGATGTTTCAGTTCTTTGGAAAAACAAACTTAAGTGCGATTAACTCGACGTATAAGTGTTACAATAAACTTCACTTCCTCGCGGAAATAGACAAAAAACAACAACGCTACAAGTCTTGTCCATTCACGGAAAGAACGACACCGAAACAATTTATTCTTACCTCTACTAGACAAGCCTTGAGGTCTGTGTGAATTTAGCATCATGAAGCAGCCATGTGGAACAACTCAGTGAATGAATGATTCGTAAAAGGAACAGGTAATTAGCGGTAATACGCTTTTAATGAAAGACACAAATTAATCTCCATTGAGGGATCAAATGGTATTCTTTTTGACGTACAATAATTGCCGTCCTGCAAACGAAATATATGTATGGTATTGAGCCCACTTTTGTTCTATTATCCTACCGTACATTAGTTAGCTTCTACGTCTGTCTTCATGGTTCTGTGCCTTCAATTTTGGCAAGACAAATGAAACAAAAAAAGCGAAGCGCTCTGAGAAATGACCAGTGACATATGTAAATTTCTCGTTTGCAATTTTAGAGATTAGTCCAACTTTCAGAGGCAGCTTAGCCTAGCTGTCATTGACGATGAAATTAACTTTCATTTCAGCAAATTATTGTTTTAATCAACTCCAAATGTGATTAATCTCAAACAATTTTTAAATTTACCGCAAAGTTTAGGCAGGTTCCTGCTTTTTACGTAACAAGTTAAAATTTGATAAAAATGAATGCACCAAGACGACGTCAAACTGATAATACATGTTCACAAACACCAAACCCGCAAAGGACAATGCAGAATAAAGAAAATATGCGTTGGTTTTCCCTTTTTTTGGCTCTCATGAATCCTCAACTTTTCCTTTCCCGATACGGCTTCCGTCCACACGTATCTGGTGAATCCGGCATACGAATCTGCTCTCCAGAGTGGAAATTTTTAAATACGCTATAGCGGGATCCGGAGTCGTGTGGACGCTAAATTCGGATATTTCATCCGGTGACGTAACAAGATGGCAACCTCATTCCCAGGATTTCTCTGTAACCCGCCTTACGACGCATGCTCTGTTGCCACTATTTCCCGAAGAGTCCGGCGCACAGGGTCCAGAGGAGATGTGTTTGTCGTCAGAACATCAAAACCCGTCGAAAACATCTGAAAAAATGGGTTATTTTGATCGCGTTAACGATCGCGTTACAGTTTTGTTACAGATTCTGTGTACCGCAAACCAAGAGACTGACGGCTCGCAAGATCGGCTTACAGTATTCATAAAGATCCCATTGGGCTAATTAATCGTGCTAAGGGACAAGTATAGACATTTTTCAAGGTGAGACTTTAAATAAGTAATTTATTTATTCACACGAAACTCCTCTGGACCCTGTGTCCTGCGTACGAGAGTGAATCCGGATACGTGTCGGATCACGTATAGCCTTAGCCTGTTCCAAGCTCCGAGATAGTGGTGAAAAGTCGTTCAGTATAAAGAAATGCGAATGCAACCATGTAATAAATTTTTTACTGATGATGAGCTGCTCTCCTTTTTTAATCTTACAACCTTGAAGACCATGTGCGCCCCCTTTCCCAAGTCGCGCGCGTCTTATTTTCGCTTTGCTCGTTTTAATACGCCCGCACTATACTATCTGAGAGCCTGGCACAGGCTAGTGTAGCCTGCGAAAGGGAGACGTTTCTCCTCGCTCGCCGTTCGCAGGCTAGGATGCGTGTGGACGGGCAAATTCGATTTGAATATGGATATGTGTGAACGAGGAAATTTTTGAATCCGCAAAGAAAAATTTGCGGATTAAAAAATATCCGGATAAGGTATGTACGTCTACAAATAACGAACACGTAAATTACGTACCTCTGTCTCAACCAACAAAGTAGCGTTCAAATTTCGGATTCAATTTTAAGCCGAGACAATCTTAGTTTGGCTGCAAATATAAAGGCTTGGGTCTTGGCAGCTTAGCGCACGACTGCCTTCTTTTCGCTCAACTAAAGATGGAGTTTAAGATGTCATGACGGCGACGGCAAAGAGAACGTAAAAAAACAAACAAACAAACAAACAAACAATAGGTTTAGATCACGCATTTTCAGACATTTCTTTGCCGTCACTGCACGACTCACCGGCTTGAGAATTCCTGATTTCTCGCCTGACGGACTAGGGACGCGATGTGACTACGAAATTTTCTTTCCCTTTCTGAACTTGGTTCCTCACCTTGGAATTCAACTTAAACTCCCCAATAACACCTGTGATTCGCCTGTGATACAAGTTACTGACATGCCCTAAGTGAACAACTTTGCAACTTTTGCAGCAAGTTACAAAAAGATGAACACCGCTTTGATGGATGAAAGAGAAAGTATTCATTTTCTTACACACTTCTACCAAACATCCGCACGCTACTTAAGACTGATGGCTTCCGTTACGTTAGTTCTAAAGCATCTGTGCACTAAGATATAGCGATGACCCAAATGATCACAGAACAGACATTGAGAAATCTAACAATTCGCCAGTGACGTTTAATTCAACCCAACTTATGACTATGGATAGTAATTAATTCTTCGATATACTAAAACTTGTACATGAAAGTAAAATTCCTAAAAGCTATTAATTTTTATAGGAGCGTTTGTCCTGTCTTTCTCACACCGCACAAAAATGTCCTCGGCTAGTAAAGATTAAGGGTAAGGAAAAGGCAGTTTCCGCATTCAGCGCTATTTTTGTTAGGAGAAAACCAGGCATTACAAATGACTTGCTTCTGACATCTATTCTAAAAGAGAGAGGAGAATTTATATTATTATTTACCATGATTACTGATTATGACTGCACTCATACTCTCCAATGCGTTCAGAGTTTATAACAGAGAGGTGAATTTTGTCTTAAACAGAGTCGGGGGTCTGAAGGCCGTGGGGAAACCGAATATGGTCGTTTCGTTACAAAGTCGTTTCGCTACATAATAAAGTCGATTCGCTGCAAAGTTGTAAGGTAACTTCGCTAACTTAACTCGTTATTACTTTGTAGTTCATTCTCAACTGTTCTAAACCGTTTAATACAAAAAGTTGGTTGCAGCGAATCGACTTTATGATGTAGCGAAGCGACTAGCAGTGAAACGACGTTGCAGCGAAAAGACTTGTAGCGAAACGACCGTAATTCGGGCAAACCTTTACCCAAACATCCCATGAGCGGGCAAAAAAAATACAGAATAAACATTTTTAATGGAAAGAAACAAATTTATCTCTTTATTTGAGAGAAACCGCATCACTTTTGTGAATTAAGGTTGCGTAAAAAAGGCTTGTTTTTAGAAAACTTTTATCAAGAATAAGTATAGAATCGAAGATAGTATGGTAGTTGGTTTTTACTAAAACATTACACCAAAATAATAATAACTCACAGAAAACTCTTTCTCGTAGTCTAATAATGCTAAATACTTATCACAAACATTTTAACGTGATTTATGTGTTCGTACCTTTTTCTGTACAGTTAATCTACTTCAAAAGACTCTTGATGTCATCTGTTTCAGCACATTCAAGATAAGATCTACCATCAGGGGCTTTTAAATTTTTGTCAGCGCCCTAAAACAAAGGAAAAATGGTATCTATGCTTATCAAATCGTTGTCTGGAAATAAGTGGTGCTAGCTCAATATTTTCCAAAGTCTTCTTAGGGACCTCAAAATTATGGAATCATTGCCAGAGAAAAATAAATGGTTTCATGAAAAGAGGACAATAATTAGGTATATTGCAGTGATTTTGTTACAAATAGTTATGGTGAGTCCTGGGACTCATCTTGTGAAAAATCATGAGTCTTAGTCCAGAACCAATGAGTCCCAGTTAAAAACAACGAGGTGAAATTGAAAATGCTTAGGACTTTATGTAACCTATTACCAGACACTTAATCTGAAGACAGACTCCAAAGCTCTGTATTACAGTGTACTGAAATTAAAGTATAGTCCTTCTCATTTAAAGAACAACAAAGGCTAAAAGAAATATGCATCGTTAAACAACAGCCATAATAACTGCCACAGAAATTACACAAACAGGCCAGATATTTCTACAAATACACGTACACATGTTCAGAATGATCGATCTTTGTGTCCTATGGGACGCATGCCATGAATTACTTTGCATCTTTAGGGATTTTAATGCGTCAGATTCACAGGATGCAGAGGTAACAGAAGCACTGACATTGTACGTGAAGTGTTTACCATGATCAAAAAGGCTACCCACATATCACAATCGAACCTGAAGGTTCACATAATAGTACCTCAGGGCTAGTAGAAGGAAAATCATCCTTGTAAAGGTGAATTTTATTATAAAGAAAATGGACTATAAATAATAATATTCATTCAACAGTTTATTTAACTGTAACTTAAGAAAAATCATGAACACTCAATGATACTATGGTTTGTTGCAGCACCGTAAACTTAAAATGGCTGCAATAGACCTTTTTACCAATACGGCCGCCATATTGAATTAATTTCATTTAAGGAGTATTATAGGATGCCCAGGGGGCATGAGCACATTTCGTTTGTATTTTCGAGCACTTTTTGGGCCATTTTTTCTTAAGTTTTCTTAGAATAAGATTGTAATGGGAAGAAAGATCCTTGTGCTGTGTTTGGATGTAATCCTATAATAATCATTAAATCAAATTAATTCAATATGGCCGCCGTATCGGTAAAAAGGTCTGTTATGGTTGCTAAAATAGTAAATCCTAATTGCCATGCTGACCAAAAATGGTTATAGATTTGGTGCGCTGGAAACGAACCCCAAGTTTAAAATGTCTTGATGTCTTGATGTTTGAACAAGTTGTCCTTATTGGCTTCGAAAACAATTTAAGCAGAAAATGTGGAGAATATGCATGTTGATATTGACAATGGCTTCATGGCATGGTGACTTACTTTTCTTCAGCTTGCCTGTGATCTTTACAAAGATTTTGATAACTGAATTACTTTTGATTGAGATCACAATGTGTGCTGGTGAATTACGTAGGAAGTAGCACAGCCAAATTAGTTTGTTATACTCGCAATGTGGTTGTCTTATATGTACGTTCAAGTCCCTCTCTGGACACTAGTCAAATTTGTTCTTGGTCTTCCCGAGTTCTAATCCTTGGCCACGCCTGGTTGCCTCCTGCCAGTTGAGGTTTTTAACCCTGTTATGTTCTATTTAGATTATTTGTTACTTGTAATATACTTGAGTGGAGTGACTATAAACTAGCTGGATAAGCTAAGGGCACTTTCCAAATATATAATAAGATTTTCATTCCTCTACGTCTTTTAATAATAGTGTTACTAGAGTAATTTACTTTAATATTTTCTCACCTTTTCAAGCAGTAATTTCACACATTCTGTTTGACTTTCAAAAATACTGGCCAACAGAGCAGTTATGCCATGTTTGTCTGGAAGCTAATGATGTCAAGAAAAGAAAACTCATTTTGAAGAATGATCACAGTAATCAAGTTTGGATAAATTTAAAAGGTAAACTCTTTATTTAACCAATAAGGAGGCGTTCAATCAAAGCACATCCATCTGAAGATACTATGGTTTGAATGCAGTCAGGTAGCCTGTGTAACAAGTGCCGTAATTTTTTACGGCGAAGGGAGAAAGTTTGGGAAACACACGCGTGCACACAAGGTGAGAAAGGAGAGGAGGCCTCCAATGCTGTTTGCATCTACAGTGTTTTTTTTTGTCTTCTTTAGGGCGAAGCTAACAAAATAAAAAATAAATAAAATGTGCACTCTATAAAAACTAAGAAAAAAAAAAACAACCGGCATGCTAGGAGTCAGGTGCATTGGTTCAAGCCAGCCTGCCAGTGAAAGGAGCATGTCACAAATAATTCTCCTCTGGCTGCTTTGTTTTACTCATTTTCAAAATAAAGAGTGTTGCCAGACAATTTCACTGTCCTATCTGATAACTAATGACAGATACTGTGAGGGCTTTCATTTAGTTTTGAAGCAGCCTTGAGCAACTAAAGATTCACCCATAACATCCCACAAAAAGTTTATAGTGTCATCTTTCGCTTTCCAGTTTGATCACCTGTAACACCAAGTGAGCTTAGCCATAACAGCTGTTATGGTTTATGGCCCCTAATGACAGCTCTGACTGGCCATTAAATTTAATAGAAACATTGGATGGAGCTGGTGGTTTGACTTGTTAGCTTCAGATGTAGGTCAAAAGACATGGTTGTAATGTTACATACACAGGTAAAGTGTCTTGGCATCCGCATACACTGGGTAAAATACACAAAAGACTCTAGGCACTTCGTTTTGTTAATACTTGTTCTCTTTAATAATATTGTTTGACCACTACGCATGCCTTTCTTTCACAAAAGAAGTAGGAATATCTTACTTTTTTTCCATTGGTGAATACATTCCTTTAACTGAGCAAGTTTAAGTTCCTAAAGTCTGTATTTGTTATGGACCAACATTGTTTTCCTTCAGATTTATGGTTCGAAAAAGTGTGCTAGACGCAACTGTATGTACAACAGACGAGCTCCATAACTTAACAATATTATTGAGAAAACCAGTTTAGCAAAATACTTATTGTATTTCCATGTCAGGTTTATACTGCAATTTAGGCTCTACATTGACCAGTCACAAAGAACGATTGTGCTTACTGACAGATATATCTACAATTCATGAAAGACTGACATGATTCATCCTCGGAGACCCAAGGGCAGATAGTGGGGGTGAGGGAAAGTCTAAACGGGCGGGAAAATATTTAAAAAAGTTAATAAAAAAAATATATTTATATAGGGCCTATACTTTTCAGTGCTAAGCGCTTGAAAATATGGCACGAAGAAAAGAAAAGAATGTCGAGAAGAGCCCCTGGGGACAATGTCTTATCAGACCAGTTCCAAACTGTCACCATCGTTCTGGTTTCTGATTGGTGCCAGAAAACTTTTGTGTTTTTCTGCCCAATCAGAAGGCAGAATGGCGGCGACCGTTTGGAACTGGTCTGGTAAGACATTGTCCCCAGGGGCTCTTCTCGCCGTTCTTTACTTTTCTTCGTGCCATATTTTCCTGCCCGTTTAGACTTTCTCTCGCCCCCACTATCTGCCCCTGGGTCTCCGAGGATGGACATGATTTATTTGCCAACTTTCATTAACAACAGCATTCAAACTGCTTTATAGTAACTTACGTTGATATTTGCTCCCTTTGATAGAAGAAACTCTATGACTTCCTTTTGTCCGTAATCGGCAGCATAATGGAGGCCATTGCGTCCTGCTAACAGCCCAGCATTCACATCAAAACCCTAGAAAATTGCAAATTGGTTCATTTGCCAGTCAGAAGTGAATAAGATCCTGTTTACACAGGTCTGCACAATTTTTGAACAGAAGTATTTTTTAACTACACAACTCGTTTACACAGAACAGTTCAAATTTTGTTACAGATTTCAGTGCTTTTTACACAAGTCCATACAAATTTTTGCATAGTTTCAGTGATAGGTTAAAGCTTTTGCATTAATCAACTTATGGAAGGTGTGTAACCAAGCTCCAGGCTTTTATCACACAAACTATGCAAAAACTTGCATGGTTCAGGACAGGTGTTAACACGAGTTCGTGTTAAAGTGAACTGTACCGGTAAAGAATTTGACCTATTTGTGATTATGTCAAAAGCTTGCATGGTTCCTTGGGTTCCATGGGAACAAAAGACGGATCTGTGAAAGTTTTTGTCTATTCTAAAATTTGTCAGGATCTGTGTAAACAGTGTCTTAGTTAACATTACATGACCGTCAACAAAGAAACCTTAAAGTCTAAGTGGATGGGGGAATGGCAAAGAGAAAACATTGGCCTTGACAATTTGGCTTAAGAATCTAAAGGAAAGTACATTGAAATTAAAGTCTATGGTTGCAGCTACAAGAACACTTTTCTGAATGTCATTAAGATTTCCTGAGAATAATATGCAATTAGAATACCGGAGAATTTGACAGCTAGGAAATTCCTTTTGCATGGCTTTCCTTTTGTTTCCTATCAAAGTTCCGAAGATGGTGGTCATGCTCATAGAAGCCAGGATAGCCTGTGATCATGCCCTCCCTAAAAACCATCGCAAAACTATTCCTTTTATTTCTTAATTTTTGTTTGCCACCACAACATACTATATGGTAAGTACATGATCAATTATTGTGAGTATTGTATGACCCTCTGGAAAAATGATTTCACATGGATAACCCCTAACCTGTCAGAAAATTGGGTCTTTTAACTCCCCCCCTCCCCCTCAGAAATTCCACTGACTATTGGAGGGGGAGTTATGGATATTTTCTGGAATGATACAATAAAGTTCTGTTCTCAACGGCTTATAAAGTAGCACTAAAAAGACATTATTGTGTGCAAAAAAAATACATTTATTTTAGAACAAAAGTGTAAATGGAAGGACAAATAATATAATGCACTCAAAGGAATTACCACCATGAAATTTTTTACAGTGCATGAATTAGGCTTAATGTCTCTAAAACGACTTTAAAATAAAACTCAGTTAAACTGGGGTAAATATATTCTTTCAGTGCAGCATCTCCACACAAATGACTAACGCAGAACCTCAATTATATTTGCAAATGACCTCGATCGTTTGATCAAAACTTCCAGGATTAAGTGCAACACGAGAAGGCCAACGACAAATAAACTGTTAAAATATCGGTGCAGTTCGGGGCACGCGTCCATTTTGTTTCATTGGTAGAAAAGGTCGGCGCTGACCATTTACAAACTAACTAATGTAGTTATGAAGGGCCTTTATAGTGTTTTTTCGTATCTACTGTATTTTTAGAAAAACTCCAATCTCGGACCAAGTCGTGCGAAAAAACATGTCAATAAAACAACACTTCACACACCCACAAATAAAATGAAAGATTTCTTCCAGTGCGCTTCCACAAAATTATTTTCTTACCGGTTTCTCTACAATCGCTTTCACCTGATCCAGATCTCCATTCTTACAAGCCCACACTGATTCCTCTCCCATAATGGACGAGAAAAACAAGAAAATTCTTATACCTTTGGCATGCACACTGGTAAAGTGAAAGAGATACTCGTGTCTTGCTTGGATCAGACTACCCAGAAATCTATTCGAAATATTTATAGACACATTGTGGGTTCTTACAAGAAGTATGTTACGAAAGTTCTTTAGGAAAGGGCTTGGTGCAGAGCAAAGGTAGAAGAAGACCCGAATTTTGGTTTTGCGATAGTTTACGTAACATCAAAACCATGGATGACCCTTTTGCGGTGAGAGACCGTTAGACAAATAGACTAGGAAACATATTTTTGTTTATTTTATGTTGTATACGAGGGACTCATTTCATTTTCTTTAGACAGCCAGTATGTTTACGGTTCTGTATTTTCATCTCCGCCTTACAATGTGCAAAGGGGCCAATAATTATTAGTTGACCCTCCCTTCTTGTACTATAAATTCTAACGTTTGTAAATTCTTATTCGATCTACAGTCCGCAGGCCGCAAGTTTGTTATATGTACAGCTGTGAAATCTGACCTTCGTAGAAACTAAGAAAGCTGATTATTAGCCCTTTTTGGACCACATTTTCTTCATTTTGAATTTTGTTTTGTGTGTTTTCTCATTCACTTCCTTTGCGGCTCTGTCGAAGCGTGATTGTTAAGTCGAGTATTGTGTATTCTGACATCACCTAGGAAAACAGAGTATTATGCTCAAAATTATGCTCTGTTGGTGGTATTATGCTCCTAATTTATGCTAGACTAAAGTAACACTATTTTACATTCTTGGACTAAATAGATGGAAAATTTATACCCCCCTTTCTCCCCCCACCTCCCAAATCAAGGATAATAAAATGGCGCAGTTTGGCTTTTGCGCGGCTTCATCCTTGATTTGGTGGGGATGCTTGTTATTGTAATTATCATTGACGACAGTGAAAAACGTAATCGTGAAGGCAGGCTTTTGAACTTCAGAGTTTATACCTTTTTTGCACCGTTGTTATTTCTTTGTAGAAACCTGTGTTTGTTGGCCTTGGTGTTGTCATGGTTACAGTAGCATTTGGATTGATCACGTACTTCTTTAAAAAGCAAGGGAAAGATGCAAGACCAGTGGCCCTTGATTCGCAGAAGAAGATTCCGTTTAAACTCATTGACAAAAAGGTATTTAAACATCAAGTTGTGTTTTATTTCGTGAAACAAATATGTAGCTAAAACAAGATCATTAATGATCAGGACTGTACTGTAGCAGTGCCTCAAGACCCCTTGTACTGGCATTTTTGCCTTTGGGCAACAAGGAAATCCAGAACCCCTGGATTTCAATGTGTTCCCAAATTATGAAAAAAATAATTTTAACTGTTGTTTGTTCTCTGAAGATTGTGAGTCATGACACGAGAAGGTTTCGCTTTGAGCTGCAGTCACCTGAACACAAACTTGGACTTCCTGTAGGTATGCTTCTGTACAATGTTCAATTTCTTTTTCCGTGAATCAGTAGAACTTATATTATTATTGGAAAATTATGTCATAATGAGCAAGAGTATCAAATACTTTCTTTCAATGAGCAGTATTATACTTTTATGTCTGAACAACAAAGAGTCAGATTAGAGAAAATGATTGCAAAAGGCATCTGATACCTTGGGGCTAGTTGAGTGACTTGTAGCAGGTTTGCAAATTTAAGCAATGTCATTGCAAGTTGCCGCATGATGGGCAAGCAAAGAAAAACCACAAATAACTATAAAGTTTGGGCTATGACTCAGTCAGAACTCTGGGTGAGCTAAGAAAGCAACATTTGGGTATTCTGGGTGAACTGATGTTCTGATTTTTATCTCACCTTATATCAAATTAGACGCAGACATAGAAATGCTCTTTATTGTTTTTATGGACTTAATTTACCCTAATATCATCCTCATTGTTGATGTCTCTGTTTTCTCTGTTTTTTTGATCAGGAAATCACATGTATCTCAGTGCCAAAGTTGATGATAAACTTGTGATCAGACCGTACACTCCTGTTACATCTGATGATGAACTGGGTTATTTTGAGCTGGTTATTAAGGTAACTTTGTGACAGTTGACTATTCATTAACATTGTATCTAAATTTAAACTTATCTGTCCAGGAGATAATTTCTAATTCCATGAAGAAACTAGACCTTAATGTTTTGGCTTTCAAACCTTGTGGACATGGCATTGGTTACATCGTGATCAGGGCTTCAGTATTAGCTGAAACCTGTTATTTCAAGAAAGTTTAATTTCTTCAGAATTATCTTGTTACTTTTTTCAAGGTTATTGAACATTCTTGAATTGAATGACTGTTGAAAATTTCTTTTTAATTATGCTTATTTCATTGTTTGAATTTATTTCTTTGTTTGATCAAAATTTGGACCTTTCTTCATTTTGTTTCATTGATTTGTTTATACTAAAATTAAATCAATCATGTGTCTTAATATTAATCAGTGTCTTCTTTCAAAGACCTATGTGAAACTTCTAAGCGGACCCCCAATTAAGTGAACGCCCTCTATTATAATATTATTAAGTGGACACTATAAGCCGGGTCCCAAAATTAATGTGTTATATTTCCCTTTATAATGAACCCCTATTCAGTGGACACCAAAATAAATTGTGTTTGGCTAATTTCTATTGTTAACCCATTCGCCCCTGAACCGCCTGTAACCGCCGGGCGGATCCACGTCCTTTCTACCCTTTGTGACTTCATCAGTTTTAACAGTCAGGGACAACTTTGTCTGCTAACTTGTGTAGAGTGAAGAAATCTTTCAAACCATAACAGAATGAGCACAATTCAGTTAAGGACACTGGAGAAAGAAGCAAAAAACCATGTGACATTGACCTGAAAATCTCCATGAAAATCTTGTTCCATTGCTCACCTACCTTTCCTTTCACCTAATCCTAAGATCCTAAAAGCTTTCCTAAAAACTCTTCCCACCAAAATGAAGCCTACTAAATGCCCAGCAAGAGAAAAAAAAATGAGGCAAGAAAAGCGAAGAAAGAGGGGAGGAGAGAAAGCGAAAAGTAAAAGTCAAGACTGCTGTGTCACTTTCAAACCCAAAAACTATCTCAAAATTTTGCTTTCTGCTCATGCCCGAACTTCGCAAGCTGATATTTTGCATCTGGATCAGAAGGCCGTGAAGTGTACAACCTGTAAACCTGTGTGTGGTAGGTTTTAGCTCTTTATAGCACGACAGTGACCACTCCAGTAGCTTCAAAACGCGTTTTTCAGCAAAATCTCCAGGAGCGAATGGGTTAATAACCTCTATTTAGCGGACACCGGACTGAATTGACAATACTAGTATTGGATTAACGTCTTTGAAATACGTACTATAGTCAATTAACAATGCGGATAAGTCAATACATTTAGCTGTCAATAAACTGTAGATTAGACTGAAAGTCTTGCACAAATTACAGCACAGCTTCCTTGGCTGAAGTCCTTAACAACATGGAACTTTATCACAGTACAGCATAACCGTTGAAAGTTAATTGTTAACAAAATTGTGCACTTTCTACGAACCTCTATCAAGCGGACACCCTCTATTAAGTGGACTCTTGGGAAGGTCCCGAAGGTGTCTGCTTAATAGAGGTGTCACTGTATTAGGTTTAGGGTTTAGGGTGAGGGATCCTTAGTCATATCTGTAAGTTAAAACCATCTGCTTTTTGGTTCAGACTTTAAGCCTAAGATGACCAAGAGAGATACTGGAGTACTGGCTTTAATGTGTAGTGTGTAATGAGACAGTTTTTTTATTTTTATGCCTGTTCAATATTGTGTTAGGTTTACTTCAAGAATGTCCACCCTAAGTATCCTGAGGGTGGAAAGATGTCCCAATACTTGGATTCTCTTGAGATTGGTGACACTGTTGACATTAGAGGACCAGCTGGAAAGCTGACATACTTAGGGAGGGGTAAGTAAATTTTGTGTGGTGCTGTTCAACAGGGGAGAGGCTGGGGCAAAAATCTTTCATAACATTTTTTTTAAATGTGGCAAGCTTACATTAAGTAATCATTTTGATACCTCTCCAGGAAAATTTGCAGTCAAGGAGAATACAAAAGATCCTGTGAAGTTTAGAACGGCAAAAAATGTTGGCCTAATTGCTGGGGGAACTGGTAGGACAGAAAATTATTATTATATATTTCAATGTGCTTTAAGGCTACCTGAAGTGACAGTTGGCACTATGCAATATTATGAGATTTAGCCGAACACCAGTTGTCCCAAGGGACCACTGTACCATGTGTTCCATGCTGCCTGCATTTAATGCAAGCCTTCATAATTATTATACAATAAGAACTTTGTAAACGTACTTGTTTGATTTTCAAACATGCATGGGTGGACGAGGGGGTGTTTGATAGAGACATGACTTAATTTGGTCAACTCTCTCTAATATAGACGCCTTTAAGACTAGCACTATAATTATGTCCGTCTTAGTGAGATGTCCACCTAATTAGAGAGTCAACTCAAAGGAGTGAAGAAAGGTAAGGACCAACTCTAGGTGTCTGTCTTAGTAAGGTGTCTATCTTACAGAGAAGTCTGCTACAGAACAGTTGACTGTAGATATTTTTCCAGCCAAAAATGGGTTGTGTCTGAGCAAAACATAGATTTGAGAAGACAACTTGACCCGCGCCAGCCACAAAATTATTTCATGGCCTGGTAAGAAAAAAAATGATGCCTCTTAGTTTGGCAAGTCATTTTCAGGTTGGAAGAGGAGGTGTTAGAATGTGGAGCCGCCAACCTTGAGCCCCTGCTTCTAATATTATTTTGGTGTTGACTGTTGTTATTGTTTCTTTTTTGTGAATTCTTAAGGCATAACACCCATGCTTCAGATCATCAGTGCAGTTATCAAAGATAGCGAGGATAAGACCAACATTTCACTCCTGTTTGCAAACCAGGTTTGGATGATTTTTCATTCTTTCTTCTTACAATCAAAGGAATGCACAAAAGTCTGGATTCTTTGTTTTGTTAGATAAATGGTTGATTCAATATTACTGTATATTTTCCTTTTTTAGACAGAGAAAGACATTCTGGTAAGACCAGAGTTGGAGGAGTTAGCTAAGGAGTGCCAGAATTTTACACTGTGGTACACCCTTGACAGGCCTCCTGAAGGTACAAGTATTTTTTCTGCTATGAGGGGAGGAGAGGGAGGGATACCTGAGCACTTAGTACTGGGTAGCTTTGGAATGATCAAGGCTGTGCTCTAGGAAAAACTGAAGGGAGCCAAGTACTCCGAGCCAGTGAAATCCAGGCTGCCCACCATATAATTTGTATTAAAAAAAATAAGATTTTCTAATCCCCTGGTAGTAAAAGTTAGGTGCCTGGGGCTGCTAGGTACTACTAGAGTACAACCTTGATGATTAATGTTGCTTGACATAATTGGCCATTCATGCAAACAGTATTTTTCACACCAGGCATTTATTTCAAACTTGGCCTCATAAACCTGACATTTCTTTGAATTTTCAGTTTACTTGGGCGTGTTATTTCTTAGGAATAGGTTGTTAACTCTTTTTTTACAGCGTGTATCTCACCCTCATACCGTGAGCTTGTTATACCACAAATAAACGCCTGAAGGGCTTATTAACAATTCAAAAGCCAATAATTCATGTTTGCTTCAGAAGAATAGTCACTCATGAAGGTTTGATTGTAATTGTATTTTTTCTGATTTTTTTCCTAGGCTGGCCTTATAGTTCAGGATTTATTAATGACACAATGATCAAGGATCACATGCCAGCCCCGGGACCGGATACTCAGATATTGATGTGCGGTCCTCCACCCATGATCAACTTTGCTTGTATTCCCAACCTAGAGAAACTTGGCTACACTGATGATATGTATTTCCCTTTTTAAGTGCATCGTGAGCACCCTGCACAGGAATACCATCTTTTGAGTGGTTCTTCTGTTTAGTTAGCTGTTAATAGCTTGCGTGGTAGATGCTGAGTTTGTTGAGTGCATGAAAGATCTGGATCCGGCCCACAGTGGTTTTGTGCAACGATGAATCTTCTTCTCCTCTCTTGCTTCTGCCACGCAGGCTTGCTATTGTAGAGATTAGATGGTCAAAATAGAAATGAATTTAAATGTGTTGTAGTTTTCACAATCTGCTTTCACCTTCTCTTCAACTTGATTTTCTTTGCTTTTCTTACGACGCTTGTCTTTCACTATGGAGTCTACCAGTCTGCCACGACTAATACATGTTTGATAAAAAGACAAGAGACAAGACTGAGTCTCGATCATCCTGAAAAATTATCCAGGGAGAAAAATCGGGGTGTTAATTAATTTATCTGTGCGGGTTGTTTCTCAAGTAAAAAAAAAATTCCTAGTAAAAATGAATCTGAGAGATGACAAGCCATTGTCGGTCGACCAGATCTTTTAATTGTGGAATAAAATAAACGTTTTGTAGCTTGGTTTACGTGTCGTTTTCTTGTCGATATGAGTGATGTAATGGGTGGGTTACCTATTTTTTTTTTCCCATGTCTTAGATCCTTAGAAAGTAAGGCTTCTCCCCGGGGAGGGGGCGGGGGGGGGACTCCCATATAAAACAGACGGGGATGCTCGTTGTCTCGCTTAGGGGTGTAAATTTTGGATCTTGGTCTCGCTTAGGGTGTTCCGGGCAAAGCGCCAATATTTTAAGCCGCCAAGGTCTCGTTTAGGGTTCCGCGAAGAAACACAGAATTACGCGAAGAGAAACAGAAGTCAATTTTCTTTTTAACTTTGTTTGTTATGTCTTTATATCATTAAAATTCATTGCATGTCGTATTTGTGTGTTTTTAAGCGGTCTCTTTTAGGGGTCAAAATTTGCTTAAGCCACGCCCAGATTGGCCTATTTAGGGGTCACAAAAAGCTTGAGCCACGCCCAGATGGTCTCCTTTAGGGGATAAATTCAAAATTCCCGACGAGCATCCCCGTCTGTTTCATATGGGAGTCCCCCCACCGGGGGCTTCGCGCGTCGGGCGCACTGCCCTGTTTCCTTACCTCGTGAAAAGGCTCATTTCTGTGAATATTGTGTTAAGAGAGACTGATCAACCTCTCATGATTTTTAGAAGTGGATATCCCTTCCCCACAAATATAACCAGTTCACATGTTTTGCGTGCCTGGGGTGCGTTTCTCGAAAGTCGTGGTAACTTCGATTCGGAAACAAATATTGAAATCAAAAACTAAAGAATTAGAGCGCGCGTTCAGTTAGTGGAGTGCGTAACGAAGTCAGAGAACGGGAAAAAGATAAGGAGAAAGAGATGGGGAGGGACTCTCAACCCCACCCCTTTGCTGTTTTTCCTGCTTACATCTCTTAGCGCCGTCCCAACAATCTGAACGCCTGGAACAGTCTATTTTAACTATCAATTAACGAAGCAAAATTGACTGGTTTGTGAGCGAGGAACTGTGCTACTGTTCAACGGGTTTTAATTTCAAAATTTGCCCTCTGCCCGAAAAGTTACCGGGTCTTTCGAGAAACAGGCCCCTGATCCAGTTTGCATAAAACCTTCTTAAGATAAGAGGGCTCTTAACTTTTGTTCTGGAACAATAACCTATTAATTTGAAATAATAGTTACGAGTTCCCTTAATCTTAAGATGTTTTTGCGACCCGACCCTAATAATAATAATAATAATAATAATAATAATAATAATAATGTAAAGATCATGATATAGAGATTACAGACAAATGGTACGAACACGAACCAGAGACCGTGATGCACAATATATAAAGATAACAACATAACCATCATGTGAGACATGCCAGTCAATACTGATAGAACTATAACAGCGAACAGACCAGATATCATCGTTAAAGATTCAGTGAATTCCACCTGCAAACTTATTGATATGACTGTTCCATCAGATAGAAACATCGCACTGAAGGAAACTGAAAAAAAATGCAAGTACAAAGACCTAGAACTAGAAACTGACAGAGAATGTGGCATATGAAAACAGTAGTGATCCCTGTGGTTGTTGGTGCGCTTGGTACAGTGAAGAAGGGTATGGTAGAAAACATCAAGAAAGTATCAGAAAGAGCTAATATGACAGAGATTCAAAAGATCTGCATGCTGGGATCTGCACGAATCCTCAGAAAGGTGCTCAGTGTATGAACAGAATGATTGACTTGAGTGACTGACGCTCTAGGTGCATGGTTTGCGCCCGGCTGATGCACAAAAAGAACACCAGCAAAGACTGTGATAATAGAGACAATAATAATAATAACTTTATTTGTATAGCGGTATATACAAAAGCTCCATATCGCTTTACAATAAAAAAAAAAGAAAACAACTAACTAACAACAGCACCAAAACAAAAAGTCAGTCGAAAGCGAGTCTAAAAAAGATAAGTCTTCTATCTAGATTTAAAAACATCAACTGATCCACTTAATTTAATGTCTAAGGGAATATCATTCCAGTGCTTTGGGGCAGCGACCGAAAAGGCCCTGTCCCCATAGCTCTTCAGGCGCACATTCGGTACTTCTAATAAATGTTTGCTAGCTGACCTAAGATTTCTTGTAGGGTTATATGGGACTATAAGTTGACTTAAATACGGAGGCGCCAGATTATTGAGAGCTGTAAAAGTTAACAGTAACACTTTAAAGGTAATTTTCGAGACTTCTTGGAGAAACGGGCACCTAGCCAAGAGGCTGTCTCAGCCCTTCCCTTATTCATGTCTCGCGTCCTTCCAATAGGCCATTTTCACGATGACGACATTTGACTACAACTACCAGAATTCATTTCGTTTTTGCTTTCTTATTTAAATTTGTCAATGCCGCTGAGGATTACAGAACAATAGCTCTAATTTGCACAAGAAAACAACAAACTAAAGGATTCTGGTAGTTGTAGTAAAATGACGTCATCGTGCAATTGTCCTATTGTGTCCTTCTGAAAAGCTATATGGGTTGCGCGCAACGCTATGCTCACACTTGTTGAACCAGTGCGATCCTTAATAAGCACTGACACGATATAGGGCCTGTTTACATAGAGTGGGGGACCCCGGTCTAGTGGGGTAGGTTTCTTTTGTTTTTTGTCCGCCAGAGCGTGAAAACAAAAGAAACCTATCCCACTAGACCGGGGTCCCCCACTCCATGTAAACAGGGTCATAGATGTAAACTTACAGCTTGCACAACTATTCTCGCCGGAATGTGGGCACTAATAAGGCCACGTTCACGGGCGCAGAACGAATTTTCGACCGGCTACTTGGTTCACAGGGAACCGCTCATCATTTTCGCGCTGTTCACAAGGAACTTTGAACGACTAGACGTCTAAATTTTCGTACGGTTAAGGTGATGCCGCGGTGTGAACAGAACAACTAAACGTCCAGCGCTGCGTGAACGTAGCGTAAGGTTTGCAGTGGTTCTCTGTGTGCATGCCTTTTTCATGATTTCTGCGATACGTCGAGGACTGCTTTGGGTGGCTACAGCTCCCTGCTATAATAGCGTCCGAATGGCGCGAAATGGAGCAGAAGTGGACACAATACTAGCCTTGGAGCAGCAGTTGAAACTACGGTATTATTAGTAATTATTTCTGATGCTAAGAACACAGAAAGAGAGAGATCTTCCACTCAGTCTCATAGGTAAAAAGAAAACAAAGAAGCTTCAGTTTTCTTTGGAATTTTCGATAACGGATCAGGGTTGATCTTCAACTTGAAGAAGTTGGCTCAATAAAGCGTTTTCACCCACGTGGCCAGCAGCTGTGCAAATTTATTGGATCAAACGACAGCTTTTACATGAGACAAAGGTTGGTTCAACTCCAACGTACAGGACTCATGTGGAACACCAACATGGGCGTCGTTTCATTAATTTGAATCACCAATATGGCGGACGTGGCGTCATGTGAAAACGCTCCAATCACCCCATGTAAGGGAATCCAGGAATTTCCCGGAATAGGCAAAAAATTTGGCTTATGGATCCCGAAACCTTGGTTTTGGAATCTGGAATACAGTGAAACCCCGCCTTACGGCCACCTCGATATTATAGCCACTTTTTTCTGGCCGCCTGGCAAAATGACCATACATTTTCTCGTAAATTAAAAAACCCCTTGTTAATACGGCCAATTTCTTTGGCCTATTGGTGACCGTATTAACAGAGTTCCATTGTACATCTAAAGGAATCAGGAATCCCACTACCGATTGAAATCTAGAATCCAAGTTCCTACTGACAAAGACTGGAATCCAGTACCTGGAATCCGAAATCCACGGCGTGGAATCCGGAATCCAACACCGTCCTGGATTTCCTTAATACATGGGACGACTCTATATTGAAACGCCAGACAATAAGATAGGGTAGAGTGGTACACTCATGTTGGAAAGAAATTGTTACAGCTTTATGGCAATGAGTCTAAGTGTAAACCTCGGGTGAAAGACTCGGGGTTTCGGGTGACTTGATTGGTTATCATCATGTGAGAAAGGTACAGCAAGGAGCCCAAAATTGTGACCGCTTTTAATTTATTCACATTCTTTCATGCAGACATTAACCAATCAGAAGTTGAGGACAGTTTCCAGCTGGCTTCTGATTGGATTAAATCTGCATGAAAGAAAGTGAATAAATCAAAAGCGGTCACACTTTTGGTCTCCTTGCTGTAAGCACACGTGGGACATAATGGGGCCATTTATACGAGGAAAAATAAGACGCGTCTTAAAAAAGACGCGAACTTTCCGTATAAACGGCACATTTCGTCTAAAATAAGACGCGGCTTAGCTAAGACGCGTAATATGAGATAAGACATGCTCGTATAAATGGTACAGTTCGCGTCTTATTTAAGATGGCCCTAATGATGACTAGAGTAAAATCCAAAACTGCGTTTTGTCTTCCAACTTTATTGTTTTTAACCTTTAAACTGTAGGATCAGCAGTCATCTTCTTAAGCAGAAATTTTAAGTGACATAAAACACAAAACACGGTTTGACATTTGCATAAAAGGAAGCTTAAGTTATTTCCCCTTACAAATACGGATAAAGAAAAGAAAAGAAGTGAACGCTGTTAAGGGAGCATTTGCCTCTGTTTTCAGAAAGGAAGGGAACGTAGTAATCTTCCTTAAGTTTAGGTATCATAAAATTCTTTCTCGGCGGCAGTAATGTAGAAAAACCCTAGTACCTTTTGCGGAAATCTATTTACAATTTTTTCGTCTTTGATATACATCTTCTTTTCTTGTTGCATTTCATATGTACAATTTTCCTGAACTGAATTATAAACATGATTTCACAAAACTGCAGTGGAGAATCATTCTTCATCGTTCTCCAGAAGTTCAAAACGATTGTGAAACTAACTTGTAAACCTTACTAAGCTAGTAATTAACAATATTTTAAACCGACCTAACATATACAAGTCTTATTGTGGTATGAAGTAATTATCGTATTTAACTCCTTTCTTTACACTTTCCAAAAATTAAAGTCTTTTTCTAAACCATATGAAGGAGTTAAAGGGAACGTGTCTTGGATGTATCGATCCAGAACCTGCCAAGATCGACGACGTGAAAAGATTAAACACGAATTCTACAAAATAGCGAGAAACAAGAACAAACAATGGAACCGTGAACCTTTACCTTAATGGTTCCATCAAAGAAAGCCAAAGAAAAGCAAATGAAAGCTAAAGGAATCACAAATTGAATTGATAAGCAGAGTGTGAACACTCCAGTCAATCGCGTTCATCCAACAAGTGGGAAAGCACGTTGTAATGAAAGATGCAATAAGCCGGCAAGTTGTCCATAGCGTAACTCCTTGACACTATCCCTTTACGCCAGCATTTTCTTCACTATAAATATTTAACTCAGTTTAGTCTTAATTACCGAGAAATCACGGAGTACATCAAGCGCCAACACTGTTGAAAATAATTGCCAACTTTGCCCTTGACTCAAACTTGTCACACAGTGTCGGAGCGGCTTTGGTAACTACAGCGAAACGCCTTTAAGTGTTTTAAAAACAAAAATCTCCTGTGACTGTCCTATGCTGTATAACGTCCAACCTTTAATGTTCACGTAGAGGTAGCCATTACTGTTGCAAATGTCTTGTGAATACTTAGTCTGGAGTTGACAAGTCAACGAGTCAGTATGGCATAGCTGTTTCCATTCAGGTAAAATGTTGAAAATCAGGACATTGGCGTCTTGACGTGGTGCTTATCCTGTGACAATGTGTTGCTATGTATGACGTACTTTGAGACGATCTAAGCTTTTTGGCCAGCACGCTTCCATCACTGATTCTACGGCAATGGTGGGCATACTATCATCACGTCTAAGTGTATAGAGTCAAACGTAATTCACCGTTCTTCTTAATGAGCAGCAATTCCACCACATAAATGGAGCCATGACTGCAACCTAGTTAGGCTGCGAAAATGAGTCGGTGCAGAAACAAACTTGGCCATTTGGTGACTGATCACACGTTGGTAGTACGAATTGTGATGAACCTTCGGCTGGCGCTCATCGCTTCTGTTTAGTGAACAGGGAACACGTTCCGCAACAGACGTTTGCTGGAGTTAGACGATTGTAAGCTACGACACGCGTTCAGCATTTTTTTTGGGTTCACAGCTTTGAGTCTTGTTTAGTCTGCATTGTGCACTACCAAGGAAATCAAACGTTTCGTGACGCTTTATTTGAAGTAGTTGAGGCAGTTGACTCTTCGTTACCAAGCCAAAACTGGAACGCAGACGAGGGGTACTCACCAATATTCACTGTCATCGTGCTGAGTGGAATAGTCACGAAGTTGACAACAAGACTAAGTGGGGAATTACTTCAACAGTTGGCTCAATTTTGGTGTTGAACAGTTAGCGTTCTTGCATGGCAATGTTTCAGGAGTTTGTGTATCGTGTCGCGCCCAACGTGGAAACGTGCTGCAAACGGCATGGAATATAGTCACAATGCAAGAAGCGCCACTGAAATCTGCCTAGCAGCTCATATAACGGTTAACTCATGGCCAATGAACAAGACAGCATCGGACAGGTCTCTTGACATGTTACATGTGTAGCGGAATGAGTGGTCCGATTCATCCAAGGCAAATCTACCACTGTTAGTAATATGATGATGATGCTACTCACTCACGTTCACTGTCATTTGACCTACGTCATTAGCAAAAATAGAAGTGCGCACTAACAGAATTTATAATGGCGTTTAGTGCAAGGTTTTTTACTTGGTGGAAAGAAACGGCGTATTGTTAAAGAAGAACGCCTCTAGAGCAACGAGGACAAGTATTTGAGGAAGCTTTCTTGGAGATTTGTCACTGGGCATTGTGAACGATGAAGAACATCCAGTTAACAAAAGTAGCAACGGTAGCGCAAACAACGATAATAGCTAGTTGTCTGTTTAGTCCGCAGGTTACTCTTGACCCAGCTCTGCACACTTAAATCATACTTCCACTTAAAGTTAAATTAAATAGTCAGCGTGAGAGGTGATCCTTGATTATCACTTTTTTCACTTTTATTAGCAAAGTCTCCTGCATTGCCTCCTGACAGAACCTGAAGGAAATCAAGAAATATCTGGAAAGCGTGTAGATAAAATCGTGGTTCATCCAGTTCGTCGTAGCACATGTACAGAAGCGTTTTGTTACCGCGAACACCATAAAAGTTAACAACCTTTACAGTTACGAGCCAGCACGATGCTGGAGAGACATTGTCACTTCTCGACTCTAACAAAGGCTTGATTTTCTCTTTAAGTTTCTTGTATGTAACTTGCGCTGGATTCTCGGGTAGCCAAGACCTACGGAACGGTACTTTGCTGTCTTAGCCACTTTAAAGTGTTTTTTCATTTCCCGGTTCTCTGGCTTCCTTGATCGACTTGATCGACGAAAACCACTTTAACATGTTACGTTCTTGTTTAACCTTCTTCCACTGCTCAAAAACTTAATCCACAACTTTTCTCCTTCAGTAGAAAAGATACACCTTATTGTCCCAGGCATGGATTTGCCATCAATAAATCAACTCCAAACATTCATAGCACTTCTTATCAGTCAATCTCTTATTTTCCCCTTTCTTTCCTGTTTCACTGGTTAATCATCTCGTCAAGCTCCATAAGCAAATCGTCTTCATTCATATGTTCATCAATTTCAATGTTGTCGTCTTCGCCCAACTCTAGGTCCACGTCGAAGTCATCAAAGAAATCATCTTCCTTGGACATTTCATTCGCTCTGCATTAAGGCAAAATAGAACTGAATTAGTTTTTACTAAGAGATCACAATACGAAGTGTTAGTTAACAACCAGGATGAATGCATTAGCAAATATCGGTGGAAATTTACAAACAAAAGGTGCAATGCTACCTATACGCGCATTATTGCGTCCATAGGCTAAGCTGCAAATATCACAGCAGTAGTCTCCCACTTTTTCATCGCGTCTAACATTTGCAAAAGTTTACGGTATGCTATTACATGACGCAACTTTCAATCTTAACCGCTGGCCAAAAACTTCGTCGTTGTACCCTTGGCTTAATGGCCACCCAAGTCAAATCCAAGACTGATTTGCAAATGTTATAGCGAGTATCTTGCTCCCAACCTAATGGAATAGCCCTATTGAGTACCTGTAAGAAAGTTAGGCACAATAAAAGACCTCATTTACGGAAGCTAAATTGCAAGATCTATTCGAAAGTTTAAAGCAAAATATTCACTCGTTCAAGGGAACGTTTTTGGGTGGAAGCCAGGCCAAGCTCCTCTACATTGTGCATCATCGATAAAAGCACAGTTATGAAAAGGCAATGGCTTTAGTCGACTTACACTGCCTTCTTTATTTCGTCATAGGATGGTGGCTCTTTTGACCGCTGTGGTTCGACCAATTCTTGCTCTGTAGCTTGCTCTGATTCCTGTTCAGAAAAAACAAGGGGAACTTGAACGTTATTTAACAACCAAAGCTAAAAAAAAATAACTCCCCGAAAATAGCCTTGTTCCTCACTGAAAGACAGGAAAATTGGGTAATTTGCGCCTGTTTAGACAATTTTTCTCCGACATATAACCACCCGAATTAAGTAAGATCTAACAAGATGACTGAATGCAGAAGTATTACTGTCCCTCGCGTTGAATAGCATTTTGCTGCTCTTCCTAATCTTGAATAGTTACAGCATTTTAGTTGTTTAGGAAGGTAATTTCCCTAGTAGCCAATCAGCATTGAACATTAAACCCCACGTGACATCAGTCAACCAATCAGCATTCAAGAAAATTTTGATGGATAGGCTAAGTAGCATCCTTTACTACTCATGAATGTACTCCCTGCAAGTAACAGAGAAGACACAAATTCAAGAGATTCATACCTGTTCAGTCTCGCTGTTCTCTTCAATCGGCTCTTCTCCTTGATCACCATCCATTTCAGTGCTTTCGTCAACCGTATCTTGACTAGCTGTAGTAGAATCCACATCAGGAGGACTGCTATCAAGTGTGTCATGGTCCTCAGCAGGTACACTCTGATCTGCAGCGGAGGATTCTTCTGTACAAGGAATCACCTCTGGTGTGGCCTCAAGTTCACTGGATACAGGCTCAGGTTGTGAGCTTGTCGCTGGAGATGCTTCTAAGAAAGGCAGCTCATTTTGATCATCTGGTAAAGACTGAACTTGTGTTTCATTTTCCTTAAGAGTAGAATCTGCCTTGCTGGTGGTGACATCTGTGGAATTATAATGTAGGAGGTGAATCATTAGAGACCTTTAGATTCTAGGACGAGTACGACTACGAGTACGACATTTTCTCAATACTAAGTAGTGTACACGTGTGAGCCAGCGTCATTTTGGCGGGAAAAAGTGGTAGCCGTCGTCATTCTACTACGAGTTTTCGCGCGAATGTCGTGGTGGCGAACACAAGACATCAGTTGCGCGAAGTTTTATCATTTTGCAATTTTGCGATTGGGAGAGCGCGTAACCTCCTTCACTAAAGATAACAATGCCAACTTTTCTAGTGAAAAATGGTAAAATGAAGCTTTCCGCGAAGTCTATATTTTGAGAAAAAAGCGAAAAAACTTTAAGTCAAATCTCGTACTCATAGTCGTCCTCGTCACCGAATCTAAAGGTCTCTATTGTATCAACAGACAGACATCAGGGAAAAGGGGTGGGGATAGCTTATCAGAAAATTCATGTTGTGGAATGTAAAAGGTCTGGATCCAAGTGTAGAAGATCTATTGGGGGGATTGATGACTTACTTTGTTTCCACTATGCTATATATGCAGGGGATGGTGCGTGGTGAGAACAATCGCTTCCCACAATAAAGCCCAAGTTCAGATCCAGGCGTCAATGCCATATGTAAGTTGAGTTTGTTGTTGTTTCTCTCCTTTGCTGCGATAGGATTTTCTCCTGGTACTCTGGTTTTCCCCTCTCCTCAAAAACTAGCATTTTCAAATTCCAATTCAGCCAGGAAGGCCGGACGAAGAATCACTATGTGAATCTGCTACCTCTAAATCATTATTTTATTTATCTATTTACTTTTCTCAGTGTCCTCTTAGTCTTGCCATAAAGTTAAGAAACAAACAAGTTTCTTGTAAAACAAAGAAATATTGAACAAACACACCAAGAAAAGAATGTATGAACCTCCTTTCCTGTTTTTTTTTTTAAGTAAAAAATATCTTACCTTCTTTTGTCTTTGACCAGACCTTGATTCTTCTTGGCTTAATCACTGAAATAAAACGAAACCAAAAGATGTTACTGGAATCTAGGTTTCCCTGAAAATATCATTCATAATTGAACATTTACCTTGCAAGTAAGCTCACGAGTCTAATGTGGACAATGAAGAAAGGGCAGAGAACTCCCCCATTCCCTGGATCGAAAGTTTTTTCACAGCCTTATACATCGGTCAAATGGAAGCTTCAACATCCCCTCTCTGGGCAACCCCAGTTCATTGAAGTTTTGAAAAACAAGTGTTCAAATTCCCCTCTCCCCAAGCCAAAAAGCTGTTTAAATGCCCCATCAGAGGTCTATTTTAGGTGATCAAATTCCTACCCCTTTAATTTATTATTGCTGTAGCTTTCTAATGTTCTTGAAGCCAAGTCTACAGACAAAGCAAAGCCTGTATAACCTATTGCACCATGAGGGCCACAATCTCTCCCTTTAAATCAACCAAACTTACCACCTCAGCATCCGTGATAATATGACCGCTTCATATCACGTCACATATGAAAAGTTGTGTCAAAAGAACTGTTGACTCTAATATTGATAGTTGAGAAACGTAAATGTATCTTTCTTACCTGTAGTAGGTTTTGAAGAATTCGTCTGTCTGCTCATCTGTAACTTAATATTTTTAGGTTGTTCTTCTTTGCTAGCAGTCTCTCCGTCTTTTGGAGTTTCATTCTTCTTCTGCAAAGCACGCTTTCTTTTTTCTGCTATTATCACATCAAAGCTTTTCACATCGACCTCCTGTGTTCCAAGACGATCAGCTACTGCAGGCTAAAAGGGGATGGACCATTACAGTTATACTGTGCCACTTGCACTGTTTCTTCCAAATACACACTAAATTCACAAACCGTAAATTGATCATTAAGAATGTAGAGTAATAATGTGAAGCATAGCTTTCAAATAAAATGAACCCTTTACGTCCAGATAGTGACCAAGATCAATTTTCTCCTAACAATATCCATATGTTACCAAGAGAAATGGTTAAGAGAGTTAACAAAATGATGACCTAAGAGAAAATGCTTTGATCTTCTACCAAATTCTCTCAACTTATTCCTTAAGGAAATGTATAAAGACCAGTTTGGAGAATTTGTATGTGGATATTGGGGCTTAAAGGGTTAATGCAGTAGTCATTAATGGTTGGGGGCAGGAATTTTGCCTGTCCATTAGAAATGTCAACACTGACTTCTTTGAAAGAAACGTGATGTTGGCAAAATAATAAAATGTAAAATCCACGGCTAGTTTCCCACTAACTTTAAAAATTAGTGACAGCCCTGAATCAAGCACATAAAAATTATCACTTTCTCTACGAGGAGGCATGGAAAAGTGAGTGTACTGAGCTTCACTACAACTATTGAATTTATGTTGAATTAAATCTTACCTGTTTCTGGGATTTCTGTTGTGACTTGTTGTTCACTTTAGTGGTAGCAGAAGTCATGACACCTTAAAAATATAAAGTGGACACCTTTTAAAAAAATGCATTTTAATCAAGTGTCAATGCATTTAGGACGAAAGTACTAATTGGGGACACTATATTCACATCTCCAACTGGAGACGGGACTGTCATTTTACGTGGTCATCCAAGCCATGTGAAGGTCCAGCCACTTGCAGTGCAAAGAGAGTACACCGTAGATAAAGTGCTCAGTTATTTTAAGACCCTGAGTATCCGTCCAACCTGGGGAATCCTATCCGCAACCTTCCACTTCGCTGTCAAGCCCTCTACCGACTGAGCTAATCCTGTCACTAATCCTGCACCAGTTAGTCCACCTGTATCAACATAATGCTAAATTATTGAAACTAATTTCCCTGATACATGCGAAGCTTCCATTTTCCCTTTAATCACATCTCACACATAAGTGACATGTAAGAAGGGCAGGGCTGTCTCTAATAACCAGGGACCAGGGATTTTCCTTGGATACCAGGAGCATGATGGACCCAGTTACTAAGAGGAAGCAAAAGGAAAATACATGTATCACAGAACCTCGTGAGTCTTGGGGGAAAGTGAACCATAAAATGTAAAGGATTTGGAGGGGGAGAGAAATGAACGGAATTGTGTAACAAACATCCAAATCTACAGCAAGTTAATTAAACTCATCAACAATAGATGAGCTTGGGGAAGGTGCCTGGAAAGATGGTGGGGCCTCGAGCACCGGAGCCGAGCGCGTAGGGTAACCATGACAACCCTGTGAGCGGCAACCACCAGGCACCGTCACACTGACAAAAGACAGTGGAACCATGATACTTACCACATACTTACCGGAAAAGGGGGAGGGAAGGGCGGGGAGTAAAGTCGTCAAGCACCGTCGAAAAGGCAAAAGTGCACGTGCAAATGAGTTGACCTCAAAACCCGAGCTGTAAAACCACGCGACCCCCTGCAGATCCCCCACCACTGCGCATGACCGAGACAAGGGAAACCCCAGACCAGCATTGTTTCGCGTTTAACTTAGCTTAAATTACATTTAACCACATACAAAAAAAACAACTCACCATCTTCGGTGTTTTGTTTACTTGGGGCTGGCTTTTCCATCACAAACACAGTTCTTTTCTGTACAGGCCGAGGCTTCTCCGCACCCTGTGAGGACTCGACCTTTGACTCCTGCTTATCTCCATCATCAGATGACTTCCGCACTATTCTTTTCAACCGTTTTGGAGGGCTCAACACCAAGTTTGTGGTGCTCTTTGATTCCTCTGTAGTACTGACTGTCATTTCTTCAGCTGCATTTTCAGAAGCTTCCTTCGCAGCTCTTCGCTTTCTCTTCAACTCCATTATTTCTTCAAATGTTTTCACTCTGACTTCTTGAAACGGAGATGGTGGTTCTGTTCCTTTGCTCTGCTTCTCTTCCCCACTACCCTCATCTTCATCCTTAAGAGAATGTTTTTCTGCAACAGCAGAAGACTGAACACTGTTATTGTCTTTGTTAACTGTGCTCATTATCTTCCTAAGAGGCCAGTTCTTTTCATTGTTTGAAGACACCTTTCTTAAAGTTCTTGTCTTTTCGCTTGAAGTATTTAGAGTATTGTTGTCATCATTATTTAAGCTAATGACTTTCTTTGGAGGAACCTTTTTAACCATAGATGAAACCTTTTTAGTTGAGGTCGACTTTTCACTTGAAGATTGGGGATCATCATCTTTGGTTTTGGTTCTAACTACTTTTTTGAGTGGAGACTTTTTACTGTTCTCAGCATCATCAACATCAGACTCTTCTTCTTCATCCTTCATAGTATCTTTACTTGATTCATCAAAGTTCTCTTCCTCTTTGGTTTCCTTATCCTCATCCAGCTTTACATCTTTGCTCAGAGCTCTTCTCTCCTCCATCTTTTTTATTGCTTTCTCTCTCAATATTTGTTCCAAAGTTTTCACTTTTATATCTGAACTATCAGCTTCCTTTGTCTCTGAACTTTTATCTCTCCCAGTTTCTTCTTCTATTTCTTCATCTTTAGATGAACTAGGCTTTCTTTCCTGCTTGGTCTCTTGCCTCTCACGCGCTTCATTTTCTCGTTTTGGTGGTGACTTCTTTGATGGTTTTCTTTTTGTCCTAGACCTGTCACGTTCAGCTTCTGTGCAAACAAATATAACGTAATACAGAGTACTGTAAAACAGGGCTTGTACAGATGTTTGGATCCAAAATTCAAGGCTTTTTCCAAAACAATATTCTTTTTCCAGACTCAAGGTTACAATAGGTGATCAATAGAGACCTTGAAAAACACAGGAACCAAGCTTTTTTCATGATGCATTGTAAACGTACGGTGACCAAGATAGTTATGAAACTTCTCATTTTGTGATGAAATGTGTTGGCTACGGGTGAGATTGAGTGGGATTTGACTACGGGAAAAACAAAATCACTTATTAAGCACTTGTAACTCTGGAAAAAAAGACTTTTTATCATTTTCCAAACTTTTTCCACATCTGGAAAATTCAAGTCTTTTTCAAGAATTCAAGACTGTACAAACCCAGTGTATATTATAATGACATTCATTCTGTAGAACTGAAGAGTGTTCAGAGCTTTTCTCTTTTTCTCCTTAAGAATCAAAACCAGTAGTCTTCTCATGCTGGCTGAACCTTTAGACGTATTCATCCCGTTATGGTCTAAACTGTCATGATCTCCTATATATAATCGATATTAAACAAGTCTGAATTTACAGGCACTATAAAGCCCATATCATTTCACTCTCAAATGATTATTACTTTTGTCGACATCAAACACCTTACATGCAGGAGGCAGTGCTAGTATTAGTGAGTTTACGCAACAGGACGGGAAAGAAAAGAAGACGGCAAACTTTGTGTGACAAGCGTGACAACAATTTTGTTTCAGAAACTTTTCCGCCAAACTTCACCCTCCTTTAAACCGGTCTTTTTGTCAAAGACCAGAAAACATTAACTTAAGTGAAGATCACCGCAAAACACACAAGTAATAGGCCTGTCACGTATCTCACACACAAGCATTTTGCCGTCCTCTTCTTTCTGCCATCTTGTTGCGTAACTCACTATTAATATACGACTACTTCATTTTTATTGTACATACAATCACATTCCTTTAGCTCAAACGATAAAAACACACCATTATTTTCCTATCTGAAAACCTTTCCAATGCAGGCAAATTTTCCTTGCTCATTTGTACTAGCAAAACAATTACCTGCAGCACTCTTGCTTCTATCTCTTGTGGCATCAGGTCTTTTTCTGTCATCACTTCTATCTCCTAGGAGCAACACAAAAGAAAAGTTACTCATGAAGTTATTCATGAACAAGCCTGAAGCTGCTACTATACAAAGCGATGCATTCCTCTTGTAGCAACTTACTGCCACGACTTGGTTTGTTGGACTGCTGTTTTCGTCTGCCATGTACCTCTCTCCTGTTATTTGTATACACTTCCCGATGTGAGCTGCTATGAACCTTGCGGCGAGGTGCTTGTCGGGATCTCTTCCGTTCCTCCTCATCTTCACTACTTGAGAAAGAATCTGAACCTAGAGAAAGGGCCACATATTTCAGCTACATCAAAATGAGCCCACAGCCAGCCATTTTGCCCCTTCCAACGGAATGTTTATTTGCTGCCAACTTAACACAAAACAACAACCACAAAGTTTAGGCCTTTGCTGCCTGCTACTCTGGTTATTCTGCCTGTAATTGTGAAACAGTTTGACTTTTGATGGTTTATCACAATAATAATTTATTGTGATAATCCATCAAGAAATCAAATTTTCTTCAATGTTGTCAAATGTTCTTTCTGGTTTCAGCCTTAATAGGCCTCATCATGCAGTGCAATACCTTCACTCAGACTGTCAAAATCGTCTGCTTGAAATTTCTCCTTGATTGGTCCTGGCATGAAAGGCATTGCTAAACCTGAAGGAGATGAGTAAAAAACATTGGTTTTAATCCAAAAGAATAATCAAGATTGAAATGAGGGTGCACGATTTCATATTTTGTCAGATTAATCAACTTCAAGTTGGTGCCTTTGATCAAACCAATGCTTGAAAAAAGTCCTATGCGGTAGTCCAGGGCAAGTACTTGAAGACTTTCTTGCTGGGTAAGTACATGTAACTCGAAAAACTTACTTGCCTTAAGGGTCCAGGCAAGACATCCTCTAACAAAATCACTCACGAAGATGAGCAAGAAGTGGCCCAAGGCAAGAAAAATGCGAGCACTGCTTGCCCAAAGGACAAGCTGGAATTCATTTTTTTTTCAAGGTCCTGGAAAGTTCTACTGCTCCAACATTTAGCATTACTGTTTTGTGTTTATCACATTTACCTTCTGGTCTTCCTGCATACATTGGTGGAAGGTGATATGACCGCTGCGGTGTTATGATTTCTAAAGGGGAAAATTAAACTTTGTTAAAAGGCGTGATTTCTGCCTAAACAGTTCATAAAAACCTTATTGAGATGAGAGTGCAATTCATTGCCCTTGCAACTGCCATCTGATTATCATGATTTATCATACAGTGCAACACATAACCTCTACTCTGCCCATTTTTATTGTCAAAAAGACTGGTTCCAGCCAGCCAGTTCTGATTTCTGCCAAGGGCCCAAGGAATGACTTCATGATTGTATTTGCATTGACTTTGCATTACCGATGGACATGACAGTCGTCTCTTTCAGGTCAACCACCATAGTTCCGGTTGGTTGAGTGTCAAAAATTACCTACCATTTAACAGCTTCTCTAAGCTAATACTTTTCTTTGTAAATATTTTAGGTTTTTTAAGCTTAAAATGCTCTAAAACACTATCGCACGCCACATTATACAACACCTTTGCATCTGCCATTTGAAATGTACTCCAGGAAAATAAATTTATGCTGCCTGCTCGATTTGAGCAGGCAACAATCTCATTGGTGGTAATTGACAATAGCAAAGTCATACATCCAACCATCTGCTCGGGGGAGGAGTGCGGGCTCATATCCTGAACAGCGGTTGGTATTGAGCCTAAGAAGCAGTTTCCTTTTGACTTTGACATTGTGCAAACACACACAAACTGCTGACTATGTTTCATGTTGCCCAGTTCTGAGAGCAAAAAGTGAAACATACCTCTTGGATAACTAACTGGACCGCCTGGCCTTGAGGCGGGGAATCCCCTGCTGGCCGAAATAGGTTGCACAATGCCTGCTGGACGTGGAGGCCCAGGGAACTGGGGTGCCCTGACCATCTGAGGTGGCTGTGGTACAAGCATTGGCCTACTAACTGGAGGATATTGCATAGGTACTTGTGGTCTCCGCATGCTGATATTCTGCTGAATGGGTAGCCTTGGTCTGGGTGGAGATGATATAGTAGGAATCTTCATTGCATCCTGACTTCCAGAAGATGCCATCCTGGGTATTGATGAAGCAGGAAGGTGTGGTATGGGTGCAACTGGGTGAGGTACTGGTGTGCCAGCAGCACCAGGAAGAGAAACTGGTGCCACAGGCCGTGATAAAACAGGTTGAACTGGTTGGACCTGATGTACCATGGGGGGAGGACCATTGGTATTCACTGACGGAGGTTGACCATTAGGTCTAGGCTTTTTGTGTAGGAATGAACAGAAAGGTTTCAGACATCCACTTGGTTGAGATTCATAGTAACAAGGAGTATCAGATCTGTTTTTCTATAAATAAAGAATAAGCAAATTACAGCAATTTTATCTTCAAGTACACCTTATTTAAAACTTCTGGCTTGATATTTCTACTTAAACAACAGTTTCTACAAACCATTATGAGCGAATGCCTAAAATTGCACACTTCTCGGGTGCATGATCGATTTTGCTCCCATTGTCGGCAAGTAGTCTCGCTTCCTAATGCAGCTGGTTCATGTCTGTAAGGGCATTCATCACCCTACGAAAAAGAAAAAAAAATGTTAAGGTTAAAAAACGAAATGGGCCTTTTTTCAAATATTCCTCAATACTCTTTGTTGACCCTCCAAAATTTTGCATGAGCATTGTTTTCAATTTCTCGTGGGGCAACTGTAAGTCCCAAAAGAAATTGAAAACTACAAATTATGCTTATGCTTACGCAAAATTTGGGAAGGACAACACAGAGTATTATGATATTTTTTGAAAAAGGCTATATTGCACATCTACTGGCCATAACAGCATCACCACACTGGTCTTTACAAGTCAGGGTTTTATTAACCCCTTATATTAAGTCTCAGGAGTGAACAACATCAACCTTCTCCTAACAATACCCATAAAACATAAAAGAAAAGGTTACAAAAATTAGTAGAATGATTTGATCTTTTATCGATTCTCTCAACTAACTCTTTAAGGTCATGTAGTTAGATCAGTCGGCAGAATTTGTAAGTGGATATTGGTGATTAAAGGATTAACCCTTTAAGTCCCAATGGTGTCCAACATCAATTTTCTCCCAACCATATCCATTGATTGTCAAGAGATTTGGTTATGAGAATTAATAAATTGATCACCTAAGAGAAAATGCTTTCATCTTTCCTCAAATTCTCTCAACTTATTCTTTAAGAAAATGTATAGAGATCAGTTTGGAGAATTTGTACGTGGATATTGGTGATTAAAGGATTAAGAGTTACTTGCCCTGGCACAGGTTGAGTAGTAAAAGAAATAGCAGTCTTCTCCCTGTGATGCCATCACAAGACACAATCTTGGGGCAGGCTGAAAGTCAGAAAGTACAATAAAGAAAATCTGGGTGAATCAGGTCAGAGTAGGAGAAAAATTTTCTTATCCACTTGTCCTTTGGACAAACACTATATCAAATTTGGTTGTCAGAAACCCAAGAGTTGTTGTCCAAAACGTTTTGCTCAAAACTTGGGAATTTAATGATCTTCTCTTGGTTTACTTAATTCTTTGGTGGCATCCAAGATTTCTTTTTCTCTCGTGGTTGCTTTGAAAGAAAAACTAACGATGAAGACTGTAATTTTTTAGAGTTTTTGTGATTACACCATTATCAACTTGAATTTTGAGCCTTGGAGTGAGTTACATCTCAACAGAAGTAATAATAAAAAATTATATACCGGTAAATCATAAAAATACAATCACTGTGTCAATTACATTCCTCGTGGCTCAGATGTGATCAATAACTCTTGTAGGCAGTCCAGTGTCTTAAATTAAGTCATTACAAAAGAGAATTATCCCTCTCTGATATTAAATAGGTAATAATAATCATATAAAGGTAAATCTGCTTGAACAACTGATGGTCTTACCTGTTTCTCTCTGCTCCTCTCCTGCAAAGACTGAAGAATCCAGATGGAGCAACACAAGTTAGTCACAATGAAGACTTCAATCAACTGTAGCTAGGAGATAGCAGGAATGAACAGCCTCCAAGAAGCACATAGAATGCTTTGCACAATTTAATACTCCACTATTTCACTGCACATCCAGATGGCACATGAAATTAATATCAATCACTGCTTTCACCACAGGGAGTTCTTTAAATTATCTTCAACACAGAATGTAATCACTAAATTACAGCACACTGCTGATCTTGAAATGTCCTTTGTAGATATTCAGCAAATCCAGATAGCTTCTCTTGACACCCTGGCTAACAAAACATATGCTGATCGCAACTCAATCCTTCAAATAATCCTTCATCGAAGCGGCTCTGATTCCAAGAACTACTTTGCTCGGAGTCGATGGCCCAAGCAAGGTGGAAGCAAGTCCATTATAAAGTTCATTTAAAAAGAATTTTTTTTCCTGTTGTTTTACAAGGGGTCATCATCCAATGAATACACACCTTTGCATGCACGATGCAAGAATTTCAAAATAACTTCACCACATACACATACACAATAAAAGATGACTCCCTAATCTCACTTCCCAAAAATCTTTCATGCAAAAAACATACATTTTCTAGTACATTCCTTGTAGCATTGGAACTACATATAACATTGTGCACCAGTATTCCTTTGGGTGTGTGTTGTAGGGAAAAATTTTTTTTTGCACAACCACATTGAAACAAAACAATCAACAGATGAAAGTGAAAAAAGATTAAAAGGCATTCAATATTTCAGATTCAGAATTGTAATGTTATTAGTTAAGAATATGTTATATCCCTTTTTAAAACCGAGTTACAATATAATTGAAAGAAAAAATGAAAGACTTTTCCAGTTAGCAAATGTTTAAGATTGTCCTAAAGTAAAATACAACAAAAACACGTATAGTAGTTTCAATCACAATCTATGGCCATTTTGGTACACTTCAAAACAACTTCAGAGAGGTCTGCACAAATTGGGACTTGATATGAATGCAAAAATGAAAGACTTTTTTCAAGTTGGCAAGTGCTCGAGATTGTCCTAGGGTTTCTGGCTATTTTTGAACACTTCAAAGAACTTTCAACAACATTATTATTGCACATTACTGAGTTCTTCCCTAATGTCAACTGTATCAAAATATGTAGATATATGTCAACTTCTAAATCAAAATGCAATTACCACCTTTTCTTATTAATACCAATACCGAAGCTTTGCAGTTTGAGTTTTCACTGTGTATTTTGGTGTATCCTTATTTATTTAATATTTAGAAAATTAGTTCATCTGCTTCTGCTGACGTTTCTGTGGGTCTAGGTTTCAACACTTATTTCAGCAAAACTCAGCATTTACATGTACATGTGCCAAAGGACTGGAGTGAGAGTTGAAATGATTATAAAATAACAATTATTTTATAATGAGTTTCGAGTTAGCTGGGTCTGAGTTAGCCAATAATAAGTAGTAACTATCCAAATGAGGGAAAAAATTTCAATGACAGGTTTTGCTTGACAATATGGTAGGCAGATTGAGTTAATTAACCTCAACTTAATTAGGGGTGCATAAGAAGTTGAATAAGAAACCCATTACCAAATGTACAACAAAAAATTCACAAATTCAAGGCAGTCTTACAAATAAAAATACAAAATATTAATGATATGAGCATACTAAACCAGTGCATAGTGTCTTCAAGAGATTTTTAACTGGCTGCTAAAAGCTAAGGCAGCAACTGTAATATTTGCCAATCATTTCCCAATATTCTTCTATATTTTCTGCATGCAGTTTTCTCCCTATTCAAACTGTCTCCTGGTTTAGTAAGCACTAAAAATAAATTCTTCACATCACGAAGGGCAGTGGATATCTACTTTGACCCTTCAGAGCTAAGTGGATATCCAACTACAGTATTTTCACCTTCATTACTAATTAGATGGACAGGTTAAACATCTAGAAAAATCCCTCACAATAAAATGGGGTTGCAACTACGACAGAAAAAAGCCTTTTCTTGAAGTAAACAGAGGTGATTTTACACAGGGGTTTGATTGGAGAGGTTAAATTTTATCAGATTTCCCTTTACATTACAAGACAATATTAATACTTCAAGAAACTAAAATAAAAGTTTAAAACGTTAATACTGCAAGGATAAAAAACCTTTTCCTTTGCTCTTACTGAGAGGGTGATTAGTTAACAGCAAAACCAACATCCATGCTAACTAGCACACACGACAGATTACAGCATACAATACAACTATTATCAATAGTTTCAGTATTCACTGGACATAAACAAACCAAAATAATTAATAACCTATTAAAATAATATGATGATATCCATGTGTCTCCAGAAGAATTCCCAGACAACCTGGCCTACTGTATAACCATACATGATATAATATATATTTTTAATTTTGTTGCTGTGGTAAGCCAATTATCAACCCTGCGACAATGATCCTGAACTTTTTACCTGATATAAAGTTGTAGGAAATGAAATTTTAAACTTAGATACAGTAGTGGTAGTGGCGGGAGAAGGGAGATGACACGTCCCACAAAGCCCAAACAAGATATGTTTGATTTTTGTTAATGGAATCAAAAACCATCTTTACTTTTAGCATAAGCTTATTCGTGCTGAGCTTGACAAAATAACGTCTGAAGGAAACCACAAGTTGAGAGCATAACGTGTGCACAGCAGATTAATAAAATAATAACATCAAATCATCAACCCTAAGGAGGGACACAATAAAACAAGAAATCGCGCAGCCACTTCACCAGAAAGACTTCCATGTATTAGTGTATGTCGAACCAAAAATTAATAACGACGCCACAAACATCCCTTTTCAGAATACAACATTCTCACAGACGCATTAAGAAACATGTGACATTCAAGCAGGCCCACGACACACAAATACTAAAGATTACAGCAAGGATACCCTTCTAGCACATAAAGCACCACTCACTCATTACCAAAGCTAAAACATATATACAGGAAGCATTATCCATTGACCATTTGCACACAAAATACAACAGAGCACAATGGCAGACAGTGATCCCAACCAAACGAACCTTTCACACTAAAAAAAAGACAAAATCAAAATGCTGGTTACTTCGAAGTCTTCTTTGGAGCCCAGGAAAGTTGGTAATTCAGTTCAGGGATGCTGAAGGAATCTTGCTTTACTGCTCGATCACCACTCCATGCGTTCAAGATGGCGGCCTTTTTCGACGTTTTCGAACTTGACTGAGGGAGAGCTGGGTTGGAGCTTTGCGTTATGAAAAATTCATGAAAAAGAGGCAGAGGGACAGGCAGAGAACAGGCAGAGGCAGAACGGAAGTAAGGGCGGAAGTAGATTAGCTGGAGGGTCGGGTAGGAGGTCGTAGGGAGGGAAGCTAAGGAGGGGGGTGACGTTGGAATTTAAAATAAATGCATTTAAACTCACTGGTAGTAAAAATATTTTTTAATAGTAAGTAGTCATTTATTAGTAATGATTTTATGGGTAAACTTTTGTTGTGTGTTATTCATTCTTCTCGAGAAAGATACACTAGAGGCAAATTTCTAGCACTTTCTACATTATCGGTGTTTGCCACCACCCCCAGAGTAAAGCAACACTTCCATCACGAGATCTACTTGCTCACACTTGCTTGCCGGTTCACTTCACTCGCACGGGATGGCGTCTCCTTCTCCGAAGTTAGATTCAATTTTCAAGTAAGTTTTAGATCATTTTTCTGTTTGGGCGTGTTACTGTTTGAAAAGAAATATATTTGTGATTCTATTAAGTTCCGTACCACCGTTTCTTGGTTGTAAATTGGTCTATTTCCTCCTTTGTAGGTATGTGGATCAGCACCAGGTACAGTGAAATCTCAATGTGACTTGAATGAAAGGTGTAATAAATTAATGTTCATATCGTTTTATGTTCGAACAGTCTAATCTACCACACAATCGCAAAACCACCGCGGGTCTTTTGAATAATATTTTATCTTCATCGGCCTTTTGAAATTAAAATTAAGCTTAGTATACAGTAAAGTGAAATAATTTATGCTAATAAGGAAAACTCTAAAATATTAAACAGTATTAAAGAATGTTAAAATAAGCGACGCTTTTTTTCCACATTGCATTCCCTCAGTACGATTGTTTTAGTTGTGGAGATTTTTCAGTTAATAAGACGCTGTCCTTTCATAAACCCAACCCCGCAAAAGTCAAGGGCACCCAACGATGGTTTCCTCCTACATTAAAAACACTTTTCAGGCTATCCAGAGTACTTTAAGCTATCTAGAAATGCATTCTAAGCGGCGCTACAAAAGTTGTTTCTGTTTGGTCATTCTCGGGCAACTTGAGTCTTTCTGAAATTTCAAGGGCTTAAAGGTTATTTTCCTAAAATTTTAGGTGAAATTTGACGTTTAACGAAAGTAAGACATTTTCTTATTCTTAACGCCATCAAATTTTTGAATCCAAAAATTTTAGGTTCCCTTTTTTCTACCAAAAATAGCCTATCTCGGGAAGTAAAATGTGAAAATTAAGCTCACAGAAAATCGTAGGGAATTTATACGATATGTCTCAAAAGTTGTACGTGAATGGAACCGTCACATCTAGAAATTTTAAGCCGTCCTCAAGTAATAGGAAATTCTAAGCAATATTTGCTTCTCCGAACAGATATTTTACGGAAAGCAGTCATTGGGTGCCCCTGAAAAGTGTTTGATTGCCCCACAAAAAGACTCAGTTCAGCAAAATTACAAAAATCCTCCACCCCCACACTCAAAGCCTGTTTGGGAAATTTTTGCAAAGATGGGGCACTTTGACAGCGTTCGATCTGTCATGGTGTTTTACTGATTATTTCATAAAGCTGTGTTGCAAAAGGATACGGTAGATGCTAATCTAGCACACATTGGGGTAAACTTGCCAGAGAATATAGCTAGGAATGGCAACGTGGTATACCTGCCAACTTTTTCTTTCTCATCTTTTTTCAAGCGCACACGAGATTTTGTCTTGTTATGACTGGGATTTCCAAAAATTAATGTCCCACTGATTTCTGAAGATTTCCTACTTCCAAAGTGTTCCAAATCTGAAATGTTGCTGAAAGTGTCTGAAGATCTTTTGACAATCTTTGAGCACTTCCGAAGAAATAATTTATTAAAAAAGGTGATGTTTTTAGTGTGTATTGTGAGACATTTTGAACACAAAGTCAACATTAAGAGCCTTTTTTGGAATATTTGCTAAGAAACTGAATGAATTTTATGAATTTTCATCATTAAATGCTGTGTGGCACAAAATTTTTGCAGGTTCTACTAAGAGAATCATAATGCACACCTACTGTATGGGACTATGCTGCAGAGAAAATTGACCAATCAGGTTACAGCTGGAAACTACAGAATTGATATTCCAAGAAAATTGTTTAAGCCAATCAACAGCTCGTAGAAATCAGCTTGGTTACAAAAATCACACTGTTAATTTCCTGGAGTCATGAATTGTGAAGAACTTGACTCTCCATCAGTTTTTTTTCCTCTAATTCCTATAGGACCTTTATGTGAAAAGGCTCCGTGATGCTGTTGCAATCCAAAGTGTTTCAGCTTGGACGGAAGAAAAGTACAGAAATGAAATTGTCAAGATGGTCAATCATGTGAAAGATGTAGGGTGTTTGCATTTTATACTTTATTATTCATGGCTGGGTTTAATAATTAATTATTAATGTAATCAATCATCACCTCCATAGAAAAACCCATAATCTGATGAACTAAAAAAAATGCTTATGTACATGCAGAAAAATTTGTTTTTAAGTACATTAATTTCCCTTCCATTCAAAACATCATCATACACTGTACGTTCAGATGGAGAGATTGTGCCAAACATGTGAGCATATATACATGCAAAGGTTACGGTAATATTTTCCTTTCTTTACGGAACGTGAAAGGTGTTCTCTGTGTTTTTTACTTCAGTACCTGGAAATAAATTCAGTCTTGTGAGGTAAATTTAGAGCAGCTGCTAAGTGTTTTTGTTTATTATGGACCAGCTGGAATCCTTAGAGTTTTGGAACTATTAAATTTTCTTGGCATCATCATGCTGCATGAACTTGTTGGTGTTAGCTTCCAGTTGACTCCATTGTGATGGTGTTATTAGTTTTTCCATATTAACTGGTTGACGGGAGGGTGATTATCTTGAATCAATATTAAAAGTGGTGTGAAATGGCACATTTTGATATGCTGTCTCATCAATGAACTGAAGAAATGATTATTAGAGTCATCAAAGTTTAACTTGCAGCAATATTTATACTGTCTTGTTAACAGGAAGTAATACGTCTGGGAGGAGAGGCTGAGTTAGCTGAACTTGGACCTCAAAAAGGCACTGAAAACCTTCAACTCCCTCCTGTTTTGTTGGGGACGCTTGGAAGTGATCCTGCTAAGAAAACTGTAAGTTTATAATCGCAGTTAAAGACACAAAATGCAGTTGCAAAAAGAAAACCCGAAAAAATTTAGGCTTGCTGAGATTTGAACCTGGATGTTTGATACCGGTGCCGTGCTCTAAGTAATTGAGTTAGCAAGCCAGCTGGGAACTGGTCAGGGACACCCAATGACTTTTTTCTGTAAAAGAACTGTTTGAAGGAGCAAATATTGCCTAGAAATTTCTAAAATTCGAGAAAGACTAAAAACTTCTGGATCGCCGTTCCGGTCGCCTAAGATATTCGGAGTTTTTCTACTTTTTTTTTTAATTTGTTACCTATGATTATTGAAAGTTGTGTTGTGTGCTAAAAAGAGCATCTCCTCAAAATTTCGGTATGAAGACAAAGCACCTCTAGAACTTTTGTATGATAGTACGGCTACTCCATTTCCTTGAACTTTCAATCCAACCTAATGGGATAGCTATAACAGTTTCAGATGAGATGAAGAAGCCACCTAGAACTTTTGAAATGGCCAAAGTTCCCCTAAGACATCTGAACAGATAAATAGTTTTTAGGGCAATTCCAAATTAACCAAGATTTATGCAAACAGGCCCCTAAAGTACAGAGAAAACCATTTGAGACACTTCTGAAGTATTTGGAAACATTCGGTTGTTGGGTGCCCCTGGCTGGTCATTAGATTGGCTCATAATATACCCGGGAAAGACGAAAAAACAATTAAAGCCTGAAATAATTTAGGCTTACCGACAAGCCTAAAGGGCTATGTTGAAACATTGAGATTCAGAATCATGATATCACTATTACTAGCTACTGGCTTAATTAACCTGAGGATGGATATTACCCTTGACATAATTATTCAAGGGCAATCGCAAGCATGTATTATTTTTAAAAAAGTGATAAAAATTACTAAAAATTATCAATTATGAGTGCAGTGAATGTATTTATGAAAGCATTCCTGGTTGTCCATAAATGAAGACAGTAAACGTGGAAACTCTTAAGAAAACTTTTTCATGTTACATGAGAGGACACAGAGGCTTTTTACTGGAAGTACCATCGCACGCAGGGAAGTTTTCTCCGTGGGCAGCTAATCCGACTTAATCCCATTTAATGTGTCGCGCTCCTCGAAAGTGCGAAAATTTTCTTGTCGTGTATTAGATTTCAGATACATTATGTTAATCTTCATTTCGCGCCAGAATAAATTAGTTTGCGCGCAAAGGGCTCCTAAAAAAATCACAAGGTTTGTCCCACTTCGAGTCCACCTTCTGGAGATACGCCGGCTTGGTAGCCGGAATACATTGCCGAGGCGAAGATCTGGCATTTTTTCCTCCTCGTCGTCTTTTCTTCACGACAAATGTTTATATTTGTAGTGAGAATGCATCGCATATCAGTGGATTTTACTTCATGCGCCTTGCTACTTCTGAAAGAAGAGTGCCGGATTTCATCGTTTTGTTCATGTTTATTAGTGTTGGCAAATGTAAGGTAAATGAACCGACCACGTAAGGTAAGAATTGAAGTTTTAAATTTGTTACTCGGCGAAAAATCGTGGAATTGGAATTCGTGAAACTCGTGAGTATTACCTCTGTTACCTAATGTCATGCGATGACTCCTCGCTTTTTCGATGCGTAAAACGGATACAAACGATAAATTTCTTTCGCAAAGTGAAGTATAATTTACTTAACGAGACCATTTGACGTCTATTTCTCGTTACATGCTTTATTCATTATATTTGCTTGAGTTATTCAGGCTACATGCCAGGAGTTTGATGACAATGTTTGTGTGCTATAATTATGCTGATAAGTTTTTGCACCTTTATATTGAAACTCGTGTAAGCCAAACGTTTGTTAACTCTAGCAAAACACTCTTCTATTATGGAGGAACTTTTAACGTCTTTCGGGGCCCCAATATGGTGTCAGATTTTTAGGGGAAACAAAGCTTGATTTTTGGCCAAACAGACTATAGCTTTTTTGCCTTTGAAGAGAGCGCGAGGCAAACGTCCGTGAGTACAGTGTAAGACAGTGATTCTTTAGGCAGAGCTAACAAACATAGGCTGCACTTTAGGTGGCACACCCATGGGTGCAGTGTAACCTAGTGATTCTTTAGGCAGAGCTAACAAACATAGGCTGCACTTTAGGTGGCACACCCATGGGTGCAGTGTAACCCAGTGATTCTTTAGGTAGAGCTAACAAACATAGGCTGCACTTTAGGTGGCACACCCATGGGTGCAGTGTAACCCAGTGATTCTTTAGGTAGAGCTAACAAACATAGGCTGCACTTTAGGTGGCACACCCATGGGTGCAGTGTAACCCAGTGATTCTTTAGGTAGAGCTAACAAACATAGGCTGCACTTTAGGTAGAGCTAACAAACATAGGCTGCACTTTAGGTGGCACACCCATGGGTGCAGTGTAACCCAGTGATTCTTTAGGCAGAGCTAACAAACATAGGCTGCACTTTAGGTGGCACACCCATGGGTGCAGTGTAACCCAGTGATTCTTTAGGTAGAGCTAACAAACATAGGCTGCACTTTAGGTGGCACACCCATGGGTGCAGTGTAACCCAGTGATTCTTTAGGTAGAGCTAACAAACATAGGCTGCACTTTAGGTGGCACACCCATGGGTGCAGTGTAACCCAGTGATTCTTTAGGTAGAGCTAACAAACATAGGCTGCACTTTATGTGGCACACCCATGGGTGCAGTGTAACCAAGTGATTCTTTAGGTAGAGCTAACAAACATAGGCTGCACTTTAGGTGGCACAACCATGGGTGCAGTGTAACCAAGTGATTCTTTAGGTAGAGCTAACAAACATAGGCTGCACTTTAGGTGGCACACCCATGGGTGCAGTGTAACCCAGTGATTCTTTAGGCAGAGCTTACAAACATAGACTTGGGATGGTAACAAGTTTTCCAGTTAAAACTTGGTCATAAAGTGCTACACCATGGCACTTCGACTATTTCATTATCGCGCTTGTTTTGACGCACAATTGATAGTCAGGAGAAGTCGTATTGTCTAAAGCCATAGCAAAAGACAAATTTACACACATCACAGCGTTAAGGTAAGGTAATACACGGTATTTCCTTCAGGTACATTTACATTTTCTGTTTGGTTATAAGCGATTAAATCGCATGCAGCGACGAAAAAAACGCGAAGCCGTCAGATATTCTAGAACCGTGTTATTTACAGTGCTGTGCATTATTATTGCTTAACTAACTAACTACGCGCTGATGGAAATAAGTTTCGGCCGCTTTAAATTTTGAAACAATTCACTGGTACTGTATAGTCATGAATTGGAGCGGAAAGTTAGCACGCGAGCAGGGCGATTCTGGCGATTCTGCTGTGGTTTCTGTAATGTAGAAGATATTACGGCAATGAGGCTCCCGAGGTCCGTTCTGGAAATCACAACTACATGTAGGATGAAATGTATTCTGCGTGCAGACGTCTCCTTTTCCAGGTTAGGTTAAATAAACCGTACCAACGGTTTGTTTAACAAAGCTCCCGCGAGACGGTTTCTTGGTGATTTTATTAATTTTTCCGATCCACTTTTTTTTTCAGCTCTATTTTCGCGGCTTTTGCGATACAAACTGTATTCATTTTTAGTTGTGATGGCATTACACTGCTTAATCATGACGGCTTTGGAAGAAACTGAATATATTGCGCTTCGCGATTTCGCAAAATTGCTGCGGGAATTAAAAAATATTTTCTTCTAAAAAAGGATTTCACGCTTCTTTCTCTAGTCAATTATCTCGTTTGTCTCGTTTTCTAAAGGTCCTTGAGAACAGAATAAGACAATATTTTATTACCTACAACCTAAAAACCCGATTTTTGACCAGATCGAAACAAAACTGACCTCTGAAATGGAAGAAGAAAAGCCTTTTATTTTTGCCGGCTTCGGCCTGCCGACCAGATCGTGTCTGTTTTGCTTTCATATGATGACATTTTCCTGACAGAAGGGTGTCGGGAAAAACACCTCGCGCTGATCATACGTGACAAAATCCGCCGCGCCTAAGCTAATTAAGAAAAGTCTCCTCGAAAGCTCCATACAATTCCTTATAACAAAATTATAAGGAATTGTATGGAGCTCTCCGGGATACTTACAGTGCAAGCCCTTTGTGTCTTCTCATGTGCCATTGTGTCTAAAATAACTATCAGTTATAAAAATATGCTAATCAATCCCATAATTTACTTCCTCTAGTTGTGTATTTATGGACATCTTGATGTTCAACCAGCAAAACTGGTAAGATATTTTAATTGAAATCAAGAGGGCAGTGATTCACAGTATGGATTCTATTTAAGGCGGGGCAAGCAACCACTATCATAACTGGAACCTAGATAACTGTCTTTCAATAATATATTGTGAATGTGCTGTAAGATACTGTCTATCTAGCTAACTGTCAGATTTTTTCAACATGACAGTCCTATTGCATTGGGGAATAGAAGGGAGAAACAAATTTTTTTTAGCTCTGCCTTTGCTTAAACAGTCATCGTAGTTGCAGCTTACACCCTCAGCTCTAGAATTAAAAATACCCATGACATTGTAAATCAATCCATGTTTAATAAACAACTTAGGCGATGGCATTGGCCCACCCATTTCAACTTTACAGTCAACCCAGGTTAAGCGTAGCCCCCAAGATCTCATTAATGAATATATTATCCGTTGGTAGTTGTAGATTTCAGATTCATCTCTGCATTTCTGTATGCATAATAAGCAGTGAATTCACACGTGAAACTCAACAGTGGTCAAACTTTTGTCAAAATAATTCAGTCAGAAATCAGTATTTTTATCTTTTGACGGCATTTACATTTACATGTAGCTCACTGTAATTTGGTTTTAAGGACTTCTGCAATACTGGGAAAAATCATACCAGCCATGCCTTAATATCCTCATAATGTAAGTTCTGTGGAGTTGAACTTTCATATTTATTGTAGGATGATGGATGGGATACAGATCCTTTTGTGTTGACAGAAGTGGATAGCAAACTGTATGGCAGGGGATCTACGGATGATAAGGTAACTCATGCATAGGCTTCACAGTTTTATAGGAAAGAAAATTTAATCATAAGTTTCCAGGGTTATTAAAGGGGAAAAGAAAGGTAGATTTGAGACTTTGCGAGACTGGGAGACCCTGGTTTCAAAATTCAAGACTGAGACTTAAACGTCATTATCAATTCCAAGCCCAAGACTTTACCTCTAAAAAATCGAAGCTAGAGAGATTTCGAGATTGGCCCAAAATTTTCTGAGACCCACGGTTTTCAAGGTATTATTGCATACCCCTGTATATGTTCGGGTTCAATTATTTTTTTCCTAGGTAAAGGTAACGGCACACTTGAGCCAAAGGCCCAAACGGCTGGAGCTTATCACGGTTTCCTTAACATGAAGCATGCCCAGGAGTATTGCTACTCCTCCCAGGACAGGATGCTAGTCCGTCGCAGGGTTACTCCTCAGTAGTATGTTGTCGGTTACTCATTCATACACCTGGGTGAAGAGCTATTAAGTGGAGTAAAGTTCCTCATCTAATGAAACGACGCGACAGTCCGAGGCTTGAACCCTGGACCTCCAGATCTGGAGTTCGAGGTGTTAACCACTCTGCCACACACGCCTCTGCATTTTCATCTTAGTTTTGGTTTAAATTTTATTTTCCTTTCTTTGGGGATATGGTAATGGCTGATAATGAGTTAAAAAGAAAGGAAAATAAAATTCAAACATGAAGTATGAAATTGCTGTTGGTGCTCACTCTTATGGAAAATACCCATTTTTTCTAGATCTGTGTATAAACTTTCTCTCTGGCAGACATTTTCTTGAGCTTAACTCTTTCTGCTTCAGAGAGGTGTTTACTTGTGATATTGTTTCATTAAAAAAATGACAACTTGTCAAAATTGTTTTCATCCTGTCCCCACCTCCCCAGCATCCCAATAATATAATCTAATGAATGATACTAATAAAAATTATGCTGTTGAAGGGTCCAGTGTTAGCATGGTTGAATGCCATTGAAGCATACAAGGAGACTGGTAATGAGCTGCCAATCAATCTCAAGGTATAATAATATTATTATCTGTGGAAGTTAACAGTAGTTGCCAGTTAGCCAGGGATCATTGGGTTGTGTAATTGTAGATCAAGGACCTGTCAAATTTAGTGTAAAACGTGTAATTTGATTGCCTGGAAAACACCTTACAAGAGTTACAGCACTTACATATTACAGGCCTTCTAATGAGGTGTGAAGAATAAGTTGTCAAATTAAGTGGCACAAAAAGTCTATTAATTATGCCAGAAATTTTGCAACTCAAATTCAACCTTCAATTTTGTGCCTTCATTCCTTTCAGCACAAGTTGCCTGTGATGGGCAAGCAATGGGTAAACAGGAATTAATACTTCTTTTAATTAACAATTTTTATCATTAACAATTTTTATCCTTCTAATAACTGGTTAGAAGCAACATCTCAAGCTACAGGTGAAAGTTGAGTTACAATTGGCAACAAAAGTATAGTTGGGAAACTTTGCCCTCAGGGGCCTCTCTAAGGTTTAACCACCCCCTCCATGCGCTTCTGTGCTGCTGTTTGAGCTACCTGTAGAAAACAACAAACACCCCAGCTTTAAATGGAGGGGAGGGGGAGGGGTGTTGATTGTTTTGTTCTTCCAACTTACCCCATTATGTTGTCACCGATTGTGGCTAGTTTATCTTGTTTTAGACAGGTCGAGACGTAAAAATGAATTTTTTGGCTAATTTGTTTTCTGCAGTTTGTCTTTGAAGGGATGGAGGAATCAGGCAGTGAGGGCTTAGATGAGCTGATCTATGCCAAGAAAGATACCTTCTTCCAGGTTTGTTTTAATTAGGCCCAGTTCAAACATCAAATTTTTCATGTGCTGTACTTAATACCTAGTTAGTTCGACCCAAATTATACAGGTTTGACAGTTGATTCGGACTTAATCACTTGAACTCAATTCATTTTCATGATGTACAATGATCTACATTGCTTACCAGTTAAAATAGATTTTTGTGGTTCATGCAGAGGGTTTGATCGGCGCAGGAGAAGTTCATTGTTTGAATCAAAGTCAAATTGTTATTCATGGGTCGACCCAAATAAGATATGTCGAACTTCATTCATGATTTAAACATTGATCTCTTAATGTACTTAATTGGAGGGATTAGGTGTGGTACATGAAAAGTTCGACATTTGAACTCAGGGCCTTACTGAAGTTGGAATAATCTTTAAAATTATAATGTACCTAGGATTATTGAGTAATTTGATATATTTGATTTTCTTTTTTAGAATGTTGATTATGTGTGTATATCTGACAATTATTGGCTTGGCAAAAGAAAACCTTGCATCACCTACGGTTTGCGGTAAGACAGGAGAGAACTATCAGGGGCACCCAACGAGGAAATAGTTCAATACCACTTAACATAGCATTGTTGAACGTATTGTAGTATTTAAACGGTAGATATAGGCATATTTTTATCCCCTAAAAACTTTTCATCTGTTCGGATTTCCTAGCTGAAAGTCTAGCGATCCGAAAATTATAGGGATAAAAACTTACCTTCTCGAAAATTTCAGCTAGGAAAAGGCTCCCGAAAATTCTAGGTGGCCTTTTTTAGGGTCAAAATCCGTTAAAAATGGGTAATTATACCATTTTGTAGATGCTCTAAAATCCTAGGAGAGGCAGGCAAGCAAGAAATTTTATAACAAATGCTCCGAAAATGCTACATCTCAAATCGTCTTCTGAACAGATATTTTCCCGAAAATTGCCGTTGGGTGCCCCTGAACTATTACTTTAGCAGCATCCACGTTTTGACTACTCTTTGGGGCCAGTGTGGAAAGCATGAATTTTGGTGTCAGAGTTGAGAGAGCTTAATAGTGGGTTGCATGATTAAATGGAATAAGATCTGAAGAACATGTCACATGCAAGAAAGTCTTGCATCACTTATGGCTTGGACAGAAGAAATATTTAAGACAGAAAATTATGTAACAGCATCACCCACGGCTGTTGAACAACTGGGGCCAGTATGAAAAGCATGGGTGTTGGTGTCGGAGAGCTTAGAGTAAATGGTCCAATTAAATCTAAAAATCTTGTTGTCACTGTCAAACTGTAGTTTTAGATTGAGCACTAATGAAGCAGAGATGTACTTTAATTCTATCCACAGAGGAATCTGCTATTTCGGTATTGAGGTTTCTTGTGCATCAAAGGATCTACATTCTGGTGTTTTTGGTGGCACTGTGTAAGTGGTATTAAACTTAAACCCATTTAATTTCCAAGACTGCCCCGCATCTCTATGCTGTAAATCTGACACTCCTACCAGTTGGCTATGAAAACTGAAATAAATTTGATTGTTCATGCGTTAGAGTGCAAAGCTGGCAGGGTCAGAGTACAGGTTGAAGTGCCATTTGGTAGCAAAGATGCTTGAAGCCATGCTGCAAGAGATTTTTGCTTTGCTTCAAGGGAAAATAATCCCTGACCATCCCTTCTTGCAGTAGCTCTTTTGCCAAAACAAAAACGTTTCTTGAAATAAAGCACTGCAGCCCTGAGAATACTTCTTAAAATATTCCTCTGTACACATGCAGACATGAGGCCATGTCAGACCTTATTTACCTGCTGGATCAGTTAGTAGACCTGAAAGGCAACATAATCATCCCAGAAGTCAACAGAGATGTGGCTCCTTTAACTGATGACGAGAGAGCAACTTACACAGACATCGATTTTGACAAAGTGAGTAATGAGTTTAGGATTTGTGGGATCGTTTATTTGCTCACAAACTCCCTATCAACCATTTTATGTCTTACGTGTTTGTAAACCTGTCAGTGTATCATTCAGCACAACTAAAGCAAAAAAAAATTTTTTTGAAGGTTTTGGTTTGTGGTAGGAGAAACGTTTAAAGTGTCAACAACATATATTGCAACAATTGCCCACGGCTAGCCCGAGAAAATAGCTGACATTTCGCGATGTCAGGACTAGTTTCGCCATAAAATGACTTCTAATCGCTTCAACCAGTCAAACCTGTTCCAGGCTCTCGGATAGTGGGGAATACTATCTCGGAGTCTGGAACAGGCTACAACCAATCAGAAGCGCTGCCAAGATCTGTGCAGTGACGAGTCATCAGTATGGAGTTTCTCTCGTTCCTCAGACATCATTTTGCGGGAAAACCAGTTGTGGCTTTGGGAAATGTCAGCTGCTTTGTTAGGGTAGCTTACGGCAGGCAAGTGCTTGTATTCTAAGACCGCTTATTCAACACACGTACTAGCCTGCGTAGCAAGCGTTTCTGTCGTTTCATTTCTCATGCGGCCAAAACCGAAAATCCCGTTCCCATTTTCTCCCAAAGAAATGTCCTGGATGGTTTGGTATGTGATTTTCAACATCCAAACGACTCTTGTTGCGCTATCATCACAGGAGTGTAACGATAGTAAGCTGGCCTAAAAACCTTGAACTTTTTCAAAGTTTTCCGGGTGGTTTTCTTTGGCGCTCATATGTTTGGAGAGAATCTCATAAGATTAAAGATAACTTAAAGGAGCTTTAGAATCACTCGCCTCACTAGTACATTTGTTTACTGTATTTGTTTGTTTGTTATTTTTAGCATGCAGACACCCACTCCGTGATTCTGTACTTTTCTCAAACCTAACCTGTTCCAGGCGTTTAAGTAATGGAGAGTCCAAACAGGTCCCTGCAAATTGTGATACTTGTGATGACAAATATTGTTTACAAACATTTTCTTTCTTAGGATGAGTACCGGGAAGACATTGGTCACAACAAACTGATCCACGATACAAAGGAGGAAGTATTAATGCACCGCTGGCGATACCCCTCTCTTTCCATTCATGGTATGTCTTACTAGAATTTATAAATAATTATCTGCCGGTTACTACTTTCACTGCTCAAGAAACAGATTCTCTCGCGCGACCTTGTGAAGTAAAATGTCTGTCTGACTGGTTATCTTGGATGGTCAACAATAATTCTCTTAACCTCATAAATGACTTGAACATGATATACTGCAGGGGGAATTTTTTGCTTCAATCGGCAACAAAATTGTTGAGTCACTATTCTCAAATGGAGGTTTTTGGAGAACAAAGCAATGTGCATCCCTCTTCTCTCCCCTCCATTCAAAGGTGGGTTGCTTGTTGTTTCTTACAGATAGCTCGTGCAGCGGTACAATGTTAAAGGATGGAGGGGAGAGGGGCGGAAGGGGGGTGAAAGCTTAATTTCCCCCTTTTGAAGTCGGCAAAACATCGCAAAGTCCCTTTAAGGCAAAGTGGCTCAACTAATTTTCTCGTCGATTGTTGCTGATCAGATTACGCTGATTGTAAAGAGAATTTATTTCCGCGTTGGTACAGCAGATTGTGATTATTCAGTGTTTACTTCTGCAAATATGAAGGTTTACTAGTCAGAATTATTCTCTGTTGTATTGACTTGTCCCATTTCCACTGGACCCGGAAAAGGGTGTGGCTGTTAATTTGATCAGATACACCAAGAAAGCTGTGCTTATTGACCATAGGGAAAAACGTCGCTTAAAAAGGGAATTCGCGTGCTTTGAATCTTCATCGCAATTATTCCAACTCATTCACTGTGTCCAATGTTGGCGAACTCTCCTGGAATTGAATTCCTACCATAAACAAGTTCAAAAAGAGGAAGAAAATTTCGTCGTGGCTTGTTTACCCCTTCCTTAAAAACGTGAAAGTAGGCGTCAGTTTTCAAGTCATGTCGTGCAGTGGCGCCGCGCAAGGAAATGTACAAAAAGGTTTGCTTCAAGTGCAAAGTTGTTGTTTTTTTATTAAACCTATTGCTATTTTGAAAGTCGTTGCCGTCGCTGTCGTCGAATCTTAAGGTCCCTAATAATATCCACTCATAACATCTCTCGCACTGGAAGTTTAAAACCAATGGGGTGGTCAGACACTAATTAGCTTCAGCAGTTGCCCATCAAAGAGGCTTTGTTATTATTTGTCGGTTCAGTTTTCTGAGAGTATCACAACAACAACAACCGCAAAGAAAACCTTTTCTTTATTTTCTTTATTCAGGCATTGAAGGTGCCTTCTATGAACCTGGTTCGAAAACAGTCATTCCCAGAAAGGTGCGTATGTGTTGCTTTTGTGCTTGTTTACGATATTCCAATCAGGTGGCCGATACTTGGTTAACTGCGTCAGGTAGATAAGCTTGGATACCATTGCTACGATTGACGACTACGTGAATCAGTTTAAGATATTTGTGTTAAGCCTTAAGTGGAAAAAGCCTTTGAGCCACATGTGCAGTCAACTGCGTTTTTACGCTTATTGCTTTTTTGCAGGCTTTCAGGAATTGTGGTCGTTTCGCCCGGACGAGAGTTCGCCCGATGAAAAACAGCACTCTACAACACGGCTTATCAAAGATGCTTTTAGTTAAGCTTGGATTCTATTGCTGCGATTACTAAAAAAAGCTCGAGCGATCTGAACGAACTTATTGATCTCGTTAATCACATTCGAGATACTGAAACTGACTGTACATAAAAACTGAAGCCGGTCTATATGTACCTCAGCGATTGCAACGATCGCTACGTCGATCTTTCATATGTATTTTGTTTGAAGTTTTCACTGAAAAAAGTTGTCGATCCACATGTGCAGGCACTGTCTTTCACACTTTTTCAGTTTTCCAGGCTTAAAGAACGACAAATAAACATCGGGCGAATCGACTTGCGTCCGGGTGAATCAACCTCGCGCGAAACGCCCTGTTACCACTTCAAGAATGACCAATACTGTACTCATCGGACGAATCGTCTTAAGTCCGGACGAACTGCCGCTGGGTGAAACGACCTTTGGGCTAAACGAACTGATACCGATCAAATTATTTTGTGCTACAATCCCCCCACCATCACATACCATAGTTTCTATTGAAACTAACCTCTTCATTTTTTTCTAGGTGATTGGCAAGTTTTCAATCCGTTTAGTACCTAATATGACACCTGAAACCGTCAAGGAACAAGTTTTCAAATATATCAAGGAACTTCATGAAAAAAGAGGAAGCCCAAATACTCTAAAGTAAGTAATAAGCCTTTAAAATTTCGTGAAAGAATTTCAAGAAATTCTGGCCGCTGTTTTATGGAGGATGAGCTGTGAAAACAGCTTAGCTTGTAACACACTTGTTTTACACCTGCGAAATTTTATCATTTTGTTAGCTGCCTTTATCGCTTTACGAATACCTCGGCCGCTTTCTTATATCTAGCGAAATTTGTCTTATAGCGTTGCGAGTTATTGACGCCTGTTCAAAAACTTGCAACGCAAGAATTGTGCAGGAAATTGTCCGCGCATCCAAGTTACAGGACATCAACTTTGAACGCAACACCGTTGCGCTGAGCGAGGTCGTTGTTGCGAATCGTTCTATGTGACATCATCTTTAGCCTGATATATCTTAACAATTTCGCGCAGGATTAGACGCAAAAACCAGTTTGATTAACCAGTTCATTCTTTAATTGATTGACGGTAGTCGGTAGAGTTTTTATTTTTATATGGGTCTTAGAGCAAGGATCCTTCCGAGCATTGCTTTCGCTGCTTAGAAGGGCGCTCCGGAAAATATCCAGAAGTAAGAGGAAAAAATAATGTAGGCGGCAGCATGTTGGATGGAAAGGTGCTTTTATGTTGGGGGTAGGTGTGGGAATAGGAATGATCCCCTCCCCCTCCATTGAAGGTATCTGGGGGCCTGGTAACAATTTAGAATTGTGGGCCATGAAAAGTGAATTTCAGTGCATTTAGCGCGACCGGGGAAATAATGTTAGCCATGAGGATAACATCTTTATTTACCCACATTTAGTTATACTCTAAATCTTGTTTCCTTTCATCCAACGAAGTGTGCGAAGCAAATGCGATAAATTTTTTATCCCCATTCTCCTTAAAAAAGAAAAAAAAAATTTTTTTCTGTAAATAGTGGCGCTTGTTCTTCCTTTATTCAGCTTTATGACTAGAGGACGATATTAGCCGGTCGCCGGAACTTTTGAAGAACCCCTTTAAATCACACAAGCACTGAAACATGTTCGGACTAAACATGTTTCATAAATTACCTTAGCAATTTGGGCAAATTGTAAAAGCTCTCGGCTGTCAAAATGTTATTCATCACCAAACTTAGTCAAATATGAGTTTTGTTACAAAAGGTACTCCACGTTAGAAAGGTTTGTGTGTTTAATGAAACATTTTTATGCTTCGATTGGGAAGACAGTACTACTGTACATTTAATGGCGACGGGGGGGGGGGCATACCACTACCCAGGAGTCTGGAGCAATCATGTGAGGTCCCTGCCTTTGGGCATTGACTGATGGGGCTTAAGAACTTACTTTAGTGTATTGTAAACGACGGCTAATTTACTGTGCAATTTTCAAACTTTACATCGCCCGTTTCACTGGTATTATCACAAATAGGTATTTCAGTAAAAGATTCAATCGTGGTGTTGTTCCTAGTTACTCTTGCCGGCTCCAGGAGATTAAGGCCGGAACAGAATACTAACCTACATTTTTCTGGTTTGGGCGCTTGTCGCTTGTATTCAACGAGATTTTATCGTTTCCCTTCAAGATTTAGCAATTAAGTTACATTTTATTTGGTTATGGTTCCTGTTGTATCTGAGAAAACCGTAACACAGCGATAAGGTTTTTTATTCGATTACAACCTGACTGAGCTTAGCAGCATAGACGAGAATTAACTTAAATCTATAAAATTCGCACTGATCGTTTCATAAAGAAGACCCTTAAACTTAAAAAATGTGGTTGTTACACACGATGGTACAAATGGTCTAAGAGCGACCTTATCAGTCGGGTGCTTAAGAAAATTCTGTGGTCTGATGAAAAATTTGAAGTATCTGCGAGAACTGTACAGTACCGCAAATGATCCCCAACCGCAAATGATCCCGAGACCGCAAATGATCCCCAAAATGGACCGCAAATGATCCCAGACCGCAAGTGATCCCCAAAGTCGACCGCAAATGATCCCGAAAGAAAAATAGGAATGGCTTAGACTCGAGTTAGCGGATCGTCGTGACGATTTTATTATTAATACAAAAAGTAAGATTAAACGCTAAATTTCAGTTCTTAAATAAATACGTATATAGATGAAAAAAAAACTAAATGAAAAAAATCATTCAAGTGTGTCGGTAGGCAACACACGACTTTTACCTAATGCCAAAATGCTGCTTGTTCCAATGAATTTTTTTCTCTGGCGGGTAGATTATACCTGAAGAAAAACGTTTTGACTGAGCAAATGTGATTTTTGCCGCTTATTTCATACTGAGAGGTCATGACACGCATTTTCTGCGGTTATTGGTGTTTGTGGTCGGCATGATTTGCTGGATTTGTCCTTTAATGCAAGAGCATTTCTTTGACCTCTTTTAAAATGCAATGCTTCTCATTGCGGCTAAATAAGGGTTTTAGGTTGTTTAATTTTCTTTAAAGTGCCTCATGGATCCGAACAATTATAAGCGACTTTCTTTTAGTCCGTGATTCTGACGGTTCCTACGATGTTTTGTCACGCGATAACTACCGCTTGCCTCGCTTTTGCGTTTCTCATTACCAGGTTTAGATTCCTGGTAACTGTCTCCAGCAACGGCAAAAAAATGGATATACATATAAGCGTCAATATAACTATTCGCAACATGTTCATGAGCTCTAGGCAAGTTGCTCTTTCAAAATAAACCGAAAACTGTGGACATTGATAAGTTCGGTGGCATTTTGACGTGCCTTTTATTTCAAATCATGTCTTGTTTTTTAACGGGCTCCAGGCCTGCTGTTTATCACGTAAAATCAACACTTCAGAGAAAAATCAAAACTAAATATTCTGAAAATTAATTCGACGCTTCTAAAAAGATCAGTAAAGTCAATAAAGCTCTTGTTATGTAGAGGGTGCCCGGCTTTGTATTCCTCAGTAGACAAGTTGAGCTTGGGCGTTAAAGTAATAGAGTTTTTTCTGCGTAACGTCCTGCCTGTCTTAAATTTTCAGTGACGAAGCAGTTCTTGAAAGAAAATTGAAGCAATTGACAAAGGAAGAAGTATACGGTTGATACCATATCCTTTTCAGATTTATTCTACTTTTTTTTCGCCTTGTATAAATTGACCTGAGATGTAGCGTCCTCCTTCCCTTTTTCTTTAGAAGGCGCGAGAAGAAGGTTCCTTTTTTTATAATCAGTCTTTTTTTTGTAATCAGTCCCATAAAATCCATTCCATTCCTCAAGTTTTCACGGGATCATTTGCGGTCAACTTTGGGGATCACTTGCGGTCGAGGATCATTTGCGGTCCATTTTGGGGATCATTTGCGGTCTCGGGATCATTTGCGGTTGGGGATCATTTGCGGTACTGTACAGAACTCAGCAGGTCTCCAGTTGTTCGAATTTGGTTGTAATAAACAACCGCCACCCAACAGTAAGCGCGTCGTGTGACTGTTGTTCCCGCCCAAAAAGGAACTTACCCGACCTCACCACGTGCGTAACAGGCAAATACATTTTGAGTGATCTGAGAATGTTCGCGGCAATTCCATCACAGTTGATGCACGTGACCTGACACCGTGCGTGACGCACTTTTAGGGTCAGCTTACACCACAGCGGTCCACCATGGGTTGGCGACATCAATCACCTCAATTATCAAGCTGCTAGAAGAGCTTTAACAACTGGTCAGTAACTGTCTTTTCTTTTCGCTAACGTAACTACTGCGCCGCAGGAAGCATGGCAGGCAACCTGTCCAACTTAACTTTTTTCCTCCATTCTGTACAATGGAGAAGAGAAGTGATGAGGTCACAAAAATCAAATTGGCGAAATTATGGGATTGGTTGGCATATTCAGTAAGAACAAGCTTTTGTTTGTTTTGTTTTATTTTTGTTGTTGTTTTTTTATTTCATTTATTCTAAGGTGCAACAATTACAATAATTATCACATAGCATACATACACACACGGACTACATGCGTAAACACATATGCAATAATATAATGGGACGTTAGTCCCGTTGCACCTACCCCTTTTGGGTTTTTGCTTGTTTTTTCCTTTTCTTTTCTTTCCTTTTTTTCTTTTTTTTTTTTTAAGTTGTGTTATAAATTTATATTGTATATCACAAGAGGAGCACCCAATAAAGCTGTGAAAAAAAAAAATAATAATAATCACCACATCAGCCTATTTCAGTGCTATGCCTATATCACTTAACAAGTGCTATAGTGCTTTTCGAAAACAGAAGAAACTAAATACTGAGAAAGTCCACTTGTATAATAATTTTTGTATTGAAGATTTAAATTAGATTACAAAGTCCACTTGCCCATTAGTTTTTGCAAACTCTAACTATAAAACTATAATCTAACTACTCTAAACTATATATGGTGCTTATATCTCTTCCCCAATTTGCACCAACAGGCACATTTTGAGCAAGTGGAGATTTTTGATCTTGTTCTTTCTGAACATGCCAGCCTGTCCCATATAATTTCACAAATTTAGTTTTAGTGAGGTCATTACTTTTCTCCTCTCTACTATGACATCTCTTCACCGTCACATGTTCGAGATGCCCTCCCCCTTTTTAGCCTCTTATCTCCAGCACTAAACCCTCGTATTCAGTTACATTGTTGCTGTTTTTCTTTTTTTATATACTAGTTTAAAGAAAACCGTCTCTTATTCACTAGTGGTGTATTTTTGTGCACTTAAGTGGGTGGAACCCAGGTCCATCTTTAGCCTGTACATACTATGTCATCCTGCTAAATTGTTGTATCGTGTTGCTTATCGCTTTATATTTGCTTTCATTAGTTCATGGCGTGCAACCAGACATGACTCGTGATGGGTGTAGTATCCCTGTGACACTAGCCCTGCAGAATGCAATGCAAAAGAACATTGTTCTCCTTCCAATCGGCGCGTGTGATGATGGGGCGCACTCCCAGAACGAGAAAATTAACATTGTAAATTACGTTCAAGGGGTAAGTTTTGCTCGTCTTCTGCTCATGAAAAAAAATTTTAACAATGCTTGCGCATGTTGGAAGTCACAAAGGAGAGATAGTGTCGCGACACATCAGTTGAGGGAAATGTTCGCTGTTGCGCCGATACTCTTTAATTCGTGCAATGCAAGACGTTTCCCAAATTGCTGAAAGCAAGTGAAAAATATAATTCGTTATTTTCTCCTTTTTCCTTTGTAGACTAAAGCTTTGGTTGCGTACTTGGAAGAACTGGGCCAACTTGCTGACCGGAAGTAGACATCAATTTTTAGGGTCCAGTTTAAAGAAGGGCACGACAATGAATTGCTTTTTTAATATTTGTTTGGTTTTCGTTGATCACACTCGGCTCTCTCCATGGTCTATGGTTTGCTAAATTCGCTTTATTGTTTACTATTTCTATCTTTACCTGCTCCCCTTTTTGTGTAAGATGGGGTCTCTTAGCAAGTATCCTTAACGGTGTCTGTATGGTGCCTTGTATCGTTTTGTGATTTCTGTGGGCGTCAAAGTCTTAGTAGTCTCCTACTCTTCCGTTCTTCGTGTCGACACGAAATTTTCCTCCTCAAGCTACGTTAAAACGAACAACATGTGTTGGAACATTGCTGCAAAGCGAGTCGAATAGCGATATTGTACGTTTTACCACTCACGAGTCAGGTAGGGGTGTTGCAAGTTGCGTGAATACTAAATTCTGATTAGATAAAATTACGCGGGAGCCACTCCATACACGGGAGTTAGGTCACTTGCTGCAAAATAAGTTTGCCTTGGGTCGGTAAAACGCGCAACATGTACAGCAAAGAGCAGAGCTTCTCTCTACTTTCTGCAACAGACTTTCGCAACCTGCAACATCCTGAACGTGGCTGCAGTATCATATGATACAGTACAGATCACTTTCACTCACGTGGTCGGCAACTTTTTTTAAAGAAAAGAAATTTTTTATGTGAGAAGAGAAGAGTCCAATCCAAGTCCCAGAGGATTTTTGGGTTCACAAACATGGCCGCTGTTTCATTCTTTTCAGTGGTACATTAGTAACAAGGACGGCAAAAAAGCAAGAGGGTTAGATTAGCAAAACAACATTTTTGCACGTGCATCACGCTGTTTTGTACATTTCTTTGCCGTCGTTGCACAACTACGACGTGAAACTGCGGGCGTGAACACAATACAACGACCCTCTTTTTCTTTTCCTGAACTCTAATACAGTCCTTTATAATTCAACTCCAGAAAAATTCGCCAACATCTGATGAATAGAGCGAGATAGAATAAGCGCGATAAAGTTTAAACCAACACGAACACACTTTAAAACTGACGTTTTCTTGGCCGTCGCCGTCATTGTTGCTTAAGCTCCCTAGTATGGCATGGCCGCCATGACGTCACGTGAAAACCACCTATTAAGTTTCCCTTAAACGGACAGGGGTCCGTTTTGAAGACCTATGTAAGAGGCGCAGGTAAAAAGACTGAAGAATGTTATGGACCAACTCTAGGAGGTCTCCGTTAAGAGAGAGTTGACTACACTAGCAGTGCGTTGTAAGCGAGAATAAGAATTCTTTTCCCGTTCGGGTTCAGTTAAAGAACGGGAGTTTTCGAAAGCTTTGTCTCCGAGTACGCACTTGTGTCAACGGAAAAACACTTTAGTATGAGGGCATCAATATTTTAGTCGTGTGTTAAAAGTTAATATTAGTATTTTCTAAATACGAAGTTCATTGAAAATCCTTATCTAAGTGATCTCACTGTAAATCATATAATATATAGAATATTTTTTTTTATTAAAAGTGAACTTATAAACTCATGGCGTCAACTGTTTGATTACATCCCCGATATTGAATCAGCCGTGTGCGTGATTCAGCATTGTTAACACGATCTTCAAAATACCGGGTGAGACGACGCTATTGTCATAGTGTCACAGGTCCTAGCTTGTGTTCAGAGGTGCTGGCTAATTTTTTCACGGGAATCTCGTTATGTGAGTTTCCGCTCGTCATTTTTTTTTCCTTTTTCGGTTCGGGGGCAGGGTCTGGGTACACGTAGGCTATGTGTGACTAGTTGTTGTGCAGCAAGAAAGTCAACCGAGAGAGAACTGACTTGCGGCATTTTGCGTCCATCTGCAAAATTTAACTCCCGGAAGAAATTTAGTGTCTCATGTTCACAAGGGAACGGTAGCAATCATTTTTCGTGGTGATTGTCGCAAAACAAATTCCTCGCACGAGCAGAGTGTTGATTTTGATTTCTTTTCTCTTCTTTTTTTAATCGCCTGCTTGTCACTGAAAGGAGACGTCTCTCTCATTTATTCACTAGGCATATAATTCATTGCGCATATGTCACTTATCGATGCAGTATGCCGGATGTTTGTCGCGTGAACCAAGTTCCTCCAACAATTCTCCATTAACTCAGTGGTAGAACATCTGGACTAGTTGTTCGAAGACCGATTAGCGCTTAAGCCAGGGCTAAATTTAACCCGGGAGTCTATTTCTTTTGTTTAAAAGTATTTTCTCGGATAATTTTCTCTGTTATTTTTAAGGGCATCCAATCATCAACTTGTTGACAAAAAGACTAAAACTGAAATTACTTCATAAGCTTTCATATCTGAATTCAAATTTCGCACTAACCCTGGGTTATCTTAACCCAGCTTTGAACAACTCGGCCCTGAAGGTCATATGCTTTCGAATCGCCTTTGTCACTAACATTTTGCGTCTTTCCTTTCAGCGTGACAATGGGACATGGAGGTCGGCCATGGGTGAGTGATTACAACCATGAAAACTACCAAGCAGCCAGGAGGGCACTCAAAACAGGTTCGTCTTAGGCCCCGTTAATATGGAGAAAACTTGTCTTGGTAGAAGGGTCATTCACCTACCCGAGCTACCCTGGGCGAGCCAACTTTCAAAACTCGACGAAGCGTTACATGAGACCGTTTACACGAGAAACAAAGAGATGGCTCGGCTAGGAGGGTGATCCGCCTATGAAAATACAGAAGGAAGGAAGGAAGGAGTCATGGATGAGAGGACAACAGACGTGCCCTCTTTACAATATATATTAGGGAGCTTTAGCATGTACGACGGCAACTGCAGCGAAAACGTCAGTTTTAAAATGAATTCCCGTTTTTTCAATCTTTGTCGCGTTTATTCCAATTTGCTGAAAATGGCAAGTGTAGGCGAATTTCCCTAGAGTTGATTTCTTGAGGACCGCACTCAACTTTAGAGAGAGAATAAGAGATTCGTCGTCGCTTGTTTACGTCCTCCATAAAACTTGCAATTAGGCATTTTCGCGTCGTAATCGTGCAAGGACGGCAAAGAAATGTACAAAAAAGCGTGATGCACGTACAAAGTTGTTGTTTTGCGTAATAGACGTACTGCTTTTTTGACGTTCTCTTTGCCGTCGCCGTCGTCGTTGCTAAAGCTCCCTATTAACATGTGAACAGTAAGCTTCGACGTCAGTATACAATGGCTTTACTGTCAGCCGCCCTCAGTCCATTTATACTCACCCAACCCATGATGTGAATGATGTGATGTGTGAAGCTTGACCACACCACCTGGTCTACGTCCCCTACTCTTTTCGAACAGTGGTGTGGGTACGTCCCACAAGAACCAGCTGAGTGTAACGGCTGTGAGACGGGACCTACCTACTGTATTCTTCTCTTCTTTACTGCAGTATTTGGAACTGACCCCGACATGACCCGTGAAGGTGGAAGCATCCCCGTGACTTTAACTTTGCAGGAAGCCACTGAAAAGAATGTTGTGCTTCTGCCTTTGGGTGCATGCGATGATGGCGCGCACTCGCAGAACGAGAAGATGGATCGAAAGAACTACATCGAGGGAGTGAGTATTTTTGTGGTATTCAATGACGACATGCCTTATATCTCCTAAAAGCATCTCTAAGATATCTTTACATGCCAGTTTGTACGGTAAATGCTAACTCGGTTTAAAATCCAAAGTGGTAGGTCGAAACCAGTTGGTGACCCCCTCCCCTCTTGTAGGACCCTTCCTTTGAAAATAAGTCTTTGTTTCTCAGCTGCTGGTGACCCCCTCCCCTCCTCCCTTATTCTTAAATGACAGATTGTTGCTAGCGAGCCTTATGCGAGACAGCACACTATTCTCTGCAATAGTGGGAAAAAGCCAAAATTTGTCGGATGTAAGATCAGAAGCATGCGCAGTCGATTGGTTTTCTTATCATCTGGGGTATACTCCTGTGCGATGACATCACGTAAAACGCACGTGGACGAGATCGCGGAGAGATTTCGAGTAAATTTTCGGCGAACAAGCAAACTATAAACGAGTCGAGCGTTAAGTAATTGCTTTTTATTTTATTTTCTAGATATCTTAAAACCCAGGCCTCGTTTTTTGTGAAAAAATTCGAGGCATTAAGTTGCTCAATACAGTGGAACCTCGTTATAACGAACCGCTCTCTATAACGAAGTCCTCGCTATAACAAACGATTTTGTTGACCCCAATAATAGCGTACTTCGGACAAGAGTGATAGCCTGGGACCCAAACTAAGCGCGCACGCATTTATGGGATTTTTGGGGGGACAAGTCGAGCAAGCCACCTTGAATTATGACGAGACATGGAAGTTGTTGTTTAGCTTTGTGCACAAATAACTTCAGGAACTCCCCTGGTCTGGCATTTTATAGAGTACCAAAGGCAAGACGTTTCCAGCGAGAATATCAGCAGAATATGTACGTTTTCTTCGGAACGCTAATTTGAAGCTGTTTCACTGTGCATTATTTTGGTTTTTCTCAAAGTAAAATTACCCCAGGAACATCTTCCTTCAGAGCTCTTCAGCTTTAGCTGTTTAATCCCGCTAAAACATTCCACTTCGCTTTCAGCCATGTTTGTTTACATTCGCGTCCCTCCAAATAATCCCATAATCCCTTTTCCGAAGTGAACTATGGTAAAGTCATGGAAAAGAACCTCGATATAACGAAACCTCGTTATAGCGAACAAATTTTGCCAGTCCCTTCAGGGTCCGAAATACGAGCGCCAGCCAAATTTTGCCAGTCCCTTCAGGGTCCGTAATACTAGCGCCAGCTGGCGATCAAGTATAAATTTTTGGTCGCCAGAGGGAAAATTGTGGTCGCCAAAAATTCTCCCTCCCTTTTTTTCAAATAAAAGTCTAAACACGAATAAAAAATGCATGGTATGGACGTTTTTGTGCTCAAAAATTGCACTACTTCCGCTCCCGATACCAGAAAGCAACCGTACGTGTACGAGTGAAGTCTTATTTTTGCCACAAATTGCTTTTTGGAGATATACATGTAAAGCTATCTGGCCTAGAACGTAGGAACAGAAAGCTGTCTGCTCATGACTGCACTAATCATATCAAAACTCTATTTTCTTCCGATAACTACCACGAGACATAGCCGCCATGTTGCTGGTACGAGTTATGTAGCACAGTTGTGGCCTGGTACCAGTCCACAAAGTACATAACGTACTTACCGTATTTCAGCTGACATAACATGGCGGCTTGGAAACGTTCAACTCGTATTGATTGTAGCTGTTGTGGAGCTATTATTACAGGAAGATTCGTTTCACTTTTAATTAAAAAATATCAGCAGGACAAAAAGTAAGACAGCTGTTGGCAAATAGCTTCGAGGTTTCTATTCTTAATCAGTTTCTCCGAACGTTTAAGTCCACAATAACAAGCAACTTTACAAGTCGCTAGCTGGCGACCAGCTATGAAATTCTGGTCGCCAGGACTAAATTTTTAGTCGCATTGGCGACCAGGAAGGCGCAATTTCGGACCCTGCCCGTGGCACTTGGTTATATCGAGGCTCCACTGCAGAGGGCTGCCTTTTAGTACAGCCTTGACTGTACAATAAAATAATAGGTACTTCTAGATCATTTAATATTTAGACAAGAACTGCTGGTTTGCAGAAGTAATAGTTGTAGACTGTTAAAGTTTGATCCAGTTGATAATCATTTTACAAGTGATTGAAGCATGCTCTTTCACATCTTAGAACCAAGTGATAGCTTTTCTGCTTTTTTCACGTGTGAAGCCGCTGTTTCGCATTATTTTCTGGTGACTGAAACTTCGCTGTTTCTCTTCTTTTTACCAACAGACAAAAGTTTTGGCCGCTTATATGGAAGAAGTGGCCAAGATCCAGTAACAGAAATACTGTTGATGGACACGACCAAGAACACGCTCACGACAGACCGCAAGATGATCCCAATGTGCAATTTACACTGCTTTAAAACAATCAGATTCTTATTTATATTTCCTGTTTGTTGTCCACTGGCTGCACCAGTTTGAGTATTTAATTTAGATTTTAAATTAAAGGAAGAGAAATGCGCATGCTCAAACAAACGTGTCGTAACCTGTGACGTCACGGCGTAGGTTTTTCCCAACAAAATGTAGAATTTCAATTTAGTAAAACTCTAGTTCTGATTTTCATGCAAACAAATAAATGAAAATCTTCTGCAAAGTCGTTGTGTATTTGATTATATAAGTTGATTGGTAACAGCCCTCCTATTTTTGGCGTAAAAATAATGTGATCGAGTTCGATCGAATTCCGAGTTCGGAGAGAGTGAAATGTGCCCAAGACGATTTGCACTTCCCTCAGGCGATACGTTTTCCCTTTCGTAAAAGGTCGCTACCATTTTTACGACACTTAAAACAGTTTTGACCTGTTATTGAGAGTGTTTCTATGAAAAAGAATTAAAATCGCAACCCAGGGTCAAACCAGTCCTCGAACCCGAACCCTTCGTCTCCTAATCTCTCTCCATTCTCACAACACTACCACATCGACCCGCCAAAATTTTGAAGGATTTTTAACAATTATTGTTCGAGCCCGAATGGGCTCTGAGTCAATAGCCCATGAGGCCTTCGGGCTATTGACTCAGAGGCCATGAGGGCGAGAGGATATTTGTTTTAGTAAAATCCAACTAGTTGATCAAAGATATCGAGAATAAAAAATTTTTTCGCTAGGTAAAAGCTAGACTTTAATCATTTTTGCTGCCCAAAAACCGGCGCTTTTCGCTACTAGTGGTCTATAATATATAGACTAGTAGTAGCTCAACCAATCAGAACGCAGCATTGATAATAGACCACTAGTTGGGTTTTACTAAAAGTAAATACACTAACAAACTGTCTTTCTTAACTGTTACTTCAATAACAGGTGATCCTAGCCCTTTTCGTAAATTGTAACGAAAATTCAACTTGGACTCCAGCCTCGTTCTTTCTAACACTTCAAAAACGTATTTTTTGCCTTTTTGTAACTTAATCCAGGGAATATATTACATCTATCATGACCGCCGCTAAAGGCTTGGTTACTAATGGTGGCATCGACTATTGAAAATGGCAAAGACCGTTTACGAAAAGGAAATAGGCAGCGACGACCCTCTCTCTCGATGATCATTCTCGACAATCAAACGAAAAAATAAAGGACAGAGAACAGTCTGCCTTTCGGGTAAAACCCCATACGGTAGTGGTGAGATGGAGTTGTGGGTAGAGTTGCACGCAGGAACTAAGCAAGGGACACTGAACTTTAAAGCCATTTTGCCTAAGGAAATTTTGCAGAACCACTCATTCACAATGCTTGCAGATACTCCTCTTAAAGTACATAACATCCATTGAGCAATGTTTTGTGTATTCTTACACTTCTTCCATTCAGTTTAAGTCAGAATTCCAGCGGGTATTTCGTCTTCAAATAGCCGTGAACGCATTTTTTTTTTAGTTTAATAATTTCCCAAGCAGCCTCGTTTCCAATCAAATACACCATCGAATCGATGGTACATTGCGCGCATCTTTCAAATATGGTAAGTGCTAGTTGCGAGAATTAGCCGCGAGATTGGAGCCAATCAGAAACGGCCAAATAGTTTGAATGATTAATAATAGAATTTGGAAAAGACGCGCGTGAAATTATTCCCTAATTTTACCCGTCACCATTTGATTACACATACGAATACTATTCAGCATGAAGTTGTCTGTTTCTTTCTTCATTTACCAGACTATTCAGTTACGTGACTACACGATACATTTATTCATGTGTATTCATGTGACTGCGCGATATGTCAGCTTACAATAGCCTCCCCGCAGACGTCCTTTGGGGTTCCGTTGGGGAGAAATTTAATGCGTGACATTCGAACCCCAAAGGACGTCTGCGGGGAGGCTGAGCTTACAATCGACCTACTCATCGCTTACAGTATCCAGCAGCTCACAGTGGTTAGAGTATCCGACTAGGATCGACTAGTGTACGGCAGGGTCGTTGGTAGTTGTAGACTGCCCTGATTGTAGTTGAGATTTTCATGCATTCACCGAATGACCTTGTGTCCTGGAATTTGCGATGGCCTGCAAAATGCGCAAAAAACATGTTGTTGCCATGTAACGTACGGACCTGATTGATTGGTCGAGTCGAGGAAAATTCCAATAGTCTTTAGGGGTTTTCCCCGGCTTATTAAAACCGGACTTTAGAATCTCTTTATTTCATTTTTATGGTATTCTATTTCATTGCTCGAAATTTCTGAGTTATAAAAAAATCCAAAGGAAGTACATAGCTAAATGTTATGTTTAGTAAACGTAGCCTCTGTCGGTACCCGGGGGGGGGGGTACTTGAGTTAGTTTTTGCTGGGTATGTTAGTCACTTTTGAGCAAATGTGAAATGTTCGCGATCCCAATTTAGTCACTTGCTATTATTTATTTTGTGTATCTACCTTATATTGAAAGAAGAATACATTACTTTTCACCTACAATACAAACATTCTGCTACGTTTGCTAACCGTAAATGTGAAGAACGGTCTTACCCCAAAAATCAGAAAATGTGCGACCGCATTATAGTCACCCCAGTCGTGAAAATGCGACCCCTTCCAGCGGCACATCCACATTAGCCTCTTATAAGGAAGTAACCCCCCGGGTGTCGGTAGCCCTAAAA